GGAGGAACTGGAGAGCGGTTCTTCTAGCCAAGCCAGCCGATCAGATTCAACGAAATACAGATCCGATGGAGTCCAGCACGATGAACAGACAGACCTACCAAGGAGGACTGGAGAGCGGTTCTCTGTAGCCAAACCAGCCGATCAGATTCAACGAAATACAGATCCGATGGAGTCCAGCACGATGAACAGACAGACCTACCAAGGAGGGACTGGAGAGCGGTTCTCTGTAGCCAAGCCAGCCGATCAGATTCAACGAAATACAGATCCGATGGAGTCCAGCACGATGAACAGGCAGACCTACCAAGGAGGAACTGGAGAGCGGTTCTCTGTAGCCAAAGCCAGCCGATCAGATTCCACGAAATACAGATCCGATGGAGTCCAGCACGATGAACAGACAGACCTACCAAGGAGGAACTGGAGAACGGTTCTCTGTAGCTAAAACCAGCCGATCAGATTCAACGAAATACAGATCCGATGGAGTCCAGCACGATGAACAGACAGACCTACCAAGGAGGAACTGGAGAACGGTTCTCTGTAGCCAAACCAGCCGATCAGATTCAACGAAATACAGATCCGATGGAGTCCAGCACGATGAACAGACAGACCTACCAAGGAGGAACTGGAGAACGGTTCTCTGTAGCTAAACCAGCCGATCAGATCCAACGAAATACAGATCCGATGGAGTCCAGCACGATGAACAGACAGACCTACCAAGGAGGAACTGGAGAACGGTTCTCTGTAGCCAAACCAGCCGATCAGATTCAACGAAATACAGATCCGATGGAGTCCAGCACGATGAACAGACAGACCTACCAAGGAGGAACTGGAGAACGGTTCTCTGTAGCCAAACCAGCCGATCAGATTCAACGAAATACAGATCCGATGGAGTCCAGCACGATGAACAGACAGACCTACCAAGGAGGAACTGGAGAACGGTTCTCTGTAGCCAAACCAGCCGATCAGATCCAACGAAATACAGATCCGATGGAGTCCAGCACGATGAACAGACAGACCTACCAAGGAGGAACTGGAGAACGGTTCTCTGTAGCCAAACCAGCCGATCAGATCCAACGAAATACAGATCCGATGGAGTCCAGCACGATGAACAGACAGACCTACCAAGGAGGAACTGGAGAACGGTTCTCTGTAGCCAAACCAGCCGATCAGATCCAACGAAATACAGATCCGATGGAGTCCAGCACGATGAACAGACAGACCTACCAAGGAGGAACTGGAGAACGGTTCTCTGTAGCCAAACCAGCCGATCAGATTCAACGAAATACAGATCCGATGGAGTCCAGCACGATGAACAGACAGACCTACCAAGGAGGGACTGGAGAACGGTTCTCTGTAGCCAAACCAGCCGATCAGATTCAACGAAATACAGATCCGATGGAGTCCAGCACGATGAACAGACAGACCTACCAAGGAGGGACTGGAGAACGGTTCTCTGTAGCCAAGCCAGCCGATCAGATTCCACGAAATACAGATCCGATGGAGTCCAGCACGATGAACAGACAGACCTACCAAGGAGGAACTGGAGAACGGTTCTCTGTAGCCAAACCAGCCGATCAGATTCAACGAAATACAGATCCGATGGAGTCCAGCACGATGAACAGACAGACCTACCAAGGAGGAACTGGAGAGCGGTTCTCTGTAGCCAAACCAGCCGATCAGATTCAACGAAATACAGATCCGATGGAGTCCAGCACGATGAACAGACAGACCTACCAAGGAGGGAACTGGAGAACGGTTCTCTGTAGCCAAACCAGCCGATCAGATCCAACGAAATACAGATCCGATGGAGTCCAGCACGATGAACAGACAGACCTACCAAGGAGGAACTGGAGAACGGTTCTCTGTAGCCAAACCAGCCGATCAGATCCAACGAAATACAGATCCGATGGAGTCCAGCACGATGAACAGACAGACCTACCAAGGAGGGACTGGAGAACGGTTCTCTGTAGCCAAACCAGCCGATCAGATCCAACGAAATACAGATCCGATGGAGTCCAGCACGATGAACAGACAGACCTACCAAGGAGGAACTGGAGAACGGTTCTCTGTAGCCAAACCAGCCGATCAGATCCAACGAAATACAGATCCGATGGAGTCCAGCACGATGAACAGACAGACCTACCAAGGAGGAACTGGAGAGCGGTTCTCTGTAGCCAAACCAGCCGATCAGATCCAACGAAATACAGATCCGATGGAGTCCAGCACGATGAACAGACAGACCTACCAAGGAGGGACTGGAGAACGGTTCTCTGTAGCCAAACCAGCCGATCAGATCCAACGAAATACAGATCCGATGGAGTCCAGCACGATGAACAGACAGACCTACCAAGGAGGGACTGGAGAACGGTTCTCTGTAGCCAAGCCAGCCGATCAGATCCAACGAAATACAGATCCGATGGAGTCCAGCACGATGAACAGACAGACCTACCAAGGAGGGAACTGGAGAACGGTTCTCTGTAGCCAAACCAGCCGATCAGATCCAACGAAATACAGATCCGATGGAGTCCAGCACGATGAACAGACAGACCTACCAAGGAGGGAACTGGAGAACGGTTCTCTGTAGCCAAACCAGCCGATCAGATCCAACGAAATACAGATCCGATGGAGTCCAGCACGATGAACAGACAGACCTACCAAGGAGGAACTGGAGAACGGTTCTCTGTAGCCAAACCAGCCGATCAGATCCAACGAAATACAGATCCGATGGAGTCCAGCACGATGAACAGACAGACCTACCAAGGAGGAACTGGAGAACGGTTCTCTGTAGCCAAACCAGCCGATCAGATCCAACGAAATACAGATCCGATGGAGTCCAGCACGATGAACAGACAGACCTACCAAGGAGGAACTGGAGAACGGTTCTCTGTAGCCAAACCAGCCGATCAGATCCAACGAAATACAGATCCGATGGAGTCCAGCACGATGAACAGACAGACCTACCAAGGAGGAACTGGAGAACGGTTCTCTGTAGCCAAACCAGCCGATCAGATCCAACGAAATACAGATCCGATGGAGTCCAGCACGATGAACAGACAGACCTACCAAGGAGGGACTGGAGAACGGTTCTCTGTAGCCAAACCAGCCGATCAGATCCAACGAAATACAGATCCGATGGAGTCCAGCACGATGAACAGACAGACCTACCAAGGAGGGAACTGGAGAACGGTTCTCTGTAGCCAAACCAGCCGATCAGATCCAACGAAATACAGATCCGATGGAGTCCAGCACGATGAACAGACAGACCTACCAAGGAGGAACTGGAGAGCGGTTCTCTGTAGCCAAACCAGCCGATCAGATCCAACGAAATACAGATCCGATGGAGTCCAGCACGATGAACAGACAGACCTACCAAGGAGGAACTGGAGAACGGTTCTCTGTAGCCAAACCAGCCGATCAGATCCAACGAAATACAGATCCGATGGAGTCCAGCACGATGAACAGACAGACCTACCAAGGAGGGACTGGAGAACGGTTCTCTGTAGCCAAAGCCAGCCGATCAGATCCAACGAAATACAGATCCGATGGAGTCCAGCACGATGAACAGACAGACCTACCAAGGAGGGAACTGGAGAACGGTTCTCTGTAGCCAAAGCCAGCCGATCAGATCCAACGAAATACAGATCCGATGGAGTCCAGCACGATGAACAGACAGACCTACCAAGGAGGAACTGGAGAGCGGTTCTCTGTAGCCAAACCAGCCGATCAGATCCAACGAAATACAGATCCGATGGAGTCCAGCACGATGAACAGACAGACCTACCAAGGAGGGAACTGGAGAGCGGTTCTCTGTAGCCAAACCAGCCGATCAGATCCAACGAAATACAGATCCGATGGAGTCCAGCACGATGAACAGACAGACCTACCAAGGAGGGAACTGGAGAACGGTTCTCTGTAGCCAAACCAGCCGATCAGATCCAACGAAATACAGATCCGATGGAGTCCAGCACGATGAACAGACAGACCTACCAAGGAGGAACTGGAGAACGGTTCTCTGTAGCCAAACCAGCCGATCAGATCCAACGAAATACAGATCCGATGGAGTCCAGCACGATGAACAGACAGACCTACCAAGGAGGGAACTGGAGAACGGTTCTCTGTAGCCAAACCAGCCGATCAGATCCAACGAAATACAGATCCGATGGAGTCCAGCACGATGAACAGACAGACCTACCAAGGAGGAACTGGAGAACGGTTCTCTGTAGCCAAACCAGCCGATCAGATCCAACGAAATACAGATCCGATGGAGTCCAGCACGATGAACAGACAGACCTACCAAGGAGGAACTGGAGAACGGTTCTCTGTAGCCAAACCAGCCGATCAGATCCAACGAAATACAGATCCGATGGAGTCCAGCACGATGAACAGACAGACCTACCAAGGAGGAACTGGAGAACGGTTCTCTGTAGCCAAACCAGCCGATCAGATCCAACGAAATACAGATCCGATGGAGTCCAGCACGATGAACAGACAGACCTACCAAGGAGGAACTGGAGAACGGTTCTCTGTAGCCAAACCAGCCGATCAGATCCAACGAAATACAGATCCGATGGAGTCCAGCACGATGAACAGACAGACCTACCAAGGAGGGACTGGAGAACGGTTCTCTGTAGCCAAACCAGCCGATCAGATCCAACGAAATACAGATCCGATGGAGTCCAGCACGATGAACAGACAGACCTACCAAGGAGGGAACTGGAGAACGGTTCTCTGTAGCCAAAGCCAGCCGATCAGATCCAACGAAATACAGATCCGATGGAGTCCAGCACGATGAACAGACAGACCTACCAAGGAGGAACTGGAGAACGGTTCTCTGTAGCCAAACCAGCCGATCAGATTCAACGAAATACAGATCCGATGGAGTCCAGCACGATGAACAGACAGACCTACCAAGGAGGAACTGGAGAGCGGTTCTCTGTAGCCAAACCAGCCGATCAGATCCAACGAAATACAGATCCGATGGAGTCCAGCACGATGAACAGACAGACCTACCAAGGAGGAACTGGAGAGCGGTTCTCTGTAGCCAAGCCAGCCGATCAGATCCAACGAAATACAGATCCGATGGAGTCCAGCACGATGAACAGACAGACCTACCAAGGAGGAACTGGAGAACGGTTCTCTGTAGCCAAGCCAGCCGATCAGATCCAACGAAATACAGATCCGATGGAGTCCAGCACGATGAACAGACAGACCTACCAAGGAGGAACTGGAGAGCGGTTCTCTGTAGCCAAAGCCAGCCGATCAGATTCAACGAAATACAGATCCGATGGAGTCCAGCACGATGAACAGACAGACCTACCAAGGAGGGAACTGGAGAGCGGTTCTCTGTAGCCAAACCAGCCGATCAGATCCAACGAAATACAGATCCGATGGAGTCCAGCACGATGAACAGACAGACCTACCAAGGAGGAACTGGAGAACGGTTCTCTGTAGCCAAACCAGCCGATCAGATCCAACGAAATACAGATCCGATGGAGTCCAGCACGATGAACAGACAGACCTACCAAGGAGGGAACTGGAGAGCGGTTCTCTGTAGCCAAAGCCAGCCGATCAGATCCAACGAAATACAGATCCGATGGAGTCCAGCACGATGAACAGACAGACCTACCAAGGAGGGAACTGGAGAGCGGTTCTCTGTAGCCAAGCCAGCCGATCAGATCCAACGAAATACAGATCCGATGGAGTCCAGCACGATGAACAGACAGACCTACCAAGGAGGAACTGGAGAACGGTTCTCTGTAGCCAAACCAGCCGATCAGATTCAACGAAATACAGATCCGATGGAGTCCAGCACGATGAACAGACAGACCTACCAAGGAGGAACTGGAGAGCGGTTCTCTGTAGCCAAAGCCAGCCGATCAGATTCAACGAAATACAGATCCGATGGAGTCCAGCACGATGAACAGACAGACCTACCAAGGAGGGACTGGAGAACGGTTCTCTGTAGCCAAGCCAGCCGATCAGATCCAACGAAATACAGATCCGATGGAGTCCAGCACGATGAACAGACAGACCTACCAAGGAGGAACTGGAGAGCGGTTCTCTGTAGCCAAGCCAGCCGATCAGATTCAACGAAATACAGATCCGATGGAGTCCAGCACGATGAACAGACAGACCTACCAAGGAGGAACTGGAGAGCGGTTCTCTGTAGCCAAGCCAGCCGATCAGATCCAACGAAATACAGATCCGATGGAGTCCAGCACGATGAACAGACAGACCTACCAAGGAGGAACTGGAGAGCGGTTCTCTGTAGCCAAAGCCAGCCGATCAGATTCAACGAAATACAGATCCGATGGAGTCCAGCACGATGAACAGACAGACCTACCAAGGAGGAACTGGAGAGCGGTTCTCTGTAGCCAAGCCAGCCGATCAGATTCAACGAAATACAGATCCGATGGAGTCCAGCACGATGAACAGACAGACCTACCAAGGAGGGACTGGAGAACGGTTCTCTGTAGCCAAAGCCAGCCGATCAGATCCAACGAAATACAGATCCGATGGAGTCCAGCACGATGAACAGACAGACCTACCAAGGAGGAACTGGAGAGCGGTTCTCTGTAGCCAAGCCAGCCGATCAGATTCAACGAAATACAGATCCGATGGAGTCCAGCACGATGAACAGACAGACCTACCAAGGAGGAACTGGAGAGCGGTTCTCTGTAGCCAAGCCAGCCGATCAGATTCAACGAAATACAGATCCGATGGAGTCCAGCACGATGAACAGACAGACCTACCAAGGAGGGACTGGAGAACGGTTCTCTGTAGCCAAGCCAGCCGATCAGATCCAACGAAATACAGATCCGATGGAGTCCAGCACGATGAACAGACAGACCTACCAAGGAGGAACTGGAGAGCGGTTCTCTGTAGCCAAAGCCAGCCGATCAGATTCAACGAAATACAGATCCGATGGAGTCCAGCACGATGAACAGACAGACCTACCAAGGAGGAACTGGAGAGCGGTTCTCTGTAGCCAAACCAGCCGATCAGATCCAACGAAATACAGATCCGATGGAGTCCAGCACGATGAACAGACAGACCTACCAAGGAGGAACTGGAGAGCGGTTCTCTGTAGCCAAGCCAGCCGATCAGATTCAACGAAATACAGATCCGATGGAGTCCAGCACGATGAACAGACAGACCTACCAAGGAGGAACTGGAGAGCGGTTCTCTGTAGCCAAGCCAGCCGATCAGATTCAACGAAATACAGATCCGATGGAGTCCAGCACGATGAACAGACAGACCTACCAAGGAGGGACTGGAGAGCGGTTCTCTGTAGCCAAGCCAGCCGATCAGATCCAACGAAATACAGATCCGATGGAGTCCAGCACGATGAACAGACAGACCTACCAAGGAGGAACTGGAGAGCGGTTCTCTGTAGCCAAAGCCAGCCGATCAGATTCAACGAAATACAGATCCGATGGAGTCCAGCACGATGAACAGACAGACCTACCAAGGAGGGACTGGAGAACGGTTCTCTGTAGCCAAACCAGCCGATCAGATTCAACGAAATACAGATCCGATGGAGTCCAGCACGATGAACAGACAGACCTACCAAGGAGGAACTGGAGAGCGGTTCTCTGTAGCCAAAGCCAGCCGATCAGATTCAACGAAATACAGATCCGATGGAGTCCAGCACGATGAACAGACAGACCTACCAAGGAGGGAACTGGAGAGCGGTTCTCTGTAGCCAAACCAGCCGATCAGATTCAACGAAATACAGATCCGATGGAGTCCAGCACGATGAACAGACAGACCTACCAAGGAGGAACTGGAGAGCGGTTCTCTGTAGCCAAAGCCAGCCGATCAGATTCAACGAAATACAGATCCGATGGAGTCCAGCACGATGAACAGACAGACCTACCAAGGAGGAACTGGAGAGCGGTTCTCTGTAGCCAAAGCCAGCCGATCAGATTCAACGAAATACAGATCCGATGGAGTCCAGCACGATGAACAGACAGACCTACCAAGGAGGGACTGGAGAGCGGTTCTCTGTAGCCAAACCAGCCGATCAGATTCAACGAAATACAGATCCGATGGAGTCCAGCACGATGAACAGACAGACCTACCAAGGAGGGACTGGAGAGCGGTTCTCTGTAGCCAAACCAGCCGATCAGATTCAACGAAATACAGATCCGATGGAGTCCAGCACGATGAACAGACAGACCTACCAAGGAGGGACTGGAGAGCGGTTCTCTGTAGCCAAAGCCAGCCGATCAGATTCAACGAAATACAGATCCGATGGAGTCCAGCACGATGAACAGACAGACCTACCAAGGAGGAACTGGAGAGCGGTTCTCTGTAGCCAAAGCCAGCCGATCAGATTCAACGAAATACAGATCCGATGGAGTCCAGCACGATGAACAGACAGACCTACCAAGGAGGGACTGGAGAACGGTTCTCTGTAGCCAAACCAGCCGATCAGATCCAACGAAATACAGATCCGATGGAGTCCAGCACGATGAACAGACAGACCTACCAAGGAGGGACTGGAGAACGGTTCTCTGTAGCCAAACCAGCCGATCAGATTCAACGAAATACAGATCCGATGGAGTCCAGCACGATGAACAGACAGACCTACCAAGGAGGGACTGGAGAGCGGTTCTCTGTAGCCAAAGCCAGCCGATCAGATTCAACGAAATACAGATCCGATGGAGTCCAGCACGATGAACAGACAGACCTACCAAGGAGGAACTGGAGAACGGTTCTCTGTAGCCAAACCAGCCGATCAGATTCAACGAAATACAGATCCGATGGAGTCCAGCACGATGAACAGACAGACCTACCAAGGAGGGACTGGAGAGCGGTTCTCTGTAGCCAAACCAGCCGATCAGATCCAACGAAATACAGATCCGATGGAGTCCAGCACGATGAACAGACAGACCTACCAAGGAGGGACTGGAGAACGGTTCTCTGTAGCCAAACCAGCCGATCAGATTCAACGAAATACAGATCCGATGGAGTCCAGCACGATGAACAGACAGACCTACCAAGGAGGGACTGGAGAGCGGTTCTCTGTAGCCAAAGCCAGCCGATCAGATTCAACGAAATACAGATCCGATGGAGTCCAGCACGATGAACAGACAGACCTACCAAGGAGGGAACTGGAGAGCGGTTCTCTGTAGCCAAACCAGCCGATCAGATTCAACGAAATACAGATCCGATGGAGTCCAGCACGATGAACAGACAGACCTACCAAGGAGGAACTGGAGAACGGTTCTCTGTAGCCAAACCAGCCGATCAGATTCAACGAAATACAGATCCGATGGAGTCCAGCACGATGAACAGACAGACCTACCAAGGAGGGACTGGAGAACGGTTCTCTGTAGCCAAACCAGCCGATCAGATCCAACGAAATACAGATCCGATGGAGTCCAGCACGATGAACAGACAGACCTACCAAGGAGGGAACTGGAGAACGGTTCTCTGTAGCCAAAGCCAGCCGATCAGATTCAACGAAATACAGATCCGATGGAGTCCAGCACGATGAACAGACAGACCTACCAAGGAGGGACTGGAGAACGGTTCTCTGTAGCCAAACCAGCCGATCAGATCCAACGAAATACAGATCCGATGGAGTCCAGCACGATGAACAGACAGACCTACCAAGGAGGGAACTGGAGAACGGTTCTCTGTAGCCAAGCCAGCCGATCAGATTCAACGAAATACAGATCCGATGGAGTCCAGCACGATGAACAGACAGACCTACCAAGGAGGGACTGGAGAACGGTTCTCTGTAGCCAAACCAGCCGATCAGATCCAACGAAATACAGATCCGATGGAGTCCAGCACGATGAACAGACAGACCTACCAAGGAGGAACTGGAGAACGGTTCTCTGTAGCCAAAGCCAGCCGATCAGATTCAACGAAATACAGATCCGATGGAGTCCAGCACGATGAACAGACAGACCTACCAAGGAGGAACTGGAGAGCGGTTCTCTGTAGCCAAAGCCAGCCGATCAGATCCAACGAAATACAGATCCGATGGAGTCCAGCACGATGAACAGACAGACCTACCAAGGAGGGACTGGAGAACGGTTCTCTGTAGCCAAACCAGCCGATCAGATCCAACGAAATACAGATCCGATGGAGTCCAGCACGATGAACAGACAGACCTACCAAGGAGGGACTGGAGAACGGTTCTCTGTAGCCAAGCCAGCCGATCAGATTCAACGAAATACAGATCCGATGGAGTCCAGCACGATGAACAGACAGACCTACCAAGGAGGGACTGGAGAACGGTTCTCTGTAGCCAAGCCAGCCGATCAGATCCAACGAAATACAGATCCGATGGAGTCCAGCACGATGAACAGACAGACCTACCAAGGAGGGACTGGAGAACGGTTCTCTGTAGCCAAACCAGCCGATCAGATCCAACGAAATACAGATCCGATGGAGTCCAGCACGATGAACAGACAGACCTACCAAGGAGGAACTGGAGAACGGTTCTCTGTAGCCAAAGCCAGCCGATCAGATTCAACGAAATACAGATCCGATGGAGTCCAGCACGATGAACAGACAGACCTACCAAGGAGGAACTGGAGAACGGTTCTCTGTAGCCAAAGCCAGCCGATCAGATCCAACGAAATACAGATCCGATGGAGTCCAGCACGATGAACAGACAGACCTACCAAGGAGGAACTGGAGAGCGGTTCTCTGTAGCCAAACCAGCCGATCAGATCCAACGAAATACAGATCCGATGGAGTCCAGCACGATGAACAGACAGACCTACCAAGGAGGGACTGGAGAACGGTTCTCTGTAGCCAAACCAGCCGATCAGATCCAACGAAATACAGATCCGATGGAGTCCAGCACGATGAACAGACAGACCTACCAAGGAGGGACTGGAGAACGGTTCTCTGTAGCCAAAGCCAGCCGATCAGATTCAACGAAATACAGATCCGATGGAGTCCAGCACGATGAACAGACAGACCTACCAAGGAGGGACTGGAGAACGGTTCTCTGTAGCCAAACCAGCCGATCAGATCCAACGAAATACAGATCCGATGGAGTCCAGCACGATGAACAGACAGACCTACCAAGGAGGGACTGGAGAACGGTTCTCTGTAGCCAAACCAGCCGATCAGATCCAACGAAATACAGATCCGATGGAGTCCAGCACGATGAACAGACAGACCTACCAAGGAGGGACTGGAGAACGGTTCTCTGTAGCCAAACCAGCCGATCAGATCCAACGAAATACAGATCCGATGGAGTCCAGCACGATGAACAGACAGACCTACCAAGGAGGGACTGGAGAACGGTTCTCTGTAGCCAAAGCCAGCCGATCAGATTCAACGAAATACAGATCCGATGGAGTCCAGCACGATGAACAGACAGACCTACCAAGGAGGGACTGGAGAACGGTTCTCTGTAGCCAAACCAGCCGATCAGATCCAACGAAATACAGATCCGATGGAGTCCAGCACGATGAACAGACAGACCTACCAAGGAGGAACTGGAGAACGGTTCTCTGTAGCCAAACCAGCCGATCAGATTCAACGAAATACAGATCCGATGGAGTCCAGCACGATGAACAGACAGACCTACCAAGGAGGGACTGGAGAACGGTTCTCTGTAGCCAAACCAGCCGATCAGATCCAACGAAATACAGATCCGATGGAGTCCAGCACGATGAACAGACAGACCTACCAAGGAGGGACTGGAGAACGGTTCTCTGTAGCCAAAGCCAGCCGATCAGATCCAACGAAATACAGATCCGATGGAGTCCAGCACGATGAACAGACAGACCTACCAAGGAGGGACTGGAGAACGGTTCTCTGTAGCCAAACCAGCCGATCAGATCCAACGAAATACAGATCCGATGGAGTCCAGCACGATGAACAGACAGACCTACCAAGGAGGGAACTGGAGAACGGTTCTCTGTAGCCAAGCCGAAGGACAACATACCCATAGGATTAAGGTGATGGTTTGGTTCGGAAATTCTCATAACTGTTTATATTTTTGTTTTCAGTTACCACGAAAAAGGCGAACCTCCTTCGATTTTCATGTCTTCTTTTTTCGCTCCGGTCGATTTCGTCACAACTCCACTCCGCCAATCTTCCGCGGGTCGAGTTGATTCGTCGAAACCGCGCGTGATGCCTTTCTATTTAGGTTGATTCAAAATCGTATTAAAGTAATAAAGTCTTTCATATGATCAAATTTTCTTTGCAAGATTGACTGAGGATGGAGACCTTATGAGTTTAACGCGTTTTTTTTTATGATTTTAAAAGATCAAGAGCCTGTTAACTTCGATTGTTACAAGTTCTGATTGGAAAAAATCTAAAGGAAAAAAAAAATGGTAATTCGAAGCAGCTTTTGATTTTATCTTCACTGAGATTTCATAATATCTAACGTGGCTCTAAATTGTTTTTTTAAGTTTATTTGAAAACGTAAGGGAAAGAATAGCAACAAAAAAAAAACAACAAAGTATAACAAAAATATTCTCAACTTCTTCTTTTTCGCTCAACAAAAAAACAACAATTTGTGAAACCCCTTCAACGGCGTTTGGTCTTTTTGAAACCTTTGGGTTTGCGGATTTTGGACTTTTTGCTCTTCTTTCCTTTTCTGGAGTTCTGCTCCTCTTCCTCAGCGTCTTCCAACATGGCGGCAAACTGAGGAACATTTTTATTTGAAAGTGAAAATATCGAAATATGGATACCTCATCGCCAGCCATTTCATAGTCGTTTTCGCCGATATCTTCGTCGCTAGAATCGTCTCCAGCTGAAAAAGGTCAGTCCTCCTTGAATAAGACGTTGAAAACGAACCGATGGCCTTGCCGAAGACGTTTTTCGAGTTCTCATCGTCGCCGTCGTCTTCATCGCTGTCGACGTCATCTTCTTCATCGTCTTCCAAGTCCTCATCTTCCCCGTCATCTCCCTGAACTACTGTTGAAGAAGTGATCCCTGAAGAGTTTCGACCTCATCATCATCGTCGTCCTCGTCGAAATCTTCTTCGTCGTCATCATCCATCTCGACGTCTTCCTCCGCCTTTCTTTTCTAGAAATTTCCGGTCAGCAAAACACAGAGTATTCATCCTTGCAAAAATTTGCTTGATGGAAAAATCAACTTTTTGAATAATTAATCAAAAAAACTATTGTTTTTTTGTGGTATTTTTCTGTTTTTTTCATTAAAATTGAAAAAAAGGGTTTCAAGAGTTTGGAGGATTGAAAAAAAAACTGGGAGCATATCTTTGCTTTCATAACTTCGTAGGACCGACACTACTTCATGAAAAAATACAAATAAATCATCCTTTTTTATTCTAAATTTTGGGAAAGTTAGAATCGAGGGAGTGCTATCAGATTCTTGGCAGAATCTTTACAAATTTTTCATTTTCGACCAAACCAAACCTCGCCACGTTTCTTCTTCTCGGCCGAGAACTCCTTGCTGTAGTCGATGTCGAACTCGTCATTGGCGCCTCCCGGCTCGAACCGGTCCATGATGGCGTCGAACTCCTCAGAGTTGACGCTCTCGATCTCCCAGTCGTCGTCCTCGGCGCCAGGCTCCTTCTTCGGTTTTTTCTTGTCGTTGATCCGGAGGACGGTCGACGCGTAATGGTGCAGGAAGCGTTCATCCGCTGGGATTTCGCCGCGTTTTTTCGAGGTGTACTCCTTGGAGTCGACGGCCAACTTTCGGACGCCCCAGGGGTCGTGGGCCTTCTTCCTGACCACTCGGGCGGCTCCTTCCTTTTTCTGAATTAGAATTTGAGCTATTCAAACAGTGGGTCACGTAGAAGATCTATGTACCAATAAAAAAAAAACAGCTCTTTGTTGTGTTTAGTATGTAATCTTCAATTTTCACACCAAAAATCCTCCTTTTCTAGGATTATTTCTTGAAACTTGATGTGAATTACGAGATCTTTTATGCCAAAGACTTCGTGACTTTTTTCTGCAAGTGTAAAAAACAATTTAAAACCCGATTGAGAAAATTAATCGTACCGAACAGATTGAGAAAATATTTTTGAAGGTGTGGGATCTATTTTAACGAAACCTGAACTGAGTAGTTTGCAAAAAAAAAAAGATTTTTCCGAAAATAGTTTACCCAAATTCTCATCAAAATTTTCAACCTTTCCTTCTTCAAAAAATTTTAGGGCCCTGAGTTGAGAAAAGGAACATGAAGGTTATATAATAAAGATTCGAAGAAGTTTCGAAAAATAGTTCTCTGCATGAATCTATGAAAGAAAATGCCTCAAAAAGTTAATTAGTTAATTTTCTTTTTGATCCCTGTTCCGTTTCGAACACTGAAGATGTCAAAACTGATGAAAATCTCCAAAAGTATAATATCAGGAAAAAATGAATATCAAAAATATACCTTCTCAATTTTGGGATTCCTGAACGCGAATCGATCGAGGAAGCTCATTAGCGAGAAATCGTTTAGCGCATCTCCATTGTAGTTTATTTCACGTCCCTAGAGAAGAAATAGGACTTTAAAAATAGGAAGGAGTTTTTCGGGCACCTCGAGCAAGGCTTGGGCGAAAACAGCGACAGAAGGATGATAATGTTTGGCGAGAAGCAAGAGTTCGGCGTCGGCCACAGTGGAGCTGTCGATGTAGAGAGGATTCCGGGCGTCGGGGTCGTACGGCGATTTCGCGTCGCGTTTCCCTGAAAATGGGCGAGAAATGGAGGTATTTATCCAATTTTAGGCAAAGTCCGAAAGGCGTTCAAAAGCATCCTAAAATTCTTCTGAAAAAGATGGGAAAAGGTTCATTTTTGTTCACCTATTCCGATAGTTCATTCTTTTTACTTGTTTTAATGATTTTTCAACTCTCATAGGTTTCCTGAAAATTGTGTCGTTCTGTGTCGTCAGCTCTTGTTCATTTTTTCCCTGTCCCGCTTGTTAGAATCTCACTAAATCGAGCAAAATATAAGACTCCTTAGAGAGACCATTTTAGACACTTGCTTTTCACCCCATTGTTCTAGCCTCTCGAACTTTGCCTGAGTTGTCCAGCTAACCACTGATCGTTCGATGAACCCAGCCGCCTTTGCTGCTCGGACCCAAGCTGCCAGCTTTCACTTTCTTCTTGTCATCTTCATTCAGCGGCTATAAAAAAAATAAATATTACCAGGTTGACAAGATTCGTATTGAATTTCGTTGAAACTAAATGAATCTATCGATTAAGAGGTAGTTTTCATGCTACTTCAAGAATTTTTGCATGTTCTACCTTTTGCCTATTCCTCTTCTAGTTACACGGTTCTCAATTCGAAAACGTCAATTTTTTTTTCTATTTTGAAAATTTTGTCACTGCATCCTAACGGCGGAGAAGTTCATGGAAAAAGATTTTGAATATTTTCTCATTTGTTCGAAATCAAGCGCTTCATGACGTCATTGCATTTCACAAGCCAAACAATTTATTCCTATTTTTTCTGTATTCCACAACCTTTTCTTCTTTGACCTCCTCCTTGACGACCTTGACTTCGTTTCCTTCGTCGTCGACGTCGAAATATCTTTCCTCCTCGTCGTCATCCTCAGCCGCCGCCGCATTGAGTGCAGCTTTCTTAAAATCATGGATCATTCCATACACTCATTTCGGAGCAAACATCGACATCCTTCTGCAAAACGACGAGTGTCTCCGTTGGCCGGAGACCTTTCAGCTTCGAGATGGTTATCAAAATGCTCGCAGCGAATTCCGCCGTCTCGTTCACAGCCGTCTAAACGATCCGAGTAAAAAGTGAATAGGAAATCCTGATTATTGGGTCGAACTTTGAAAAGGAAGGGGTTTGAATTTAATTAAATACAAAGAGAGGAAAAATCCAATATTTCTTCAAAAATTTTGCTTTCCTTGACCTTATTTTTCGTATTTTAAAACGCATTTTCAGAAGCTGTTTAACTATATGGTTGAAAAAACTATAGGATTTCGCTATCTTTCATTATAAATAAAAAAAATTTAAAAAAATCTTTTCAAACCCAGAAACGTCATTGTTTATGGATTTAAGTTAATACCTGCAAAAGTCGCTTGACGAAAGTGCGAACGCGCATCGCAGAAGGGTCTTCTTTCAAGGTGTCGAAGAGCAACTTGATGAGCTGGGCGTAAGCCGAAGGAGAGCACTGGTCGAGGAGTTTCCGATAGAGAGCCCCGTAGTAGCGGTCAGAGACGAAGTCACTTAAGAATCCACTTATGAGGCTCAATAAGAAGTTTCTGTACTTGAGCTTGTGGAACTGGAAGAGCAATCGGAGGGCCAGAATCGAGGTTCGAATATTGGGGCTGTGGGCGAATTTGTAGATGCCTTGGACGTCGTCGATGAGCGATTCCACGCCTGGAGAGGATAATTATTGAAACTATTTTCATCGACTTTTCCCTATATTCTTAGCAAAATGCACGTTCAAAACAGCTTTTCAGCATGGAAAATGTAAAAAGCTATCACGGAAAAAATATTTTATGGATGAAAGTTGAAGTCATCGTTTTTTTCATAATTTTGGACGTAAAACGAATATTCTCTGCTTTTTCTTCTTTCCTCATAGAGGTCACGGATTTCTGTTCTGAAAAATTCCACCACAACGTGAAGCAGAAAAAAAAACTTTTTTAAATCTTTCTATTATCATTTTTCTAATGGAATTAAGCTTTCTTGACTTTAGAAATATAAGGGAACTAGATTTCTAGTTGTTTTGTTGTTAGAAAAAGCGCCTTTTGAATGTTGGAAGAATGAGCCTTCTCATAGATGAGCCGCCTACCTGACTTCGAGGATCTATTGAAAAGAAAATGCCTAACTCTAACCAGTTTCAGACTTTAAGCTTCAGAAATTTTCGAGAAAAGGTATAAGACTTTTCATACAAAATTGACTGCATCGAAAACTTGAAACTCAATCTTACGAGATCTCATTCGACTGATTTCAAACTACAACTCTCAATGGAAGTCGAGAAGAACCTTTAGCGAAAGGAAAAGCGCGGTTGGCGCCAGCGAGAAGAATGGGAAGAAGTCGATTGTCGGTGATCTTCTGGTTGACGAGCGTCTTGAAGAGGGCCAAGTAGATGGCCATGACGCGACACGCGAGTTCCCCGTCTTCCGTCGAAAACTGCATCTGCGACAGGAACGTCACCGAGTACAGGTGGGCCCGTTCGTTCACGTTCTTCCTGAAGAAATTGTTTTTCAACTGTTTTGGAAAGAAAATAAAGAAAAAGAAATTGGGAAACTTAGAAAAGAAATAATTTACTGAGAATATGAAATAAAAAAAATTTTTTTAATTTTCTTTTTCGATCTCAGTGAAAACTCCTCTTTTTAAAACCGATCTCATTCTATCCGAAAAAAGGAAAAGAAAAAAGGACACAAAATCAGAAAGTTTACGAGCATCCAAATATAAAAAACTTTAAATCGTATTTATCAACCGGTGAAGGTGAACATGAAGAAAAAAGTGTAGAGACAAAACATAGAAATATATTCCTGTGTATTGATTTATCTCACTTTGAAATTTTTGCAGTTATTGATCCCTACATAAAATTTATCCGAAAAATATTTTTATGCTTTTTTCTTCAAATTTATCGTTTTTTTTCCACTTTTCAATTCAGGACTAGTCGACAAGACACTCTAAAAAAATTTCCTCAAACGGCTAGCGTCTTTTCCAAAAATATTGAAAATTATAAATAACATTCGTTATGTTTTATTTCTTTCTTTTAAAAAAACTCCACCTGAAAAATGAGTCTTTCGATTTCGGCGACGATGACCGGCCGCATGGCGGGATGTCGACGGGCGACGTCCTCGAAAATGTGAACCAAATTCGCGCCGATTTTGTAGTTCGGGTGTCCGAAAGCGTTGACCAGAATCGACAAAGCAACCTGAAAAAATGAAAACAATAACAAGCAAGCACTGAAAAAAATGGCGTGAATTCGAACAAGTACTTGAAAATAACAAACAAAAACCAACATTTTCAGCCTCCGGCCTCTCAATCAAACAGTTGGCCACTGCTCGAACAGCCCTTTTGCTGACGTCTTCCAAAGGTCTTGAGATGATTTCCTGAATGAAGCGAAATTAAGATGAAAGAAAGGGAAAAAATGCTCAATTTGAATGATGTTTCGAAAAGTTAGAGCAAAAAAGGAAAAAAATCACAGCCAAAGACTGCAGGAACTGCTGATACATGGTCTTGACGTCGTTCTCGAAGGCCCACAAAAGTAGAATTTTCCTTCTGGATCGATCATTTCCAGAAGAAAGCTGGGTTAGATCAGCAAGGGGTCTCTGAAGATGGGAACTATTATTTATCATTGAAAATCCAAACTCACATTAGAGAAAGTCAAGAGTTTTCTCTGGGGCGGCAAGAAATGGTTCAAGAAAACGTCCTCGAGAATGGCTAAAAATATCAATAAATAGGAAAGAAAATGAGTATTTCTAACTTCAACTTCAATCTCCTTCTTTGAAAAACCAAAAAAGAGCAAATATTCACCCCAAAAAACTCCCAGTACTAAATTTTCGATTTCGTCTCATTTTCTATCAATAACGTTGGACAAAATCTTACGGATCGTGTCGATGATGTCGCGAGTTCCCGGCTTTTTCATCCCACTCAGCAACTTTTCAACGTATTCCAAAGAATGGACAGGTGATTTGTGCATCTGAGATATGAAAAATGTACTTTTTTCGATTTTCATGTTTGAAAGACCTGGAGTTGCATGGCGGTTCTTCTGTCAGCCGCCGTACCCTTGGCGATCACCGAATAGAACCAAGAAGCCTCCGATCCGCCGTCGGATCTCTCTCCTTAAGGGTTTTTTTATTTTTCAAAAAAACATTTTTGGAAAGGAAATGTTTTCTAATGTTCCCGGAAACCTAAAAAAAGCTTTTTCCTAAAACCTTTTTCAGAATTTTTTTCAATAAAAAAACCTTTACAACTTGTTCTGATGATTTTCCTGTGAAGAAATCATCAGAAACTGCTGACCATATGCAGTAGCTTATCCACAGACAAATAAAAAAACTGACTTTGTTGGAAAAGAAGAGAGTCCTGCTTGAGAGCTTCTCGTCCAGCTCTCAGGAAAGCTTCAACCTCAGTTCCTGGCAACTGTTTCTTGTCTTCTTCCAGTTTCTTGTCAACCTGAGAAAACTAAACTCATTGATTAAATCAAGTTTTCAGTAGGTTTTTCATGAATTACTTCTGAAAATTGGTTTTATTCTTGTTTTTCTTCTTCATAGCTCACAAAGAATTACATTTGTTTGAAACGTTGAAAAATGAACGTGAAATTTTTTTGATTGAACGAGGGCTCAAGTAAGTTTCAGTGACTTATCAAATATCAATATTTTTCCCTCTAATCAATTTCTGCGGATTTTCAAAGCCTTCTAAACTTTTATTTTAAACTGCCGTCGTTTTTTTTCCATTCCACTCAAATCTAACTTTCGTGTCCAAAATATCCTTTCAACTCCAATTTCCCTCTTTCACCTGATAACTGAACCACTGTTCTCCTTCAGAGTGCTTCACGAGAAGTCCGTCTTGTTTCAGAATCTTCTTCAACTGTCTCTTTTTAGTGCCATTCTGAGGTTCCTGAAAACATGGCATTGATTTGCAGTTCTAAACGACTTTCGTCACCTCAATCTCTTCATTCTGCTTCTTCTCTTTCTTTTTTCCGTTTTTTACTGGCTCTTGCTCAATTGATTTTCCATTTTGAACTTTTTGGACGTTTTTCAGAGCCTAAAAGTAACAAAATGTCATAAAAAGCTTTTTTCGCAAGAAAAAAACCTCCGCGACTTTCAGATCTTTTGCCGATTTGCTTTTCTGCTGTAGTTTTGTCGTTGTTTTCACTTTCTTGACTTTCATCCCTCTGAAAAATTCCTATCTCCTTTCGAAATTGAGAAAATATAAAATTTCGCGAAATATCAAAACCGAAAAAACGGATGGAATAAAGGAAGAAAAAAAATATTTTTTTTGATAACAATTTTTATACAGAACAAAGGCTATAAAATACAAATATGTGGTACTCGTAAACAAATGAGGATAAATCAGAACTCCAATAATTTCTTTTCTTTTTTTTTTCAATTCGCGTCTGGGAAAAAATGCTTGGCTGCGAATATTTCACTTTCCGTCGTCACGTTGAAAACAGGATTGATAGGAACCTGAAGAAATGTATTTATTCAAAGATTTGAGAGCTTTCTGTTCTCCATATTTTGAAAGAAAACGAACCAATCGATTGACGGAGCCGCCCAAAACTTCTCCTTCCCGTTCAATCGAATACTTCTGAGCGATGGATAGGCCGCTCAAAACATAGCAAGTGTGGTACAGATCCGGGTTCTTGTCGGGTTTGTCTCGGAATCCGCCAGTGGGAACCTGAGATTAAAATTGTTTCGAAAAACTTCGCGAATTAAATTTTAAAAAAATTTATTTTTTTCAATGAAAAAAATCTAGGCCAGAACGATTTTACGCCTCTCACAGAAAGAGCTTGACTGAGGAAAAAAATTAGGAAATTATGAAAGGTTCGAAAAGGGGACCTTATTAAATCAAGAAAAAAAGAGAGAAAAGCTGAGATAAAATAATTGTGAGCAAACTTCGAAAAGAAACCTTTAGAATTGGAACTAAGTTCGAGAATAAGAATAGGACAAGAAGAAAGTTTTTATTGATTCTGAAAGATTTATAGAGACCAGAAATTAGCTTTTTTTGAACTAAAAAAATTGAATCAAAAATTCAGAAATAACCATTTCTCCAAAAACAAACATAGCATTGAAAAAAATAATATTTTAATTTCGAAACGCCTTGAAAGTTTTACATCCATTTTTCTGCTCATATTCTTTAGTTACCTTCGGAATATATAAAAATGAAACTCTTATTGAAATGATCTAATAATCAAAAGATCTTTTCTGAGGAAAAAAAGTGTAGATTTCACACAAAGTGAATGAGAAAAAAACCGGTTCTTTTTTTTATCAAGAAGGATGTTATCCATCTATATTAAAATTCAATTTTTTCCAAATATCGGATCAAAATCGAAATTCGCACCTGACAGCCGACCAAGACGTATTCTTCCAACATTCGAGCGTCGAAAAGTCCTTTCGGCATTTCTTTTCCCTCAAAATGCCTTTTGAAAACTTGGACCACAAAGTTCGCACACTTCTCTCGCCATTTCTCCGTCGATTAACGGTAAAATGGAGCCCTGCCAAAAACTGTAACAGCCGTCGACCAACTGAAAACTACTTTCTCGGATTTATTCACAGATTTGTTCGAACTTTATTGGTTCGACCCTGGAATCCGCCTTCGAATTTCATTTGACGTCGGGTCACCCATCTCAGCAATGCTTCTATATCGAGCAATCGAAACCTGAAAAAGCCTTTTAAAAAAATTTTCCTATAAAATTGCTCTCTAATTCCATCGAATACTTTACTTATCATCTGATAAATATCTCTGCGCTTTTTGCTAGTTTATTGGTAAATTCGGAATGCTTTCAAAGAGAAAATGAAACTTAAGCGTGAGCTTTATATTATTCAAAAAACAGCGCTGAAAAAACTACAGCACCCAATAAAACGAGAGAATACTAAAATTTCAAATTTTTTAAAACAGGATTTTTGAGAAAAATCTTTTTTTCCTTTCAATTATCGGGAAAAATGCTTCTGCATGGTTCTCATCAAATAGCTCGATTCCTCAAAATAAACAAAATAACGGACCGATTCAATATAACCATCGCGGCAACGGCACAAAAAGCGTAGCCGCCATGGGCCTCCGTCATTGGCTCGCCGCCAAATCCGCCTTCATACGATTGACAACTGAAAAGAGCTCATTATGAGCTTATTGTTACCAGCAAACCTTATAATCCATTCAGCGACGCCTTCGGACAACTTCTCATAAGGCAATCCCAGAATAGCGGCTACAGAAAGGGCACAGTAAGCGCTTCTCATATCAATCTAGACATTTGTTATTTTTTAATAAACAAAATGATTCCAATTCACCTCTCCATCATCGTGCATTGTGAAATTACCAACTGGTTGCTTCATTCGCGTCAAAAAAGCAAAAAGAGTTTCCCTAAAATGTCAAAATACAAATAATTGAAAGAAAAACTGCAAAAAACGAACCTATCAATGGACTGAAGAGCTTCTTCAGTTTGAAGAGAAATCAAACACATCACAGCGGCGTAGGTTGGAGCCAAATGAGCTAATTGACCGGGACCACCTCCAGTTATTTTTTTTAAACTTTTGTCTCAAATTTTTCATTTTTTTTTTTACCTCCATATCCGCCTTTAGGATGTTCACAAGACTTCAAAAACTGAACTACAGTTGTTTTGGTCTCTTCGGAAATGTCGGCGGCTAAGATATTCATCGAATTGATGGCCCAATAACACATCCAAGTTCTACTCGCATCGAGCCCCTGCAACTTTTTTTTATTTCGCCAATTGATTTCAGCGAACGGCGTATTTTTTAGGCAGATGGTGCAAGTTTTTCAGAAGATACTCGGCGTGCCTTTCTCGGAGAATCGTTATGTTTTTGACTTCTTCCCCCTCGACGCGTTTCTCGAATTCTTCCGATAGCATATCTTCGACTCGTTTCTTCAATTAAAAAAACGAAAATTGAGAGAAGTCGAAAAACAAACCTGTTCTGTACTGGTGTAGGTGAACTGACCATCGTCTTTGTTTAAAAAATTTGATTGAAACGACCGAAAATGAGCCGTCATTTCTAAAAACTTGAAAAAACTGAAAAAAATAATGAAAAAAAAAACATGAAGAAAAAATCTCAAGGTACGCAAAATCTCCTTCGAAAGAAAATAGCAACGTGTGTGAAATAATAACACTAAGAATAACTGACGAGATAAATGCGAGCTCGGTGGCGGTACATTGACTAACTCGCAAAAATGTCGCTTTTTTCTAGGCGCGATCCCGCATTTCTCTCGGCGCGACCTCGCATTTTTCTCGGCGCCATCTCGCATTTATCTTGCATTTCGGAAATTTTCAAATTGCGAGAGAAATGCGAGCTCGCGCCTAGAAAAATGCGAGCTCGCGCCCAAACAAATGCGAAACCGGCGCGAGAAAAAATGCGAGATGTTTGCGAGCTCGTCAATGTACCGCCAGTGTCTCGCGTTTATCTCGGCAGTTATTCTTAGTGAAGAAAGAAATAAAATTATAACAAAAAAGGAATAAATAGTCTCAAAGTGAGTTCGAAAGATAAGTCCGTGGAACCCAAATCGAGAAGGCCTAGTTTTGGTAAGCGAACTTTTGGATTTTTCGAACATGTTTATTGACTTCTATTTTTTATTTTACTTTTGTTCATTTTTTGTTCATTAGTAATTTTTTATCTTTTCTTATTGTTGTACGCTTCTTCAAGAGCGGCAGAATAAATATAATTCTTTTTCTTTTTTTAAATATTTTCAGCAAAGTTTTTTTGAGGAAAATGAATGATATATATTGCTTCATTTCTCTTAATCCTTTTTAGAAAAAAAGTTAAGAGAGGCTTCCTAACTATAACTTCTATTTTTCATTTCAAAATTAAAAATGAAAAATATTTTGGGTTTTTGGAGCGCACTTGCAAGTTTCGACGGAGTGTCGTTGCGTCATTTCGAGTTTCCGGTCGCCCATCTGCCAGTACTTTTTTCTTTTTCTTTGTTTCATTCTAAACGGCATATTTTCACGTTTATATTCATCAACCGAAAATATTTAAAATAACGTATACATTAAGAAGGATGGTCTTTTTATAATTCGATTTCAAGTCGCGTTAATCTGGTCGCTTTGAAATTCGAAGTTGAAGCTTAAAAATTCTGTTGAAGAAAGAAGTATGTCGAAGTTCCCCGTACCATTACGATCAATCGGCGGGCTTCGTCCGACTGCCGCCGCGGCTTTTTCGGCCTCAAACGTCGGGTTCACACAGTCTAGGTTCGACAAGTCATCGAAAGAAAGTTTATTCAAAGATTCTGCAGCAGATCAGTCAGCTCGACAAATGTTCGCGTTGCTCCTCTTCTGAGCGGCGTCACGAAACACACTCCAGCGATTCCGATTGCTGCCATCAAGGGAGTCCGATTGTACAGCAGCGGTACTCATAATACTACCTACTTTTTTTAAATTTAATTATTTTAGATAATTTGCCTACACACAAGCGCGTTAAGTTGCCTGCTCTTTCACCAACCATGGAGCTCGGAACGGTTGTCAGCTGGCAAAAGGTTTGAATAGAAAAAAAGCGATTTATTAATTTTTTTTGTAGATTTTTTTTTCTTTTCGAGCTTTCTTAAATTTTTTAGAGCTTTTTTTAAAAATCTTTTGCGAAATAATAATTAAAAATCAATTTTCTTCCAGAAAGAAGGAGACCAATTAAGCGAGGGAGACCTGCTTTGTGAGATTGAAACTGACAAGGCAACGATGGGCTTTGAAACGCCCGAAGAAGGATATCTGGCCAAGATTATCATCCCAGAAGGCTCCAAGGATGTTCCCATCGGAAAGGTTTGTGTTTAATGAGAGCGAAAATCTAGATATGCTTTTTTCAGTTGCTTTGCATCATCGTCGAGAAGGAAGAAGACGTTGCGGCTTTCAAGAGCTTCAAAGACGAAGGATCTTCCGACGCTGCGCCCAAGAAAACCGAGGAAAAGAAGCCGGAGGAGAAGAAGCCGCAGCAAGAGGAGAAGCCACAGAAACAAGAGCAGAAGGTATATATCTCGCGTCAATTAACGTTTTTAAAAATTTTGAAATCGCGTTTTTTGTGAGTAATAGTTTTTGAAATCGCCTGGAAAGGCTTATAACAGCTTTTCCGGTTTTGAGAGCTCTTCTTGCCTTCAATTTATTATTTTTTTGAGTATTTAAAAACATCTTTTAATGACTTTTTGAAGCTTTTTTGAGACTTTCTATTAAAAATATAAGTGAAGATAATTTATTTATGCAAACTAGATTAACTTTGGATATAACAAATAGTATCTTCTTCGCGGTCAGAACTTGAGATTCGAAGCCTTTTATTCAGAATTTGAAATTTGAAAATATGGATAGAATTCTTGTTATACTCTGTCCCATGTTGATTTTGACCTGAAAATGCGTTTTTCAGGATCAAGACCAACACAAGACTTCCCAAAGCCAGTCGGTCATTGCTTCGTCGAGTTCTGGTCGCGTCGTTGCCACGCCATTCGCCAAGAAATTGGCCACTGAGAAGGGACTCGATCTTTCGGTTATTATCTTTTTTGAAAGTTCGGATTTTTGCTCAACAAATGATAATAGTAGTGAATTTTCTTTTATGTTATTCCGAATTTTTTCAGTGCAAGATTTGAGGAATTTCGGGAGAATTATAAACCATGGAATTATGAGAGAAAGTTTTTTGCACCGGTAGAAATTTTATGATTAGTTTTTCAGAAATCTTCATGGGCTGTATTTTTGTTAAAGTTGTGAAAGAATTTTTTTTGAAATAATCTTGCAAAAAGGTTATTTTTACTCTTGAAAGTCACTCCTATCGGAAATAAGTGACGATGATGATTTTTAAGAGCTTTATTTGTGGACGTTGTAAGGAAGTTGATGAATATAAAAAAGTTATAGGGAATCAGCGGATCTGGACCCGGAGGACGTATTCTGGCTTCGGATTTGGCCAACGCTCCAGCCAAGGGATCGACTTTCGGGGCCGCCCCGGGCGTCGCCGCCGCTTCTGGCGCCGGTCAAGACTACACCGTTCGTTTTAAATTTTTTATTATTATCAAATTTTCTGCTCATTCAAAAAAAAAATTTTAAAAAAAAACGCTTTTTTCCAGGACATCCCATTGACCAACATGCGCAAAACCATCGCCAAACGGCTCACTGAGAGCAAATCGACCATTCCTCACTATTACCTGACCAGCGAGATCAATATCGACGCTCTTACCCAGTAAATTATCTTTTCATGGAAAAAATGGGAAACATTTTCCAGGGTCCGAGAGAAACTGAACGCCTTGCTGCAAAAGGGATCTTCTTCCAGTGCTACCAAGATTTCCATCAACGATTTCATTATCAAGGTTTGGAATTTTCACAGAGTTTGGACGTTAAAACTCATTCATGATTTTAATTGAAGAGATAGTTGTTATAGTGGTAGTAATAAATTGTTTATTTTCATAAACTATAAAAACTTATGAAAAACCCCTGGGCCGAAAAAATTTTTTCTGGAGAATCGAAAAAAATAAACCTCTAAATTTTATAAAAAGTGTTGGGTTGACGACTGTGAATCTGTGTTCAAAATCAGATTTTCCTTCTAACCTGACTTTCAACTATTCTCTCGAACAAATCTTTCACGACTTTTCAAATTTAGCGCTGTAGTTTTTTTTTTTGGTTCATTTACGTACCATGGGCTTACAAAAAGCGTCAAGAAAACATTTTTCATTTCCATTTTGAATTAAGGTTTTCTTATTGTATTCAAATATAAAAAAGCTGTTAGAACTGGAAATTAGCGAGTCACCCTAGTTTTTCAAGTTCGAAATCGACATTTTTTTTTTGAAAATCACAGTCCAAAGCTTATTGTTTAAAAAAAAAATCAGAAAGTAGGTTTTTCTAAACAGTTCGTGCACATACATCTCTATTGAGAGATTTCGATCTGAAAAAAATAGTTCAAAAATCATTTTTCAATTGATTTGAAAGCATTTATTGAACCATTCTTCCTTCCAGGCTTCGGCCCTGGCCTGCCTCCGTGTACCCGAAGCCAACAGCTTCTTCATGGACACTTTCATCCGCCAGAATCACCACGTCGACGTTTCCGTCGCCGTCAGCACGCCGACCGGTCTCATCACTCCGATCATCACCAATGCTCATGCCAAGGTAAACATTCACTTCGTCATATTGGAAACTGCGGGAAAGTTGATAAATAATAAGCCAAACCCATTGCATTTAATCCATTGATCTTTCTTAAATTCAAAACTGACTTTTCAAGGGATTGGCGACGATCGCTTCGGAGATTGTCGAGATGGCACAGAGAGCTCGTGACGGAAAGCTTCAGCCTCACGAATTCCAGGTAAAAATCTAGATTTTTAACTACTCATTCTTATTGCTTTCTGTAGAGATCTAGAATTTATATCATAGGCGGAGTTTCTTTATTTTATAGTAGGAAATTTTTTAAATAAAATTTTTAAAAAAAGTTAGAAGCCGAAACGACTAGTAAATTTCAATACAATTTTGAAATTCAGGGCGGCACATTCACCGTGTCGAACTTGGGAATGTTCGGCAGTGTGACCGACTTCACGGCGATTATCAACCCGCCACAGTCGTGCATTTTGGCCGTCGGAGGCGCCTCCGAGAAGCTTGTCCCGTGCGAGAAAGAAGGGTTAGTTTGAAATCGATTCCAAAAAGAATGTGTAATTAATCTTTGCTCATTTTAAAGAAACGTTTTTTTCTAGAAATTAAGCTAACATATAAGAGACACCCGCCAGTTTTACAATGTTTTTTTTTCTATCGGTTTTTCGATCAAGAATTAAAAAAACAAGATATTTTAAATTTGGTTCTCATTAAATTTCATGTGACCGCATTTTTTTCTACGTTTCACTTTATTTTATATTTTTGAAAAAATTCCTCTGATATATTTGCGAGGAACCTAATATCCCCAATTTTCTGCAATATTCTGATTTTTACACCAGGAAAGATTCAAAAATTATATTGATGTTTTTCTCCACGACTGTCTTGAGCCAATATTTTAAAAGAATACAAAGATGAGGCTATTACACGGTATTGGTGGAAATTGAATGGTAGCATTGAGACGTTGTGACCCTTTTTTCTGTGTTCCAAGTTAGCTGAGGAAGGTTAGATTAAATTTGAGTCCAAGGTGATTAAGAATTGATTTGATGATTCTGCAGCTACCGCACGGTGAAAGTGATGAAAGTGACGCTCTCTTGCGACCACCGCACGGTCGACGGCGCTGTCGGAGCCGTCTGGCTGCGTCATTTCAAGGAGTTCCTCGAGAAACCTCACACTATGCTCCTTTAAATCCGCCTTCTTTAAGCTCCTCCCCCGGTTGTTCCTATCTTGAAAATCAATATTTTCATCCTTTTTGCATGCTATTTTTCCAAAAAACTTCATAGCTTTTTATGAAACAATGTGTTATTAGGAATTAGATTGTCGAGCGTATTATTATTATTTTTTCCGTTGTTTTTATACTTTTTTTCCGTTAGAAAATAGCCATGTTGATTTTGATAGTGAGATGATTTCTTTTATTTTTATAATGTTTTTCATCTTTTTTTCTCTTAAATCTCGTGTCTTTATAATAATTTCATAGTGTCGATGTTCACGGTTGAAATTTTTTTGCGTTTTTAATGCCATCTTAACAAAAATTTAGACAATAAATTTTAATTAAAACGAAGTGAATTTTGTAGGGACCGCGTATTTAATAGAGAGAAGAGTAGGTAGAGTAGAGGGCGCTTTGAGGATAATTTTGGGAAAATGTACTAAAAACTGCTATTTTTTTGATAGGACTTGAGAAAAATCTTAGTAAGTAAAGGCGAAAGATGAAAAAAAAAGCAATAGAAAAAGTATTGAATCTTGATTTCACCTCCGAGTTTTTATCAACTTTTTCAATAAGAAACTTATCATTCCTAACCTTACCTAAGAACTAAAAAATGATTCTATTATCATTCTTCTTTTTGAGCTAACCCTCTACTCTTTTTTTCATATTTTCTTCTTTTACGGTCTCGGTCGACAGAATCCGCAGCTCAGAGCGCAGTTGGCAAACATCCAATTGATGTGAAGTCTGAGGCGGCAGAGCTGGAGCATCTGGCCGCAGCGACCGGCGGTGTCAGCGTCCACACATGCTAAATAACAGGATAAATACCTTAAAAAAGAAGAAGAATGAGCTCGAAAAATGAGGGAAAAAAAAATGAGCGACATTGCTCATGTTAGACAAAATCTTTCAAACTCACGCCGTCGTGTGAATCCGCTGCGTCCTCTTACGAACTGAACACTTTTTTGAATTTCAAATTATTTCCTTCTGTTTACCTGACTGACACGCCTTCTAGGCGCGACGCTGAACTGAAAATAATCCGAAATCGTTATTTTAAAGCCTTTTTTAATTCACCGCAACTTCGTTCGATATGACTCCGGTTGGTCTCTGAAATTATTCAGAAGGAATGAAATTTTTGGATAATTTTTACTCACCGGTGGAATGGCTTGGGTGAACGGTTGGGTTTGGCTGAAATACATTAGATATTCTCGAAATTTCAAGATATCCTTACACTGGAGGAGCTGATGTGAATCCGCGGGTGAAGCCTTGTCGGAAGTTGTCTGAAAATGAGACAAAAGTTATTCGGCAAAGTGGAGTTTTTTTTCCTAAAGGGTATATTGATACTTTCGAAAAATTCTCGCATCTTCTTAAACTACGAATTTGTGAGGGGTAAACTCTCTAAGTGAACGCTAGAAAAGTATGTGGCCACTTAAGAAAAACATTCTCTAGTAACAACTTCAAGATATTATGTGTTATTATTGTCAAGATAGATTACTCCATTCGTTCCTTGTAAGGTCAAAACTGTTAGAAAAACATTATATTCTCTCAAAATTTTAATAACTCCTTTTCGATAAACAGTTTGAGAATTTTGATTCACAGTTCAGAAAGCCCATTCGATAACTATTATTCCAAAAAAAAAACACACGAAAAAAAAATCTTACTTTGGGAGGGGACGAATCGTGTCGTCGTAGGTATTACCTGAATGAAAAATATCATGAAACTAAAATTTCTGAAAAAACCATATGAAAAAGAGGAATGTTCAATTCATCTGATGAAAAAAAATTGAAAACCTGTGGCGGCGGTGGAGGAGCAGTCGGTCGGTCAATGAAAGCTGGTGGCGGCTGGACCTAAATTTTCGAACATTTTTGAAAATTTTCTCTTCTTTCTAGCAAAAGCTGGAACTTTTTAGTATCTCAAAACGTGAAGCTTGATTTATTAACGCGTGTGAAGTGCAACAGAAAAAAAATTGATCTGATAAATACTATGTAAAAAAACAGATGGCCTTGAAACACAAATTGCACAGCTTTGAGAAAGGTTAGTGAAAAAAATTGACTATCAAGGGTGAGTGAAGAACTGAAAAAAATAAATTTCAAAGAGAAAAAAATTATAAATCTTTTGCTTCGGATGAAGTTCCACTATAAACAAAATTTGCCAAAAAAATAGAAAAAAAGTATAAAAACTTATGATAAATATTTATCATAAGTTTTTATACTTTTTCTATTTATATAAATATGAGATTAGAAATTTTTCGAAATTGTGTTGTGAAAAAAACCTTGATCTTTTTTTCTTGAGAAATGAAATGTTACATATGAAAATATTTTCTAATTTTAAAAATGTTTTCTCTAGATTTAATAAGATCAAATTTCTTCCTGGCGTTGTAAAAAAACACTAATAAATAAAAAGCTAAGTTTTCGTTAAATTTATTTTTTTCTTTTTGCTTTTCAAAGGAACTTTTTGTTTATGGATAAACTACAAGACAAAACAGATTGCATGGAAAAACTCGAAAAATTTCTGAAAAAAAAAGAGTTTTTTTTTCTAGATATTACAGCGTCTCTATGGAAGCCCGTCATTCTACATTTTTTTCACAGTTTTTAAAAATTTTTCTAGAAAAAAACTGAAAAAAAGTGAATAGTAAGTGTTAGAGAAAGTGCAAAGAGAATGAAAAGAAGCGTGATCAGCGTCCGGAGGTGCCGCGATGACGAGTACGAACGATTCGGGGAGCGGCAGGTCTTCCGCTCTCGAACATCGAGACGGTGTCCATCTTGAACTGTTTGGTCGGCGGCGGGACGGTCGGAAGGGGCGCCACGTAGGACGGGAAGCCGTCGCGGTTGAGTCGACACGGAGGAAGGGGCTTCGACCTCACCGACCTCACCCAGAACATCGTCTGGTGCTTCACCACCGTTGCTCTAAAATTGATCTGTCTTTCTGAAACTGTAACAAAAATGAAACTTTTTTCCCCTCTTTCTTAATACCTGAGCCTCATAGCGAAGGTCATTTTTTTGTTGTGAATTTCTTGAAAATTGGCGAGAATACTCTTTTATGTACCCTACAAAGGAGGTCGTGAAAGTCTCAACTTGCAAAAATTCCTTGTTTTTGAGAAGAAAAGTCTAAAAACCACTTATTTAAACGGACCTTGAGGGTTGTCTTCGGCTTTGAGGTCTCCTGTTCCAAAAACTAGAAAGTTTTGAGATTGAGACTTTCAGAATATTAACCTGATACATCAAAAAGTGTTCTGGCCAATTTTCAGGCAATTATTAACCCCCAAGTGAGATAAATTTTCAAAGGAACTCACACGAACTGAACAGTGTCCACCTCGTCGTCGACCTTCCACCACATTTTTATATGTTTCTTCTTCTCGTCGTGAGAATGCGTGGCGGAATCTTTGAATCTGAAATATAAACTTTTGATAAATGAATAATATTATCCAGAACTTACATTTAGAAAAAAAACCAAGAAAAATCAATGAATCAAACTGGAAATCAAGGTCTTGATTTTCTACAGTTTTCCCGTTTTTTTAAATTTTTTTTACAGGCCGCTTATGTAAAAATAGAGACAAGAAAAGAAAAAAAAGTTCAAGAATTATTAAAAGAGAAATTGTAAGATCTGATGAATAAATAGATAACATATTCGTGATTTCTACTTAAAATAGGACTCTAAATTCCAAAATTTTGGTGTTGAAATTAGTGTTCGGAAATAAATAGTCTTTCAAGAACATCCTACCTGAAACACTGCTGCTGCCACGAGCCATTGTCGTCAAGTCTCACTAGTTGGCCGATTCTAAAACTCGAACTTCTTTTTTTTTCAGAAAATTGCTCTCACCTTGGTCCAAGCCTGTCGTTGTCCCATTGATGTGGCTGAATATTGAAGCCTTTGAACCAAACCGACTCGTTCAAGCCTTGGATGGTTACTGTAACTTGGAAATTACTGTAGGAAAATAATAAATTCTCACGTCCGATAGGTTGATTTCTCCAATAGCATTTTTGGTCAACGGCAATCTCGTAAGGGGGAACGGTCAACTGAAAAAAATGATGAGTTTATTATTAAGTTACTGGTTTTTTTCAAAAAGCCAATACTGTAAAAAAGTCAGGAAAAAATGACAGCTCTCAAAAATTTTCCAAATATCTTAGCAAAAGGCAGAGGAAAATACGATATTTTTCGTTTCTGTAATATGAGCAATAATAGAGTTCTCGGGCTTCAATCTTATTGCAATAAAAACTTTCGTACCCGAATAAGATATTTAGGATAAACTCAAATTTTTCTTCTGTTGTTTACAACTGAAAAAAACTCTAAAAAATTCAAATAAAACTTTTTTTATTGATTAAAAAAAGCTCAATGACAGACTCGGAAACCGAATCGAAATCAATTATTCCAACCTGAAGACCTCCTTGATGTTCTATAGCTTCCAGTGGGTTCATACTTTCCATGGCCGAGTGGATACAAGGTGCACCGTCTGGCCAGGCGCCAACTCTGCCGAGTGACGTCATCGCCAGTAGGCATGACAAAAGTGACCCCAACGGGGACATTACCTACAAATAACCAAGTCCAGCAATCAGAGATAAGAAAAATAGAGAAATCAACAATCCAAACATCGCAAAAATTGAAAAAAAAGCCATATAACTTTTCATTTTGATCCATCATTACGACGATGTCTTCAGAGAGTTAAGTAAAAGAAGTTTTGAAAACTCAACAAAAAAGATTCCCAACGTCTATATTAGTTTGGAAGAGTTTTAATACTACATATTGTCGCACTTGGAATGGCTAAAAGGGAAGCGGTTGAAGTCGTGACTTGGCTTCAGAAAGCTTCCTCTTATGTTTACTGATATCCTAGTGCGTAAATCTGTCCAGGTCCGACGCAGCACGAAGAAAACGCTTCCAATCACTCTAATAGGATCAGGAAACTTCCAAGTAAATTTGGTGCATTTCAAAGTTTAAGAATTTTTTTCGTCAAAACCTTCAAAAAAATATACTTTAATAAAATGATCCTAATTCTGCAGCTTTAAAATCAGAACGATTAATTTGAGATTTTTCTCAACCGGATAGGTATAAATTTCTGAGAGATAATGAATACTCCTATCAGAAGCCAACCCTTTGAAAAAAAACTGCAAGTTATTTTTAAAAAAAAGTGAATTTATACGTCATCAATCGCTTTTTGAACATCTCTCAAAAGAGAAAGTACGTTGTAAATTGGATCGATTTACACTTAAGCAACGAAGAACAAAAATAAAAAGGACACGCAAAATGAAAAGTTGAGAAAACGGTGCCCTCGGAACGGCTTTTTTCCTTCGGACAAATGAGGCTGACGAGGGGGACAGATTGAAGAACTCGATAAAAATCAGAGATATATTTTTCGAATTCCTTCTGCATCAGAGAGTATTACAGAAAATAGTACAGAAATGAAGTTAGGAGAGTACAGGAAAAAGAGCAAAAATGTAATTGGGAGGGGGTTCGAACCAGAGAGCTTGTGAATGGAAGACGAAAGATCTATAAACTGAGCTGTGGTGTGATAAAAAAAAGCCTATGTCAACTTTTCAAAGTGGAGAAGCGGTTATTTTGAAAATGCAGACCTCTTAAAATAAAGGGCAAAAAAGAGCTTGCGATTCTAAATCAGAAATTCTATAACCGGCGACATTCAAATCACAAATCTTTGAATATTGATATTAAAAAAAAAAGACTTGTGGTTGTAAACTCAACCGAAACAGGGTTGACCCATTCTAAATGCGGCCTAACGACTCAAAATTGTCACAAAGGAAGTCAAAACCACTTTTGAAAAACAGATAAAGCTTTATCATTTCAAGCTCAAATTACTTGGGAAATCAGAAATTCTGCAAACTCAAATAATTAGCTGAGAAAGTTCTTCGTAAAAAAAAATTGATTAAAGTTGAGTGTTTGGTTATAAGTTTCCAGAAATGTATAAATACTCAAGTTCTAAAACAAGCAAAACTTATTTTTTTTAAAAGGGATCTTCTCTGAACAAAAAACAACAGTGAAATGTCCTTGAAGAAAGTGAGGCTTATCTCAAATAGCGCTAATTCCTCAAATAAGGACCGGTTGAAAAACGAAAAAAAAAATGAGGGACGACAAATCTTCCTCACTTTCCATTTTTTCGAACTGGGGAAAAAGGACACTGTGGCAGGAAGTAAAACTACCCAAGGTCAGAAAAAGGGAAAAAAAAACGAAGAAGAAACAAAAGAAAATGTCATGGGAGAACGGTTCCGTCAAAGGCAAACGTAATTAGGGAGGCGAGAAGTAATCAAAAAAATATAGAGTAAACAAAAATTTCATCAAACTGATGGTGGGGGTCTCAATTTTTTTCAAAATCAATTTTATCCCCCATCACTTTATTTAAATTCGTATAATTACTATAGTAAAGAAGGTCGAGGAACAAGGAAGTAAGTTCGCCAGAGAAAGCGTCAAGTCGTAATAAAGCTTTTCCTTTTTTTCCAGGCGTCGCTTGGCAAACTGGATTTTGACTTGAAGATTCGCTGGTGGTAAACTTCTACAACAAAAATATGCAAATTGAGAAAAAGCTTGGGGAAAAAGGATAGGATGAAGAGGACTTGAGATCAAAAAGATTGACGAAACTGATGATGATAGATCTTTAAAGGTTTGTAAGTTTTTCAATAAAACTTAAAAACTAATTTTTGTTTCGAGACATTTATGAAGTTTGTTTATTGTTTTTTTATACAAATTAACTAAAACTTTTTGAACTGACTGTGAAAAAAAGTATATAAAGCTCCTTTTTTTATTGAAAGAAAAAAAGCTTGAAGCTTCAATTGATGAATAGAAAAAAAGATAACGGAAATCCGTTTTCTCAAAAAAACAAATTAAGAAATAAAAAAAACAACATGAGGATTATAGTCAAAAGAACCGTGTCAAATTTTCACTTTCGATGAAAGAAATTATTGATTAATTAAAAAAAAAACAACCAAACGAGATAGAGAACCAAGTCGAAAAATTCCAGAAAGTCACTTTAAATATCTATTTTTTTGGTCTTCAATTGAAACAGTAGCAATAAATCCTGTAAATGAGGCGCCCAGCGGAACAAGTGCATTCCAGGGCAATCAGTTATTTTTCGAGAGGAAGCAAAAACAGTAGTAAAGGGCCATTGTGGTGGCGACCGTCTGGAACCAGTTCGGTCAATTTCTCCGCTCGCCACGACGCTCCTTTTTAGGTTGGCTGGACCAACTTTGCCAATTACACTGCCCAAGGCGCACGTTTTTTTTTCCGAGGCTATTTTCAGTTTCTCACACGATTCTTGAAGGAATGGTCAGCAAGGAACTGGAGAAATAAAACGAACTAAACTGCTTTTGACCAAATGAAATAACCATGATTATCAGAAATTTCTGGGCGTCAAAAATGCTACCCATTGTGGGCTCAAATACAAGTTAGCTGACCGTCAAACGGTTCTGTTGGTTCTTTTTTCTAAACGTTTAAAACAATGAATTTTGGACTCACCGAAAAAAGTTTGCTTCAATCACTGGCTCCAGAGCGCCCAGCTTTTGTTGCATAATCTGAATTTTATCTCTAGAAAAACACTGAAAAAAATTTATGAGATAAACGTTGGTGTTGGATCGAGTCGTGACAACCATCTGTTGACAGACGCTTGGGTTGTAATCCGCACCTTAATGATGTACGATTTGACAGGAGGTCAAGAAAAAACACCTGTGACTCATTACTTTGTAATAATCTGATCTCTGGTAGCGAATTGATACAGTTGAGGAACGCCAAATGAGCTGGTTTAGCGCTAAATGAATCAAAAAAATAAGAAAAAAACTGCACAAAAAAATTATGAAAAAAAGTTTATTCAAAAACACCATTTTTCAATTTTTTTGTTGCTGTACGATCTTGCCGAAATACGTGCACACCTGCTTACACAAAAAAAGCGCAGAATTTTACGGGATTTGCTTTTTATAAAAATTTATTAATTTCATTTTTTTTAAATTTTTTTCACATAGATAAGTTTTTATTTGTTTCTGTTCAGCAAAATCCAATATCTTTAAGAATCACTGAGTCTTGGAACATAGAGAGGATTTCTATCCAATTAACATGATCTATTTTTTCTATATGTCGTAAGGATATCGAGATCATCTTTTATATTTTTTCTCATAACCCGACCTTTCGGTACCGTTTTTTTCTGTCTTCTGTTGGTGCCAACCACGACATAATTGACATAAATGAGCTCTTTTCCGCTCTCGGATTACCGTAGCCTCGATGCGACCTGAGATTGTGCAACGCTGGCGACGAAAGTTCACGGAAGCTCTCGTATGGCGGCTAATCAAATGGCGTTCCCACACGAGAGTTGCGCAATCGTGTTGGCCTCCGCAAACGACCCTTATTTGGACTCGGACATAACCTGTTAATTTGTCTAATTTCCAGGTTGGACACTTTCAAGCAATTATTTCGAACAATAGGATCAAATTTTGTTGTTTTGATAGGGTCAGGCCAAAAGAGAGGCTCAGATTTACTATTAGTTAGAAGTATCTTAGAAAACTTCTTGGAAACAAATTGCGAAAAAAATTCGCCACAACTGCGACTACTTATTTTAAATTAATTTGAAACGTAAATTGAACACTAGAGTCTCATTTTAAGAATTCCTCGTTCCTTATGAGAAATGCGACTTTTTACAATCTACCGCTTGTTGTCATTTCAAAAGAATGAAATAAAAACTGCTCTTGTAAAACTTCAAAAAGTTGGAAAACCTAGAAAATTTAAATTTTTTTTTGTTCTGACAATGTTCAACTATACTATTCTTTTTGACCACAAAACAACGAACAAACCAATATTATAGCGCATAACCATCACACCTCAAAAAACGATAAAAACAATCTTTATTGTCCCACTCGAAACCCAAAAAAACATCTCGGACGAACTCGGCGCAAATGGCCCATGAAAAGATTAAAGGCGCTACGCCGCCGTGTGTCTTGACACGAAAAAAATTAGCAAGGACTGACAAGAAGACAGTGCGCGAGGCCGTGCCGAAATAGGAGAAGCCGAGGACAATCAAAAACGGGGGCCGGCCAAGCTGGCACGTAATCCGGCCGGTCGGGCCGTTTCATCTTGGCCGCCGTCTCCTGGGGCTTCTCCTCTGCGCAAACAACCCTACTGTTATTGTGTCCTTTTATGGAGATCGCGTAAGACAACGCCTTGTTTTTTCTGCGGCGCATCCTCTTGTAGTCGATTGACACTGGATACACACCCTGGACACTGTTTGCTCAAACCATGTACTGCCGAGGTTCTTCTTCTTTTTGTTCTTTCTTCTGTCCTTTCCGCTTTGCCGACGGCTACGGTAGGTCTGGCCTCAGTTGTTCGTGAAGTATGGATCGTTCTGAAAAACTCTTTTTGTGGTTCTTAAAAATATATGTGCAGTGAAAATAGGAGATTGAGGGGAAGCAGTACCTTGTAGCGATTTTCATTGAATAAAAACAGAAAAGTTGAATTTTGAAAAGGAAGAAAAAACGAAAACTCGAAAAATGGCGATATGTGTTGACCATAGAGCAACTTTACTCAAAACGCGCTTTTGGCGGGAATTCAAACTTTTTTTTTTCTCCGACTTTGAATTAATTCTTTTTCAAAATTAGGAAGTTTGAAGTACACCATTTGAAATGCAATAAACAGATTCACAAAATGAAAAATTTGTCTCAAACCCCGTTTTTTACTCCCCACATGCCTTTAAATGTATTGTAGGACAAAAGTAATACTTTTTCTTCTCGTACTTTGACAAATTTTCCTGTGCCGATGAAGAATATGGTTCAAGTAGACTCCTATTTTTTTCTCCACCCCAGTCCATCATTCGTGAATTTAGATTCTGAATAGTAAGACTGAAAAAAGTCTAAAATTATCCAAAAAAATTCAAAATGAGGAAAGCGTACTTTTCAGATATATTAAACTTTTTTCTAGAAAAAGCTAGTGAGGAGTCTCGAAAATAAATACCCAGGTATCGCCGCCTAATTGGCTAATCCGGATTAAGGTACGGGTTATTTGGCGTCGAGATTTCTTCGCTACGCCGACAGGTGTCATATTAAAAGAACTGTAGGATATCTGGGAGCGCTGCCAAAACAAATCTTGAAACTATAATCCTTTGCCTTCTTTTAAGCTTAGACTTTAATTAAAACATCAGTAGGTCTCACTGAAATCGTTATAAAACCTGATTTTAGGCCGGCTTAAAAAATCTTTTTTTTTGCAATCATCAAGAAGATAAGTTATCCGGTATGGATTCTAAGATTTTGTCGTGGCAAAACGTTCTCCAAACACAGCAACACTGACTGAGTAAGAATAAATCATTGAGAAGAAAAATGCTCGCTATGATTATTTTCATAAATTTTACTTCAGAAGTCCTTTACATCCGCTCCAACCACCTGATCCACTTGGATCAGTGCCAAAAAAGACGCAACACTGACCGTAACCTCTTGACACGCGATCGAAGTCCTTTTTACGCAATCCAATAAGCGAGATGCCGCGACAGCGTCGCATAATCAAGTGCGCAGGACTTGCGCAACCGGCGCAAGCACTTGAAAGCGACCCGCAACTGGTTGGTCCGAGGTGTTGCCGCCAAAGCGACGGATTAAACCAGTTAGAGACCCGTAAACACTGCAATTGGCGCAGCTCATCACTTAACCGAAGCCACACCTTTGTTTGAGCTTCCGCCGGCGATTACTTCGCATTATCTGCAAATATGGTAGGACAGCCGAGGATGAGGAGGATGATTGATAAGGTTAGGCAGAGCAGCGAGAAAGAAAAGAGGAAAGTGCTGAAAAATCACAGCTGGAATGATTTTTTGAACCAAGGGTACTGTAAAGCTCGTTACGAGATCCTGTTCTGCCTGAAAATAAATAATATTATTATTATCCTGATTTGGAAAAAAAATGGTTTGAAAATGATTCCGTAACAAATACTACCTGTGTTTTCTGTATTTGAAAGGCTCAAAGAAATAATTTTTTTAAAAATAATTGGAGAGGGATCAAGTTGAAGTAACAGGAAGAGACTGAAAGATAACTTGGGCTTCCGGGTTTCTTAGTGTTTTCTAACTTCTTCCATATTAAATCGAAAACCTGAAATTTTCCAGAAAAAATCTTTCAATACATAAATATTCAAGACGCAGTTCTATTGTATAACTGAAATAAGACTGAAAAAGCCCTTTTCGAAGTTTTCAACATAGTTTTTTTTTTGCTTTCTACAGTACTCCCAGTGAAATCGATAAATTATTTTTCACCAGACCTTCTTGAGATCCTTTTTTCCTGTACCAAATAAACGCAACCAATAAATCAATCATGTATCCATCAAAATCGCAAACATCTTCAGGCGTCAGTTTACACGAGGAGCGCGCGAAAATGGGCGTGGCCTCGCGCGGGGAGAAGCCACAGGCCACGCCTCCTCGTGCTCGGATTGCGCGGCTCATTACCACGTGTGTAGTGTGTGACAAACGGTTGTGCCAGCCTTCAGTCTTCAATCCTACAGCTTCCAAGCCATCTTCTTCTTCTTCTCGTTTTCGACTTTTCGATGATCGTGAGTTTTTTATGACTTTAAAATAAGCCTTTGTAAAATTCCAGTTTGAAGCATGAAAAGGCAAAGTTTTTGCGCTTTTCCTTATCCTTTCAAACCTAGCAGAAAAAAAAGCGTCCAAAGAAAAAAAATTCAGGTCTAAAAATTTTTTGTCAGCGAGTCCGATATTTGAAAAAAATTATTTTTTTATTGTTTTAAGACTTGCTGTTTGAAAAACCAATTTGTTTTTTTCGCGACAACAAAAAGATATTTTTTTCCCTCGTAAAAAAATTAAAAATATCATTTTAAAAAAATGGCTGAACGAGAAAAATTTCAAGCTCTTGAGAATCTTGTTTCAGTGAGTCAGAAAAAAAGAAACGAAATTCCTTTTTTTCACTTTTTCGAGTAAAAATTTTGAACTTTTTGAAAGAAACATGTGAAAAAAAGTTATTCGAATCTATTGAGCGGTTGGCCTTTTTTTCATTAGACAGAACTTTGGAGGATTACTGTAAGATGAGAAGGTAACTGTAGATTTTTCTATTCTGCATGCATTTCATAACTACACAAAAATGGCTATTCAGTTAAAAAATCTTTTCAAAAATGGCGTTTTCCAAAAAATAAAGTTACTGTAAGTCCAAAATCCTAGCTTTTTGTTATTTCTTACTGTAGAGAAATGTTCTGGATACTGTGAATGATGGAAACTACTTTGAATTTCTTTTACCATCTCAAAAACTTAAAACATGCACGAAAACAAGGGGTTAATCCGGAAAAAACTATAAAAACCGGAAAAATTTTGAAAATTTTGGTTACTGTAGGTATGGAATTTTTAATATTGATTGTGTCTCACTGTAGCTCAATAACTTGTAAAACACGTCTGACCTATTCGCGAAACTCGGAAGTAGTCGGGGAAACGGCCCGAGCCGCTGAAGCGATGACGTAGGCAAACGCGAAAAACGCGTTTTCCTGCTTGGGCGCGAAAAGTGGGCGTGGCTTCTGGGAAATGGTATAAAAGTCGGAAATCCTCGGCTCATTTCTTACTTTTTTCATTGTTTCTTCTTGTCATGTCGTTTCTTACGTCTCTGTGTTGTTCATAAGTTCATTTCTTGAAATTTTTGAATTAAAAGTCGCGCGAAAAAAGCCTTTTACTCATGAAAATCAAGGAAAATTTCAAGTTTTCGAGCTTTTTTATGCTTTTTTTTGAAGGAATCGCTCCGGTATTATTTCTAAGTCGCACATAATTGAGAAATAGCTGAATTTAGTAAAATTAAAGTGTAATAAAGCTGAAAAAGTCGTAGTGTTCACATTTTTCATAAAATTCAGCAGTCAAAATTCTCCTTTTTCCGTCTTCAGAACTCCATAATTCGTAATATAAACGTCAATTTCCAGCTTGAAACTTATTTAAAAGGAAAATGGCATTTTACTGTTTTTTCTGAGTATTCTTTCGAATCAAAAATTCTACAGCGTTATAATTCTTGTTTATTCAAATTTTATGCTTGTTCAGAGCCGTGTAGATATTCTTTTTCTGTAATCAGACATATTTTTCCCAAAAATTTTGCAAAAAAATTAACTTTTTTTTCTCGTTTCTTTCTCTTTATTACATTCTCTCCCTCATTCTTAAGAATGCTCTCTAGTAAATTTGTCCACTTAAAAAGTTTTTTCGCAATTAAAGGATATTTTCGATTTGACCTACCCGAGGTCTCGGCACTTTTGACCATGTAGATCACCTCGACCTAGGTCGCAAAACGGGCGGCGCGCAAAAAATCATTTTTACCTTATATCACCTTCTAAACACCTTGCTTTTCCTTTATAGCTTCAGCTTTTCGTTAGTTTATTAATTCTGTTGATTTTTATTTCTTTGACTTATCATCGCGACCTTGTAGACTGAAATTTGATAGTTGATCTTCCATTTTTGGTGTGATCTCGGCTTTTTTGGAAAATTATTGATTTATTTTTGAATACTCGAGTTGAAAAAGGAAAAAAGGCCTTTTGCGACCTAGAAGATGACCAACATATGCAAAACACGTTTTTCCTGTCTCAAAAAGAGCTCCACTGTAATAGTTACTGTAGGTGGTGACAAAACACAGCCGCCCATGTAAAACACGTTTTTCCCGTTACGTGATAATGCTGATGAAGCCTTAGACCCTAAAGAATACTTACTGGCGTACTATAGATTGTAGAAATCGGTTAAGCCTATGATTACTGTAGCAGGAGCTGAGCTTCTCTTTCCTTGTCTTACGATCGCAGTAACCAAGACAAACTTTCAGATGTTCGCCATGTCAGCGCCCACGGACAGCGGCTTCAGCAGCCCTTCGGCGGAAGAAGGCGTCGGTCCGTCCACGTCGTCCTTCGAGTTCCTCAGCCCCTCCAAGCTCTCTCGGGTCTCGCGACGACTTTGCTGTGACGTCACGCCGCTTCTGATGACCGACGCTTGCAACGCCGCCACACAAACTGATTATTGTAAGTTTTTGGGAGTTTTGAAACTTCTAGAAAAAAGATGAGAGAGACCGAACAAGTGTCGAATTTATGAAGTGAAACTTTGATTTCAGTTCTAACTTAGACGTCTTGAAATCCAGGGATCTTCAGAGTAGCTTAAGCTTGAAAACGGCTTGAAAAAGCTTTGATATTCCTTTCTAAATTCTCGATTTTCAGGTATTCCGGAGTTTCATCCAATGGCCCGACGAATTGCGTCCCGGCTGCGACAAATGTGCGACGAATTTGAGCAAGAGCTCCAGGACCAGGTACTTTTTTTTTCTCATGTTCAACCTTTTCCTTAGAAAAACATTTTCTCATAACTAACTTTTTTTGTTTCAGAAGAAGCCTCAGCCTTCCTGGATCGAGCAGCTTTTCCAATGGATCCTCTAGAATCGCCTCCAGAAGACCTCATTTTTTCCGCCGGTTATTCGATTTTCGCCGTGTGATTTATCCATTTATCGCCTGGGTTTTCCTGTGATTTCCTGTGATTTCCTTGTATCTCCTTCATATGTCTAAGTCACCCCCCTTAATATAAATAACCCCCCTAATGAAAAAATAATGTAATTATTTAAGAATAACAACATTAATAATTACATTTGTTGACCCTCCTGTGCCATTTTCTCCCACCCTTTTTTTCATTTATTGTGTATTCATCATGTACATATAATATATAATAAATAAAAAAATTTGTTAAAAAAACTCGAGTGTTGGTGCGAATTTTTACGATGGAAGGGTTGTAACAACCGGGTTATTTGCGGACGTTTTCCTAGGATTGGATACGTTCCAGACGAGTTTTAAATTTTACGAGGTTACTTGACAAATTAGTTCCTGAATAGTCAATTCCCGAAAAAAATTGGTTTCTCATGAAGATGACGGCGAGAAAAACTTGAAAAATTTCATGATGAAAGCCGAAAAAATCATTTTCCATGCAGAAATTGCTTTCCTTGAAGGATTAAACTAGAGAGAGTACTTTTTTTGGAGGTGTGACTATGAAAATTAGCTCTCATTTTGACGACCCAGGTTCGATCTCAGGATCAACGAGAATTTTTTTTTGCCATTTTTGAAAGATGACATTTTTCATGACAGTTATCTTGAAAAAGCACAATAATTCGAATGGAAGGTTTTGATTTTTTGAAATTTTCGTTAATTCAATCTTTTAAAAATGAATTAGATCAATAAGTTTGATTTGAAAAAGACATAACTAAATCTAAAAGTTCCAAAAAGCACAAAATAGCTCTGATTGAAGTTTTCCATTTGTTCTCAAACTTTAAAAAAGTGTATCTGAGAAATCGGATTTTTGCAAGTGTCGTGTACTTCATTAGCTACGGTAAATTGAAAGTTTCCGCTTACTTTCCAAAAATTTTTCATAAAATCTCAGAATAACTTGACTTCGGTATTCCCCTCTTTGTTGCCAAAAAACTTACTGTATCAAAAAGCTTCCATTTTCGTCTTCGCGCATTGATAAATTATTGAAACTCATTCCTCAAGCCTAATTGACAGACTGAACGAGCTGAAGGATGAGTAATTGGGCGAAGAGCCGGATGTTTTTGGCAGCGAGCCAGTGGAGCCCACGATTAGCACCTGTTGGGACACGTGTCAATTAGCCTCGCGTAAGGATTTACTAGCCCCATCTAAACGTATCGAATATCGAATCGACTGGCTGTAATCGCTTAGGTGACACCTGATGACGTTGCTGAGAAGCTAGAGGTCATCTGGGTTACTGTAATGGGAGAAGAGCAGAAGCTTGGATGGGAAGAACAGAATGGAGAAAGAATGTTGGAGAGTTAGAGGGATTGAAAAAAAGCTGGTTACGGTAGGTTTCTGAAACGCCATTTTCTGAAAATCGGGAAGCATTTTGCAGTTGTGACGCGTGCGGTCGCGAAGCGGTTTCGATTTCCAAGTTGAGAAACTTCAAAACTTCAAAAGTTTGGTCAGTTCGGAAAGCTGTCATGTCTTCAGGTTTTGTATAACTTTTTTTTGCTTCAGATTTTTCTGGGATTGGCCAATCAACTTTTGTTTTCGGCTCACAGTGAGACATCTGTAGGACCAGGCTAGCACTTTTTTACGCAGATTTTCAATATGAAGTCGAAAATTAACGAGCGAAGGACTTTTAAGAAGGTTAAGAAGCTGTTAATATTCAGTTCAAGAAAAAATAATTCAAAAAAAAAAGGAAAAACTTGAAAGCTTGAACACCTTAAAAGTTCGAGAAAGTTGAAAAAGTCTTGTCTCGAAAATTTCGGGTAAATAAAGCAAAATATCAGTTTTATAATGATCATCTTAGTAAGCCTTCTATCAATTAAAAAAACGTACTCGATTGAAAAAAATTTTTTTGGACCGGTCAGCCTTTTTTTGAAGTTCTCTTCGAAAAAAATAACTGTATTTAGTGATCTTATAAAAAAATATACACTCATAACTGAAAAACAGAACTTTTAGTTTAAAAGTTCTCTTACTTTGAGACTTTTTAACTCTTTTTGAAAAACTCAAAGGAAAAACTGAAAGTTTCGAAAAAGAATGGCTTTCCATGTGAAATTGGAAAGCTGGGAAAGTTCTGCTCCTGCCAACCTAACCTCGAAGTCGAGTGTGTTTAGGTGCCATGTTCTGGCAAACAACAATATTTTGGGTGATCAGCACCTGGACAAACACTGTCCAACCACTTGTTTCCTTAGCTGCCTCCTAACGTCACCTCCTAATCCGGCGGGGGGCGTGGCCGGCTAGTGCGCCAAATCGCGCGGAAAAACGGCTAATTACACGAGGATCGAGTGTTTTTCGAGTGTCTATTTGACGTCTCAATACGTTTCCTTATTATTTTAAGGTTAAGTAGACTTTTTAGGTGATTGGGTTGGATAATGGCTCAATAGGTTTCAGAAGGAAAGGTTCTTGTGAGGATTTTCGGAAGGTGAAGCCAGTTTTTTTTGCACTTTTTTACAGTGAAAAAAATAATTAAAAGACTGACTAATAAACTTTTTGCAAGAATGTATCTAAATATTCGTCTTTTTTCAAAAGTTCAGATTCCTTTTTACTTTAATCAACATAATTGAGTATTTCATTGCTGTTCATCTTCTCTATTTGTTCACTCAAACTTACCTACACACCCTAATAAGTCTCCTAAGTATACAAATCAAGGTAGGTGCCCAAGGTCAATATTTGCGCTGGAGCTTCTCAATCGACTCATCGAATCGGTTGGCAATAAATCAGTCGTTAATGAGTAGATCCTACCGATATTGAAGGGATTTTCTAATTAAGAAAAAAGAAAAAAGAGAATCAAAAAATGGAGTCTGACTCGGCTGGCACGATGCCAAAAACCTGATGACACAATTACCGTATCCGAGTGGACATATGGAGCGGCGAGTCTGTTCTCGTAAATAATTCAGTCTCGAGGGAAAACGCGCCCCGCCGGCATTTCGTCTTTGATCGTCGCCGGTGAATTGGGCAATGAAAATGGTTGGGTTGGGTAATTGTGCAAAAAATGAAGTCACCTGGCAGGTTGGAAATGAAGCTTCTGCTGTAGGTTCGAAGGCTTTTGAAAACGAAATATTAAAGGGGAAACGCTCGAGTTTCGAAATAAAAAGGACATTTTTGAAATAATGTTTCTTCAATTTTTCTTCTTATTTTATCTTACGGTTTAAAACAAGCGCGGTAGAATATATAGAAACTTATTTTTCTTAAAGATTTCGAACGCTTGTGCGTACGTGAAAAAGCTGAAATCGCGATTGAAAGAATATAAAAATAGTGAAAATTTTGGCCCAGGAATTCAAAAAATAACGGTACAATAGGTCTGATATGGTAATTTTTTTTCTCTTGCATCAAATTTAAGAAGTTGAGGCGTTGAAATTTTATCTTCTGATTTCGCGGAAAATGGTGAGAGCTGTCCTATAAGCTAACCTATTAAGGACCGCCTAATGTCTTCAAGCTGACGAAATGAAACTTTTCCAGGAAAAAAAAAATAGGAAAGACACTTTTATTTCTCTTCTCGATCTTTAAAGAAGATCATCTTCCAGAATCGAACTACAGTACCTGACGGCATTCCAACAGACTCAATGGACACAGTTCTCGAGCATGCGAGGCATGAATAATCGAGAGGCAGCGGAAATACTCGAGTGAAGTGGCGGCCGACTTCTGAAGACTCATTCCGCATTCATTGTCTCCATCTGTGGCGGTATTTTGTCGTGTTGCGAAAGGGAAAATAGTTGGGAGGTTTGGTTCTTGATACGATTTCAGGGTTTTTTTGAGAAACTTTTTTGTTCTCTGCAAAATTTTCTGTAGGTTTAGGTAATTTTTAAATTGACTGGTTAATGTTGGAAATGATATGAATGAGCTAAAAAATGTTATACAAGAAGGAGGGAAAAACTGAATCTGATCAAAAATGCCGCTTTTTTGAAGGAGTGTAGACAAATTTCAAAAAGGTCTAGAAGCGAAAAGCCGCTTTCAGTATAGTCTGGGCGGCACGTCTTGAAATTTCACCGAACGACATTCCGCTGTTCCGCTGCGTGCGTTCGCGAAGCGTCTTTCGAATCTAGGTTTTCAATTGATTATTATTGATGTGGGAGCACATGAAAGTAGAATACCTTAATAAAAGAAAAAAAAACAATTAAAAGGGGTTCGCAAAGGCGCGCAGCGTCACAGCGGAATGTCGTTCGGTGAAATTCCAAGTCGTGGTACAGTACACAGGCTATACTATTGAAGCCTTCACAATTTCAAAAACGTTCTTCAAGTGCTGAATACTCGACGAAGATCTAAAAAATCTTCAACTTAAAATTGAAACCTAAACAGTCTTTTCGAAAACGCATATTTCAAGTCATTCCATCACCCTGATCTCTCAGCCTCTCAGTTAATCCACTAAAAAACGCATATTTTGCGGATCTAAAACAATTCCCATTGAGCCGACGTCAACTGTCACGACGGGAAAGGCTACAGTCGGCCATGAAAGGGAGCTTCGGCACGCATAGATCAGCCGGCGTGTCAACGACGATTCGATGCGAATTCAGGCGCGACAAAGACGGACGACGAATGACAAGGCGCGAAATACGGCTCCATTCTTCTGTGGCCCAATGTTGGATGGCTCCTGTCGATGTGCAATCGCTCAACGCTACGTTGGGGGTCTTCTGGAACACGGCGGAGGATTCTGAAGGTTCTGGAGAGACTGAGATTAAGGTTTGCCTTAGTAATAGAAATTGAAAAAGTTGTAAAAAAATCAACACATTTTTTTATTCTGAGCCTTGACCTGTGTCAAATGTTTTTTTTCTGTCGTTGGTTTTTTCTAAAATAGTCTGTGAACATGTTTAGGCTGTTTTGAATTGTTTTTCAAATTTTTTAAGTTGTAGTTTTAGAGAGAACTTGAATTACTGTTCATCATAAAACCCGTTTTTTTTTTCTTTCTGAAAATTGTGAGATTTGTTTACCGAATAGTAGGTAAATCTAGTGGTTAAAATAATCTGAAGACCTGTTTTTTAAACTTGGAGCAAATGGTAATTTTAAATGTAGTTTTGCTCCGTTTTAGATATTTTTTTTTTTCTGACTCTAAATTGGTTGTCTGCACAGAGAGGGATTGAACCCGTAGCGTCTGCGAAACGGTAGCTCATGATGTGCATCCGACCAAAACTACTTCTACATGGAAGCGTAGCAATCTCAGAGTCTAGACCCTTGTTCCCAACAAAAGGGACTCTGCCCAAAAAAACACGTCGAGCCATTCTGCATGCGAGCATGGCCTCTGAAGATAGGCTCAAGTCTTCGAATTTAACATTAAAAAAAACCTATGAAGTCAGACTAGCTCAAAAAAAGAAGTGCAGATTGAAAGTTCGAAAACTTCAATAAAAGACATTTTTTAAACAAAAAGCTTGAACTTTTTCGAAAGGTACCATGACTAACTGGTCCATTTCAACCCCACTAATAGCCTCATTCTGCTCCATTTCCGATCCGGAAACGATGCTCCACAGCCATTTCTTCTCGACAGGAAACAGCTGCCGGGGGCCGTTCCTCGACTCCTCCGGAAACTCTCCGGACACCTAATTTCGCGCATTCAACTGAACAAATATTATCCAACACATACGCCAATTACCCAATGTCCGTATAATAGACTGGTCGGAGCCACCTGCGGTGAGAGAGCGTGCAGACAGGAGAGAGTGCTCGACAATTGAGCAATACGATGCGCTTGTGGATTTTCGAGGACCCCGTAATTAGTACACGGCCTAATGATTTTGCAAGTGCTGGAATAATCTAGGATTTTAAGCAGCTTAATTCCTTGAATCGGATTATGAGGTCAATCTCAAGCTAGTTAGAGGGCTGGTAATAAGGAAAAACGTGGATTTTGTAAATTTGTACAAGAGAAATTTTTTGGATTAAAATGTAAAAATAAATTCGGACTGTTTCAAGTTTGACAAAATTAAAAAATGTTCAAAAATAGACCTTTAATTTTTACTCCATTCGCGACGAAGTTGTTTTAATTTTCTGGTAGCATTCAGAATGGCTCAACGCGTTGCGGTCGCGTAGCGGTTTGTTTTAGAATTACACTATTTTGATTTTACAGCACTGTCAGTTCTGAATTTTCTGACAATCTCGCGCAAGCCGTTTTTTTGCACCTTTATAGTAACCCCTTCACAGAAATGGAGCGTTGAGCCCTTCTCCGTGCAAAAAATTTTTTTAACTCGAGGTGAATCGACTTTCACTCTGCGAGTTAAAAAATAAACAAAAAAACTGCTTGAAGTCTGAAGTTTATCCAAAGATAAAACGATGTTACTCATATTTTCCAAAGTTTTGAGATATTTTCTACAGACAACACCATTTTTTCCATATGTTTTGCTAGGGAGTAACACAAAATGATCCGATTTGGTACCATTTTGTGGCGGCTTCTCACCATTCTTCACTCATAACAACCTGACATAAGAGATGAATCCGTGCGGCGAACAAATGACGACCTTGGAGGGAGTCTAGTGGGATCCGCCAACAATGGCAAGTACAGGGGCAGCTGGCGCCAAGTGTCAGGATAAACGGAGAAACAATCGGCGCCGCCTTTTCCGGTTTCAGAAAACATAGGGAGCTCTCACGGTCCGGAAGTTGAGGTATTGAATAATATAGCAGGAGAAGTGGCGTCGGAAAACTCATGAGCCGAGATTTTCAGTTTTTTGAAAAGAAGTGAGAAAAAGCCCAATGACATTGGGAAAACATTTTCTTTACTAATCTTTGCTGAGGTTTCGAAGACACAGAAGACTTTTTTGTCTCAAGATATCATAGAAAAAGGAGCTTTGTCTTGAGATTTTTTGTAATTTTTGACTTTAAATTTCTTGAATTTCACGCAAAAGATTTTCTAACAGTAAAACATTTCTCATATTTCGCCAATTCGGTATTGTTTTAAGTTTGATTGAAGTATGAATTTAAGTAGTAGGAGGTTTTCAGAAATGGTTTCGATTTAAAAAAATTTCCAGGTAGAAGAGGAAGTTTTAAAAGCCGAAAGATGGAATACCGCTATCGGAGGCTAAAATTGAACTTCAAAAAAAAAAATTTGGAGCAAAAGAGCAAAATTTAAGATTTTTTCTCACTTTTTCTCACTGATTGCAATCTACATAGATATCAAAATTTTCTCTCTAAACTAGCTTCACCTTATTTTACATTCACGAGAACTATAAATCCCCGAGGAGATCGTAAATTCCTGGAACCAATAATCGTTGACTTGTTGCCCTTTTTGCGGCATTTTCTCCCTCCAACTCATTTGCATCCGACGCTAATTTGATGATTTGTTTCGTCGGCCTCGGCTCTTTCGAGTTTTAACAGTTTTATGGGAGAACCAAGGCTAATTGGTTGATTTATTTCATGGTGCTGCGGTAGTTTTTTGAAGCGAGTAACTTTGAGCAACGAAGACCGCCCTGAACGGCTCGCTTCATCGGAGAATTAGCCGCGAACAAAAGAACAATGGGTCTATTAGTCATTTTGGTTATGGTTTTCATGGGTTTTGATGGATTTCGCCGTGGGTGGTCCAGACGAAATCGCAGTGGGAGGCTAATGGATACGGTGCCGACAAAGAGTCATTAATTCTGGAACGTGTAGTGTAGGTGTACCGTCGCCATTCAGAAGAGCCGCATCTTGAATTGTCGGAAGAGCATCCGCGGAAATGAGCTGGAAAGGGATATTTGAAGTCAGAGAAACTTATTATATTGCAGTTTTTTGGTTAGCTTTGGTAGATCCAAAAATTGAGAGGAGAATCCAGGCTCGTTCGACATGTGTAAATTTCGGTCAGAAACCATAGAGAAGTTGCTCATCCTGTACTTTAGGCTGTTCTTAGCCTCTTAGTGTTCACTCAACTAATATAATTTCTTTTAAATAATTATTTAGAAGCACAGAAGCGTTCTGCAAGCAGCTTCTCGGCTCTTAGCGTAAAAACTACCATTTTTGCAATCTTATAGGCCTGGCGCGTACTAAATTTGCAAACGGCGCGCAGCTCTTATGTATTTTTAATTTTTAAGACTCGTAATTTTTTTTTGTATCATTTTGTGTTTGTATTCTATTCAATCAATGTTTGTAGGTGGACTGGATGTATGCCGGCAGTTTCAATGTTAAAATGCCGCCGCCATGTCAATCTTCTGCGAGTATCCTTTAGAAAAGCGAGGTAAGTGTTTTTTTTTTAATAGTTTTTCAATATCACAGCGTTCATTTTTAGTTCATTTGATATTGATACGGTGACGGCAGATTACGAACAGAGAACACATTTTGCGTCTCAAAATTATAGACGGAAAGGTTTTTTAAAGAAATTTTTTTTTTGAAACATCGTTTAGGAAATGTTTTTCGCATGGTTTTGCCACCGCCAAATGTAACGGGAAAATTGCATTTGGGCCACGCTTTGACGGTTTCCATTGAAGATGCGATATGTCGTCAAAATAGAATCCAAGGAGGCATTGTAGGTGGATTGTGTCAATTATTGAAATGAACTCAATTTTTAGGCGCAATGGCTCCCAGGATTCGATCATGCTGGAATCGCCACGCAAGCCGCAGTTGAAAAAGAACTTTTTAAAAGGAAAGGAATTTCTCGGAAAGATCTTTCACGCGAGGAATTCGTTAAACATTGTCAAGATTGGAGTGAAAAGTTTTCATCCATTGTGTATTCCTCTAATATATATTTTTTTGAAATTGAGATGCTCGACAGAAATTCGGAACCAATTGACTCGTTTGGGTGCAACGTTGGACTGGGATAATTCCTACTATACATTGGATAATGTTTTTTTTAAAAAAAGGTTTTTAAATGGAGAAACGGTTCAGAACTTCTCCTCTGCTGTTACTAGTGCGTTTTGTAATTTGCACGACGACGGGTTGATTTTTCGCGGAAAAAGGTTGATTAATTGGTGTCCTTCGCTTTCTTCAGCACTTTCTGATCAAGTTTGTTGAGAAAAAAAAAATTAGGAAATTATAATATAATTTTTAAGGAAGTGGACCGGATTGATGTTCCACCCGATGGTCTTATCAACATTCCAAAGACCAATTCTCGAGAAATGCGTCAAGTTAAAGTTGGAACGATGCACCTTATACGCTATAAATTCACCGATTCGAAGTAGAAACAGATTGAATTTGAATAAGAGGTATATCGAAATTTTCAGCGATTTCTTGGAAGTTGGAACTACTCGACCTGAAACTTTGTTTGCTGACGTCGCTTTGGCTGTGAATCCCAATGATCAAAGGTTTTTTTTTGCATAAAATGATTTTTAGGTCGTTTCTTTGACGTTTGAAAATAGAACTCACAGATCCACTCAAAGTTGGTTCAAAAAAGCTTTTCAGAAGTCACCCAAAATTCAGAAAAGTCGAATATATTTCTTTTTTAGACCATTTTTTCAGATTTTCAAAGTATATTGGGAAACTCGTATACTCACCAGTGGATCCTTCGAGAAAATTGCCTATTTTAGCGGATTCTGCAGTGAACCCCGAGAAGGGAACTGGTATTTTCCAAATTTCTAAATTTTTTTTTGCAAATCAAGTTCCTAGGAGTTCTGAAAATCACGCCGTTCCACGATCCGTTAGATTTCGCTGTAGCTGAACGTCATGAAAAAGAAATTGATGACGCAAATCCGGGTATTCTGATGTCGAATAAAGCGAATTGTATTGATTCTGCTGGAAGATTGGAAAATACGGGAACTGATTTGGATGGAATCGATCGATTTGAAGCCAGGGAAAAGGTTGGAAATTGTTTTTTTGTGTGTACTTTTTCAGATGGATTATGTGAAAACTCTTTATTTTTGTGTGAAACTGAAGCCTTCCTCTACTTTTTCCAATCAAATTTTTTTGATTCGGTAGAACGTATTATTAAATTTTTTTCCTTTCGAAAGTTACGGATAAAGTCCAGAAAGACCTAAAAAAACGCTTTCCAAAGAAAGAAAAACGGAAAAAAATGTTTATTTTGAAAAAAACTTTTTGACTTCTGACACTTAGAAAAGGAACTCTAGACTCTTCCTTTTTGAGGCCTTTTTTTGACTTTGTCTGTGGTCTTGCAATTCTATCATTTTTGTACTCAGTTTTTTTTTTGATTTTTATCCTCAAATATTCCTTTTCTAGGTCATCAAACTTCTCTCCGATTATCAACTTTACGGTGGAACTATTCGCCATACTGGCGCTCAAGTTAACATTTGTTCGAGAACAGGTTCTTGAAGATCCTTCTTGAAGTATTGAATACGTTTTCCAGGCGATATAATTGAGCCGAGGCTGATGGAACAGTGGTTTTTGGACGTCAAGGACCTGCATCAACAAGCCAAGGATCTCATTATCAATCAAAAGGTTTTTTTTTTATTTTTAGAAAAATTGAGTCCTAGAAAGATATGACTTTTTAAGCGCAGATTCAAAGTTTCAGTTAAAAAAATGCTCAAATAATCCAAAAATTTGGAGTTTCGCGCGTAAAAAGTAGCTATCTCATTGTAAGACCTGAATATTTTTTTCACGGCTCCCGAAATTCCAATTTAGCGTATTTCGAGTAAAAATTTTAAACGAAAAACACGTCAATTTTGGAATCACCGAAATTACTCTGAAAGCGCCACAAACAAAAAAAAAAGGAAAAAAAAATCTTCTAGAACCCCTATTGCTATGACAATTTCGAATAAATGAAAATCAATACAATAATTCTTAATTTCTGAGAGTTCATCCATAAAAACGCATTTTCTGAGCTCAGAGATCAAAAATACATACTTCAAATTAGTTCTAGTCACATTTTCTATACCACCCCACCATAAGAAAAGCGATCGAAAATTCAGTTCTGCCCTCTTGGAAAAAAATTGAGGTTTGAAAAATACAAATTTTAGGTAATCGTCAAGCCTTCTTACCAAACTCATCGTCTTTTGGACTGGTTCGAAAATACGGATCCCTGGTGTCTGAGTCGTCAACTTTTGTGGGGCCATCGAATCCCGGCCTACACCTCTGCTGGGTACACATTTTTTTCATTTTTCGGTACCTATCCAAATTTTTCAGTTCAAATTGGGTCGTGGCGAAATCGGAATCTGAAGCTCGGGAAAAACTTTCTCTCGACGATAATTCCAGTTTCAGACAAGATGAAGACGTTTTGGACACTTGGTTCAGGTGATTTTTCGATTTGTCATAATTTTACAATAAAACATGATGACAGAGTTGAAATTTGTTTGAATAATATTTTTCTCATTCGGAAAAGCAACCCTTCCCTGGAATTCTATTGACAGATAACCGAAAAAAGATAAACTAGAAATATTCAAATTTGAAAAAAACTATTCCGATTCAATCTTTTTCATTTTTTTTTTTTTGAAGTATTACCTTTCTGTTTCGGGAGGTAAATGAAAGGTTTTTTTTCAAGCTTTGCTTTTCCGAATTTTTGGTACGGGCAAAAGCTGAAGTTGGTTCTAAAGGGTGATATAGGGGTCTTATAGGTGGGCAGTGTTAGGTCCTTTTTTAGTATACCTCCGTAGTTTTTGATAATTTCCCCATTTTATTCTTTCAGTTCTGCCCTGGTTCCTCTGGTCACACTGGGGTGGAACGGCTCAACTGATTTGGACCTTTCCGATGTTCCAATCGACGTGATGGAGACTGGTTGGGATATTAGCGGATTTTGGGTTGCTCGGATGATGGCCATGCATCTCAGGTTCTTTTTCATCTTCCTCGTTGTTTAATTCTCGGAATTGCTAAGACTAACCCGAGGAACGCCTCCATTCAAGCAAATCGTGCTCCATGGGTTGGTTCGAGATAGCGAAGGCCGAAAAATGAGCAAATCACTTGGGAACGTGATCGATCCGCTGGACGTTCTCGACGGAATTGGGCAGGAAAAAATGAAGGAGAGAATTTTGGAAAGCTCGTTGGCTCCTGCTGAGAAAGGTAGAACATATCACTATGAGATCTGAAAAAAGCCTTATTAAAGTGGAAAATTAAAAGGAAAGTCTTTAAAAGAGCGATTTCTTCTTGAAATAGCGGTTGAATGGATCGAACGAGTTTTTTCATTATAATCCCTTCCAATTCCTATTCTTTGAAATCTTTTCTAAGATTTAAAGGCTGCAAGTTGTTTTTTATTATTTTTTTTCAGCGAGACAATGTTAATAAAAGTGAGATTTTTCAAAAATGCATTGTATTTACACGATCTTGGTTCATAGAATTATCGGGTTTGGCTAGTAAAATTTCAAAATCAAGGAGTTGGTTTATAACTTTGATCCCCAGAAAAAGCCTGCGCGGACATCGAAAAACGGTTCCCTGAAGGGATTCCTCGTTGTGGCCCTGACGCTTTGAGATACGCCCTACTGAAATATGACGTCATGGCCAGTGACGTTCCGATTGACGTTGCCAGTATGGCGACGGAGGTTTCCGAATTCCCATCCATTCAAAATCTTCGAGTCGAAATGGTTCAGGGATTACGATTCTGCAACAAGTTGTGGAACTTGGCGGCTTACTACGACCAACTGAAAACTAAATGTCGGACCAGAAAAGACGTCGACACGGATAGGAGTGTGGTGGGTTGTTGGGATCGGATGGTTGTGAAAAATCGGAAACTGAGAGATGAATGTTTATTTCGCTCACAGACAGATCTGTGGCGTGGAGGAAGAGAACCATGAAAGTTATATTTGCCTCCACTTCGATAAAGTTCCACTTTAATCTAAAAATATTTTAGGTCGAAATCGAAGAGAATCAAAAAGAAAAGTAATCTATAAACGAGTTGAATCATTTTGTGAAATTTGCAGCTTCCTTTATCAAAAACCAATTTTTTTCAAACAACTTTTTAAATCTTCTTTGGTCATCCTCAAAAACCATAACTCTGTTTAAGCCGTTCCAGTATTTATACACGCGTTGCGTAATAAAGTTATAGTGAACATGATGGATTGGTGGTGGTTCGAGTTTAAGGCCGTTGCCTCTCAGTTGGTTTCTTCTATTTGATATCGTTTGTAATTTGAATGGAGATGGACACCAATAATAGCCATATATGAACTGATGTGTAATTATGATATCTTTTTCGCAGACGATGATCGTTTAATGCAAAATTTTCTATCAAAACTTTTTTTGAATATTTGAAAAATTTAGTTCACTAAATTACATAAAAAAGGTACATGTTTTTAAAGAGCCCTCATCAGCGAATTTATAGGTCTAAGGAAAAATGATATTTGTATATATTTTTTTGAGTTTTAATTGTTCAAGCGATTGAACGAATTTCAGGACGAATGGCTCCTGTCGAGGTTCGCCTCAACTGTCGCCAAGGTCGACGAGCACATGAAGGCCTACGAGTTGCATCTGGCTCTCTCGGCCCTCCATTCTTTCGTGACTTCGGATGTCTGCGACACCTACTTGGTCGGTTATTATTTTTAGAAGAGAGAGAAGATGGAGCTGAGTGATCTTTTGAGATAAATCAAGCGAAGACATTTAAAAAGACAATAGAGACGTCATCATATTTTTTTTCAGTTTTGCTCTCCTAGGCTCATTCATAACAAAATTATAAAAACGTAATTAGTTTGAGGGAGAAGAAAAAAGTTTCTTTTTTGACCGATTCGGAATAATTTTGTAATTTTTTGATTCGGTTGATAGATCTCTGAATCGGAAAGAATGAACTCGGTTGAAATTTTTTTTTCCGAATTTCGAGGAGCTATGCGTTCTTAAGACCTGTGATTTGAGGAAACAACGAAGCAAGCGTTTTGGTCAGAAGACGTCGCCAGAATCGAGCAAGCGCGGTCGACGCTGCAACGTGTGCTGCAACCGACCTTCGTCCAGCTTTCCGTCTTCATGCCGTTCGTCTCTGAACTCCTCTACGAAAGGATGTTCTCAAGGGAGCGAGGCTCGATCCTCTTCGACGTCGTCAAAGTAAGAATCCGATGGAGATTGAAGATTGTCGGGACTTTCAGCCGTCTCTCTTCTTTTTCCATCGAAATGAGGAGCTGGACCAAGGTATGAAGTTGTTGCTGGCCGCCGTCGCTGCGACCAGGTCGATCCGATCGAAGCTTCAACTTCCTGCGAACTTGGTTTTCAATGGTAATCTATAGAAAGAACAAAAAAGCTTGGTTGGTAGTGGGGACCAATATAAACATTTTAAAGAGGCTGCAAAGGGAAAGAAAGTAAAAATGTTGACCGGCAGACGGGGACGGAGCACTTTTCTGGCTCTTAGTCATTGCGTTGAACTTTGTAGGAACGCGCGCTAGCCAGAGGAAGAAGCAGAAACAATTAAAAAATGGCTAGAGACGTCGAGGAACGGACCGTTCCCCCGCCTTGGGACGAACCAGTATAGCCCATCCTGCGTTTAAATTTTTTTATCTGCCAAAAAGACACTATTGAATCAATTTTGACCACACTTCAGTTTAAGGCCTTTGTTTCTTTCTGTCTTTTTAGCAGTGTTCTTTAGAGTGAAAAGCTGTTAACTTTTTTCGTTTTTCATTTGAAAAATGACTATCTTGCGCAGAACGCATTATCCTTTTAGTTTTCGTTTATAACCTAGTTTTATATTTGGCTATGTGAAAAGCCACAAAAAAAAGGTTTTAGATGGATGCACGTTACCTGAGAAAATTCTGGCTCTGAAGAAGTCAATTTATCGATCTACAGGAATTCTGGCGATCGAAGACCCTTCTTTAATGATCGACGGCGCGACGCTGAAGAGCCTCGCCGATGACGTCACCTCGATCGGCCGACTCTCGTTGAGTCACGTCGTTTATGGCAAGCTAAACACCGAGGAACGAGGCTTGATGGCCCTGCCGGTCGCGGGACACAACGCCTCCATTTGGCTCAAAATCGACGTTATTTTACCCCATATACTGCTTTCGAGTAGTTTTGAAATGTTTTAGGAGAACAGTCGCTCCGAATTTGTCGACTGCTTGAAGAAGCAGCTGGAGAAGACCAAATCTCGAGAAAGACAGTTCTTGGAGAAGGCCGAGTCCTACTCGGAAATGCAGAAGAAGCCCGAAAATTTGGTTGGTTTTGAAATTTTAGCTGGAAAATGAAAATAGAACGAAAACTTTTGATTAGAAAAATATAAAGTGATTTGTTTAGAAGGATTTCTAAAAATAAATTTAAACAAAAAAGTGGAAAAAATAGGTGCAATTTGGAGCGACACATGCGTTTGATAGCAACTCAAAATTTAACAAAAAAAAGATTTTTCAGATAATTCTTTTTAGATTTACTCCTTTGAAAGCTGTGGCCCTTCAGAGAATGAAAAATTGCCCAGAAATAAATAAATTTTTCAAGACGGATATTTTCTACAAAATTCTCGAGTATCTTGGTTCTATCCAGGCGAAGACATCGGCTCTGAAGAAACTCCAACGAAAAGCCGAACAAGCCCGTCAGGTCGCTGCCAACTCTTCGGATGAGGCCAAACGAATAGAACTGATCATTGCCGAGCAGAACTCCTAGGATATCCTTTATAGAATATCTAGTTCAATGGATCTCATAGAATATTGTACATTTTTTTTTTCTTGTTGATATTGTTACAGTTTCAAATGAAGATTGTCATATTTTTCTTTAAGCTTTTTTTTTCAAGTGTGAATCGCTTTTTGTACCTTTTTCTCCTGGTCTTATTGGGGGATGTGTGGCAACCGGAAATACTTTTGACTCGATGGGTGTGTTTTAAACTAAAAATATTGCGGATCCCTATCGAGTCAAACTTTTCTGCCGATTTCTGGTCGCCGCACATCCCTGGTCTTGATGTGAATGCTTCCTTCAGACCTGAATGAGGAGATGATCATCGAACGGACGGAATGGCTGGTGCTCGGCGTCGCCGTCGTGCATCTGATGCTGGCCCCGGCGACCAAAGTCGAGGAGTCGTTCAACGTCCAAGCCACCCACGACCTGCTCTTCATCCCTCCGTGGAACCTCACCCAGGTATCTGGTATTCTTCTCTTGAAAAGTTCCAAAAAAAGGTGACAGGTACAGAACTCAGTCAGCACAGGAGAGGTCAGCCGATAAAAAGAACTTTAAAAAATAAGGTTTAAAATGTATAAGGGAATACTTTCTATTTTAATAAGGCTTGTGGTTTTTTCAAAATCGTGTGCAAATTATGATCCGATTTGCTAAAAGTAAAAAAAAACCAAAACCAACAGCTCTCTTTTCAGCGTCCTCGGATGTTAAAGATCAACCTTTTCCTCAGGCTTTTTGTTAATCTGGCAAGGTTTCTCATTACAGTATGACCACATGTCGTTCCCGGGAGTCGTGCCAAGAACCTTTGCCGGGCCGATTGCCTTGGCGGTGACCGCAGCGCCGTTCAGCTTGATCATGCGCTTTTTCGAAGTCTCCAAGTTGTGGAATCTGATTTTAGGTGAATCAGAGATACTAAAAAAATGAAACGTCAATGTTAAAGTGCGTGGAATCTTGCTCTTGGTTAACGTTCTTGCGTTTCTCAACTTTGCGCGATGCGTCAGAAAATACTACGGGGAAGTAACGGCCGTCTACTTGAGGTTTTTTCTCAGTATTATTCCTGATTTGGACTAACTTTTCCTTAGGATAATCGTCGCCACGCAATTTCACTTTTTGTTTTATGCGTCTAGACCTCTGCCCAATACTTTTGCTCTGCCTTTCGGTGAGTGAAAATTATAATTATTCGAAAAACAGATGAAATCCAGCTCTTCTGGTTTTTCAAAGATGTTTCGACAATCGGTACGAGTCGGCGGTCCGATGGGCGACGGCTAGTGTATTCTTGTTTAGGTGAGGTTTTTTTTTAGCGTTTTAGTCGGATTGAAGTTCACTCATTTTTTCAAAAAAAAAAAGGAAACATTTTGAATTTGCATTTGGGTTCATTTTGAAGAGATCTAGTACCTACGAGATATATCTTTTTTTGAACTTTGAATTTTTTTTTACCACAACTACTTTTTTGGCGTGGAACTCGAGGTTGAACACCACCTTTTCTCTCCCTTTCCCACAGTTTTTAATAAATTGTAATTTTTATGAGTTTGACAAGATTCAGTTGAAATCAAAAAAACAATCTCAAAAAATCTATTTTTTCTACATTTTTCCATGATTTATTTTGACATCGAGCTCCCGCCAATAGCAGCGTCGCGTACGCAATGCGTCACTTTTGTAAATCTAGTAATCTCGCCTTTTAAGTCGGAAAAATTGATTATAGTTCAATTATTATAGATGTGAACTTGTTCTTTTGTATGCCCCCTTGTTCTTGCCGGCGATCTTTTACGGAAGATTACCGTTGCTTGGACCGGACGGAGCGATTATCAACGGCGTCAGGACGGCCGTCAAGGTCTTGGGTTAGTAAAAAAAAAAAGGCATAAATTAGTTGAGTATTGACTTTCAAGCTGTGACGGTACCCATCGACTCCTACTTTTGGGGACGATACGTTTGGCCGGAGGGCGAAGTGGCCATTTTCAACATTCTGCTTAATAAAAGTCATGAGTACGGTGTACGTTTTGATAAGCAGTAAGAAATATTGAAGGAAAGTTTTCCTGTGAAGCTTTGATCCCAAAATGAAGGCTCTAAGGTTTTTTTCTGTCTCCTTCTAGGAGCGAAGCAACTGAACTTGAAAAATATTCATTTTTGAAAAATTGTTACAGACCTTATTTAAGACGTAGGCAGCCTTGACTGAAGCTTTTTCTCAGTTCATATGCTATATTTTTTTCAAAGTTTCAAATCTGAAGAAATAGGAAAATATTTGAAGACATCTCCGTTCCTCTGGTACTTCTACTCAGCCTTGCCGAGAGCTCTCCTGGCAAGTCTGATGCTGGTTCCTCTCGGCGTGATCCTCGACCGACGTCTTCGGCGAATCGTCGCCATTTGCCTCATCTTCGTCTTCCTCTACAGCTTCTTGCCTCATAAGGAATTGAGGTGAATGAAAAAAATATTTGTTTCGCGCTGAAACACTGCTTCAATTGCTGGGAAAGATTCAAATTTGTTTCACGTTGAAAATTTTTTTGAATTTGTGATTGCTCCAAAGTTCTCAGAGCTCTGGTAAACCCGAAAGGGCTTAGATTTCCTACTTGAGTTCATTCTAAAAAGAAAGAGATTAAAAAAATTAGTTCGTTTGCCAATTTTTTTCGAACTTATCCATAATATTATCAATTTTGGATATAGCTGAATAAAAAACTATTTCTAGAGTTGGTTCAATGATAAGAATCGGCTCAAAAAAGATCTCCATGATTTTATGATTTTTTGTATAAAAAGCAATTTTGCAGATTCATCATTTACATTTTCCCAGTGCTGTCTCTTGCTGCAGCTGTCGTCTTTGCTAGAATGTTCGTTTCAAAAAAATAGCCTCGATTTTTTCCCCGTTCCAGGAGCATCAACAGGAACAAAGGCTGGATCCGTTACTTGTTGTTCTTCGCCTGTTACGTCCACATTTTCGCGAATATCTCCGCGACTTTGACTTTATCAACTGCCTCGGCGAGGAACTATCCAGGGGCCGACGCGATAAATTACTTGCAGGTTTCGCGAATCAGAACACAAGAGTGAATCGGGGATGATTTTCAGTGGCATATGCGGTTCGATCGGAACAAGCCGGTCAATGTCTACATCGATAATGCGTGTGCGCAGACGGGCGTCAATCGATTCATGCAAGCTTATGAAGCCTGGAAGTTTGTCTTGAAGTTGAGACGAAGCTAATGAAAGTTGTTTCTAGTTACAACAAGACGGAGAATTTGAAGCCGGTGGACCTGAAAGATTTCGACTTTTTGCTCCTAGGAACCTATGGATCGAACTTGGTGAAGGAGGTGAGGACAGACAGGAATGAATTTCTATTGGTGTTTTCAACTGGCCAAATGAGATATTGAAAAAATCCGAACCGTTTTTGCTAGGGAAAATTGTTTATAGAGTTTCCGGAAAATTTTGAGAAAAAATATTCTCAAAAATCTTGCTGGTAGAATTTATAGGTTAGATTAGAATATAAGACTCGACAAAGAGTTTAAATCTCCCCTAGTGAAACGTAAATCAGTTCATTTTTCTTTAAACTGAGATTTTAGGTCGAAACTGACTTCAGCGAGTTCCATAGACCGATGCACTTCATCGAGTCGTTCCATCGACTTGGCCACCACTGGTTCAAATCTTTCCCTTACGTGTATCCCAAGGTTCAGTTCAAGGAGAAGGCTGTTGTCATGAGAAATCTCAATTATTAGGTTGGCCAGATTTTTTCAACGTTTTTAGGCAATATTTATTGGCTTTTCTCTGGGTAAAAAGCATCAACATGACTACCATTGATTTCTGTTTAGATTTCCTGCCTCTTCTGTTCAAAACGTAATAGGCCTCTATTTTTTGTCAAATGATAATTTTCTGAACCTTCGGACTCTTTTTGTACTTTCAGATTTTGAACAATTTTCAATTTTTCTAAAAATTCAAAAACCAGCCTCACTTATCGCCGTCATCTTAATAGCCTTACTTCCACGTGTTTCATTCCAATTTTCTTCAAAATCTGCACTTATCATTTTTATAATAGCACAATCACATTCTGAATACGATTAACACACAAAACACAATAAATATTTCAAGCACAAAAAAGAACACATAAAAAACGACAAATAAAAGACAGAAAAAAAAATGAATCGAAGTGTTTTGTAGAACAGCTCGAACTGTACACAAATAAGGCACGCTTCTCTGGTTGTGGCAAACGCCAAAAAACAAACGAACAATGGAAATAGGACACAAAAATGACAAAAAATGACAATAGAAATCTATGGGCCGGCGGAAACTTTGAAATTAAATCTGAACTGCGGACAATGACGAGTTGGGCTGCTCGACAATTGTGCCGCGGCTCAAATTTTTCGCAGAAACCACGAAAATAATGGGAATGTTGGTGCTATACAAGGATCACAGATATTGCCGGTGCTGACGAAAAAATTCAAGTAGTAAGGAAAATAATAAAAAAGTGCCACTCTTTGGTGGTCACGTATCACAGATATTGCTGACGCTCAAGAACACAAAAAACAACACAATCAATAGAATCTATAACGAAAAAAGAAAAACCACTATGGATAAGTGGTCTTTGATATGACGTAAACGAATAGGCATTGGGTGATTTTTTTTTTCTGGTTTTTGAAGTTTTTGTAGAAATAGAAGTCTGTAGATGAAACGATTAAGAACCCGCGTTGAGAATCGAAATGGCAGGGGCGCTGGTGGTAGAATCCTCTGAAAATTGGAGTTTCGATTAAAAAAGTCTAAAAAAGTTTGGAGGTTCTTTTTACATCTATTTATTTTCATATTTCACTCGTTATTGGATGAATTGAACGGTATTTCGATGGAGCATACTTGATCTAATATTTAGTTCCATGATCCTTTTTTCTCTTTGCGTTGAAAAAATTTTCAGAAAGGAATACTCGAGTCAGTTTTGTTTTAAGGAAGTAGATTTAGCCCCTTTTAATGTTTTCGACCTAGAATGAAGGCCTCTCTTCTCTTTTTTCTCTCAAGAAGTTTTCCACAAGGTGAGAACCAGGAAGAAAGAATCGAAATTATCATTGGCCGTGGAGGCAATTTGTCGGTAATCTGACAGGACCGAACGGCGGCCGACCGAGGTCACCGTCCTATTTGTCGACCCTCCTTAACCCATTACACAAAGAAAGAGAGCACACAACATACCTCCGCACTTGTCAACCATATTGGGACACTCAGAAAGGCCCTATCGGATGGACATCATCGGCGTCTGCCTTTGAACCACGAGTAGGTCTTCTTCAGATGAAGTTCTTCTGTCGCCGTGTCTTTGGTAGGTCTTCTGATGAGCTTGTGTGTCCCCTCGGACGTCGGGCATCGTCTCCGGGGACCTTTGAAGCCGCTTACCAAGTGATTCTGTAAATTGAGAATGTTGGAAGTTGGGAAACGTTGTGGAGAGAAATCACAAAGGATCGGAAAAAAGCGACAATTTTCATACAAAAAGTGGGCTTTTGAATATTCCATAGAACTTTTGGTTTTTTGCCGTTAAGATGGAGAGAAAACTCTTTTCTCCAAGAGAAAATCATGATTCACAACTCTGGTATGAGTAAGAACTATCTTGTTAAAAAATTTTCTTTTCATTTTACAAAAGATAGCTTGAGAACTCTCATCAGCTTTTGCTCAAACTACTTGCAGTAGCGCACATCTTTTTAGCAAGACAAAAAAGGAAAAGCCGAGCCGTTGGCAACCAACGGAAGAGGCAATAATACCGTGGCGGCAAACGGTGCGGGAAAACAATGAGAGAAAGGCGCCGACGTGGCCGTCGAGTCACGTCTGTGCACACCTGGACGGCTAGCCGCACAGTCGGCTGGTCCTAACCAGGTGGACACGCCTCTTCCGCGGCTCTTTTCAGAGTTACCAGCAGAAGTGTGGATTTTGTAGCTTTTAAAGTCCAATAGGGGCTTAGTTTCCGAAAAAAGGAATCTTCAGGAAGAAGATACTTGGACTCTATTTGGGTTTGAGAAATCGAAGGGCTCTCAAAAGTTCAGCTTGGAAATTTGTTCACTATGGTTCCTCTTATCAAGGTGAAGTATAATGTAGTGTTAAAAGTTCCAAGTATGGCTTCTTGATTGATTTTGGGCTATAGTTCTTTTCATAAAATTTCGGAAAGTTGCGTTGGAAAATTAGGCAGAAAACCTTTGTTTTTTCTTTTTCAATTTGGTAGTATCCTCAAATTTATGAGAACACGTTTAAACAAATTTGTGCATCTTTCTAAAAAGTTACTAGAACTACAAATCAATTTGCAACTATTGAAATGAGATTTTGAAGGAAGAGATGAGCTGGATGAGGCGAAAATGTTGCAAGAAAAGAGGAGAGTTGTCCTTGGCGAGCACCACCTCACAACAGTCAACACTGACGTGACTGCAGGGCAACCTGTACGAAGGTGAAAAAGTGGGCGTGGCTTACCTCTCGGCGACTCCGCCTTCTTTTCGGTCCTTTTCCTGAAATTTACTTTTTTTGCAGGAAATCGGAGCTTTTTTTGCAATGTCAGAGAGGTTTCAGCTAAATAAGGAATTATTAAGTTTAAAAAGCAAAGTAAGTTAAAATGATATTGAAGACACAAAAAAATCACAAAAAAATATCTGAATTTCAAATTTTAAAAACTTTTTCTTGTTCTGAAATCCAAAAGAGAAATGAATGGATGGTACTTTTGAATTATTCTTGGAAATCTGAGTTTTTTTTTTCTTTGAGAACTTCTTTTGACCTATTTTTCAAACGACCTCTTAAGTTGTAAAATTAGCTGCAGTTCCAAAAACCGGTTTCTCAGTGACTCTTGAAGTTTGAGAGAAGTAATTTTCTTCTTCAATTTTTTGGAGAAGTACTTCTTATTATATTTTGTTAAAAAATTTACGTTTCACTTTGTGTTTTGAAGTCTCATAGATTCGAAAAAATATTAAAGTTTTCAATATTTGTATTAAAGACTTCCCCTCAAAATTGAAGCATAACTTCGCATTGAAAAAAACATTTTTTTTGATGGAACTTCAATTTTTTAAAGTAGGGAGACCTTTTACGTGGTTTTTACTCTGAAAAATCTCAATCCTCGAAATGTGTAAAAATGAATTTAATGCTAAGGTTCACACTTTCTTCAAGTTTTATTTTTTTTAATCTGGCAAAAAACAGGTTAAAACGAAGTGTCTGTGTTGTTCTTCTTTGCTGTTCCTTCCTTCTCCGACCAGTCATTTAGTTTCAAAGATCTCAACAGGCGCAAGGTGAAAGATCTATTTTATCCGTCTCGCAGAAGAACTTTGACAGTTTTGGACTAGTCAAACTTTTTCTATCGGAACTTTTTTTTCCCGGAGACTGGCACCGGTGGTCTCGAAGAGCAACTCGGCGGCAGCCAAGGTCGCCGCCTTATCGGCCGTGTTCTCGTTTCTTCTTTCCTTCTTCTTGGAGGAGTCTGAGGCCTCGCTGATTGGATCGATCCGACCAAATTGCGTCAACGATGATCTTATCTGACGTCGTTCGTCTTTCCTGTCGCCTTTTTTGGGAATTGATGGCCGCTTTATGTCTTGGATTTACTGCGATTGTTTTGGCCTTTCGGGTGTGGCGCTGGAATGAACTTGAAGAAAGGAAAAAAGTCGGATTTCAAGGTTTGGCGCTGATGGGTCCGAGTTTGAAGGACGACAAATTTGTGGGCAACTACATAAAAAAAATTGGTTTGTTTTTTACGTGTGAAAAAATTCTTCTCATCATGAGAGAGCCCATTACGAAGCATTGCAGACTGAGTTTTGAATTGAGCTTCTCAAAATAAAGTTCTCACGATCTTTAGTTTGAACTCGATTGATTTTCGTATTGAAAAAAAAAACGACAGTTTTCATTTTGAAATAAGTCAAGGTCGTCTCCAGAAGCTCTTGGGAGAACGATAAAGATTGGAGGTGCTAAAAACCATTTTCGGAAATTGTTCCGATCAAAAGAACTAGTTTTATTCACTTGCGGAAGAGATTGGAACACTCCCAACGGTGCATAAAACATTTTCCACCACTTGAACTCGATCCAGAGACAATGTATAGGTGTGACAGGTCGGCTGGCGGCTGACTCAGATCTCGCGCACAAAAATTCATAATGAGTGGCCAGGCACGGGCCGACACTCTTCTTCTTCTTTTCACGGCTCTTTTTTTTGGACGACCCGACAGTCAACTACAATGACGTGCGAATGGCTATTATGAAGGTGTCGGCGGTGAAAGAATTCTATGGAATAGGTTGGATACAGTACAGAAGGACTAATAAGTGACCAGACCTGTAATTTATGATAAGCTTCAGTCAAAGCGAAAAATATGGAATTAGTAGCTGGTTCTGAAAGTTTTGATAGTTTTGAACAGAGCCTTGTCTTTTTTGGAAGCAGTACTAAAAGCTCTCGACGAGTCTGCTTTTTCGGAAAGTTTCAAACAGTTTTGATAACTTAAAAATCTTTTTTCAAAGCGGTATTCCCAGCCAAACCACCAGCCAATGATAACCTGAGCCAATAAGCCGGAAAAATAGGCAATTTCAAGGTGAGCGTTTTGTTGTGCACGAGTGCCAACAATGGCCGTGACCGAAATTGTTTGCGGGTTTCCCAGGCGAGGCTGAATGGTAATGGTTAGGTGTGGCCGGCTCTTGGGAGCTCAGATTGGTTCTCAAGCGACAGATTATCGTAAAGTTCTTGTCCGTCCAAGGACATTCGTCCAAGAATTCACTTGAGGCCTTACAGGTTGCAGGAAAACCCATTTGAAGGAAAAAGAGTGTCCTCCTTCGAAAATGTTCAAAGTGTAACAATTTTCATCTTTTGTTCAGCAACCTCTGCCAAAAAAAAGTATGTTTGGCTAGGCGCTTCCGGATGGCATCAGTCAACATAACCTTGATCCGCCAGCAAATTGGATGTTTACCTAACCCAGCGGCACGCCAAAAAGACTGTAAATGGCTTGACCGGCGATCTCGAGCGGACAATTAAACGTGTGCCGTAATGTGGGAATATGTGAATCCGCCTTAAATGCTGCAATAAACCGCCGTAGATCGCATCTCGCCCTTATGGGCAGGTATTTAGGACAGTCTTTGGAAACTGTTTTGAGAGATGTTGCTGATTTTTTCCGTAAGTCAGTTGGAAAGAAAGTTTTAGAACTCAGGAGAACGGAAAAAAAATATGGTTCTGATTTATCTTTCAGGGCGTACCTGTGTTATAAATTTTTAAATTCACGTGAAACTCAGTACCTATTTGCAGTATTGTCACTGGTCATTATTTTGAACCTACCGACGGATGAACTATGGCCGTCCCATTTGTCAAGAGAACACGAAAGGAATGATAGAAATCTGCGAGAAGGTGCCGCGAACGACGATTAGGTCGGCTGAAGAAAGTCGGCATGGCCCAGTTCTGCCAGGACTTCTCACACGGACGTCAGATCTCATCTGCGCGCCGTTTGATCGCATCTTGGCGTGGAAGTTCTTCCGATGGGTCGGAGGAAGTCGTCGGTTCCTTTGGGGAAGTCAAACAGTCGAATAGTTGGTCAAGAGGTGAAGAGGAGTGTGCAAGGAAATAGAAAATATTGACATTCTTATGAATAAAACCATTTTTTGAGCTCCTGAAAATAGGCGTCAAAAAGCTATTCTGAGCAGAACTATGATCTTAATTAAGATTGATACAAACTCGGATCAATTTTTTTGAAACAAAAACACGGAAAAAAATTTGGTCCTTAACACATGAAAAAATATTTAGAAGAAATAAACCAATGTGAATGACGGTTTCAAGTATCAGATGACAATTTATAGAAAAAAAGACTGAAAATAAACATTTATCGAAAAATGTGGAGAAAAACCATTAGAGCCAATGGATCGGATGACCCTGCCGCAAAGATTATAAACAGATTGAATTCTCCCAATAAACTAAAATAAACACTGGAATTGGCGTGAAGCAAAGTCATTTATAACAAATGGAGCCGAGCGATTCGTCCTACTCAAATGCAGAAGCCAAGAAACGGGCAAAAGAAGCTCGACCAAATTTAATCACTAAAAAGTGAGAATTTTTCTCAACGGTCTTACAGTCTCAGAAATTTTTAGTCAGAGTTTTTGATCAATAACTTTCACCGTAACCTTTTATTCGCAAAAGTGGATAAATTTGAATTTAAACATTAACTAATTCCTGTCTCCTGATTATAGTTACCGATTCCAGATCGAAGAGTAACTTGTAATCAAAAATAATATTCAGAAGTAAAAAGCCAAAGCCTAAATCTCAAAATTTGCAAAAAAAGCCCAAGTCGTCAACGGAACAGAGAGCAGTCTACTGGGTTCCTACGAGAACCTTTGCCGATCATTTTCCTGCCCTTTTCCCCATCAAACAGCGTGTCAATGTCAAACAGGATTTTTCGGTGAGTATGATCTCCAAGAAGGCAAGAAAAATTGAAAAAAGGGTTTTTATGAATAATCTGCCCCAGGTTATCTCGATTTTTGTTTCCTTCCGGCTACATACCTATTAAAGTGCATGCGGCTTTTTTGGCCTGAAAACTGCGTTATATTAAAGGCGCACGCACAGACAAAGGTCGCGCGCATCAAAGTGAAGGGTTCTGTAGCTCAGAGGAAACGAGAATCGTTTCAAGCTGGCGCGGAATGAGCTATATGAACGTCAAATCTTTCTGGAGAAACTATTTCTCTTAATTAAGTCGGCTTGTAATGTCATGCTTACACGTGGAGTGTCTCAAAGCGCCGCGGCCGCGTTGCGGTCAGGAGTTTGAGCCATTCCGCGTGCGACCATGATGTTTTTAGCTTGAAGGAAACCATTCAAGTTTTCATTTCTCAACGCATGAAAAATGATTTTTCGAATAATCAACAATTTCTGCGACCAAAAGAATGAATTGAAGCTTCGAAAAGATATTTTTCAGTACCACGCGGAGTCTCGACAACGATCTGTAGTGCCTCTGAAACGCGTGGAATCTTCTATGCATGAGTAATAAAGTTTATTTTATTTTCAAGATGAATCGGAACCTTTTTTGCAGTAAGCTGGGAATGGAGAAGAACTACACGATCAGTGTTTTTCCGTCTCAGTGGAGCACAAAGTTCCGCCAGTCTACATTTATAACTCTTACGTTTCTTTTAATGAGGCTCGAGAAAAAAAAATATGGAATAATCCAATTTGTGTTTTAGATGTCTAGGTTAGACCTTTTTGAAGAGAAGTTGTTCTATTTGAGAGGCACCCGTCATTTTCAGTTTTTTGACTCCGCAAGGCTCGACGCCAAATTGGGGTGATTTTTTATCCCAGTCAACACAAATAACAGGGAAAAGTTCGGAGAAGCATTTCACAAAGTATTGTGGAATACTCAGAAAGGTGCCAATAATTGAGATATCTGTAGACTTTCATAGAGAAATCGAACATTAAAAAAATATAATTCCAGTTTTTTTATTGATTATATTTGAATATTTGAGTTGATCAAAAAAAGTGTCCAAAAACGCTAGCTTTACTGGATGAATATATTAAAAAGTCTCAAACTCCGAAATTTCTTTTTTATTGGATATCAGACTCAAAAATCGAGAAAATTTGAAGTTTTTTTTTAAGAATTAGGAAAAATGTAAAAAGTTGAAAAGTCTTGATTTTTTAAACTGTTTTGTGGTCTAATTTCTGAAAATTTCCTAAGTTTCTAGAATTTTTAAAAAGATATAGTTTTTTTAATTGAGATTGAAGTTCTTGTCGTCTGAACCTTTCATTTTGAGTCAGACTTTCTTTCAATTTCAAAATCGAGGTTCACTTCATAGGCAGGGGAGAGATCTTTTCAAATCCACTTTTAGAGCAGTTATTTTGCTCTTTTTTTTACCTACTTTTTTCGAGCCTTTTTATTGAAATTTCAGGAATTAAAAGTTAAAAAGATCGAAAATTGTCTTTCTCATTGCCATTAAAAATTATCTTCGAAAGACTTCTTTTATTTTCTGTGTTCAAAATCTTGGTTCAGCATAACGATATGTCTGCGGAACGATTTCGCCCTCCGGTGTCGAAAACGAATTTCTTCCGGTGGGAAGTCTTTTCGTTCGCTAACCGACGGCTTCTCTCGTCAGTTGATGCCAACTTACCGGAGAAGTGTCATCCGACAAGAGGTTATTTTGACATTTTATCAATTTATCATCTGTTGGAGATGATATCGTCTGCCTAGAAAATTCAAACGGGTATCAAAACTTGAGAAGTGGTGCCATAAATTGATTTTGTTGATTTTCAAAAGGTATCAAGGCTCGAGAAAACTAAATTTTTTATGTAGAGTATTGGGCGATTTTCTGGGAAATCATGGTTTGAATTTGAGATCAAGTTTTAAATAATTTTCTTTTTCATGACTTTTTGTCAGTGCTCTTTTTCATTATTTTTTGTGGAAGTTGCTGTTGAAGCCATACTTTGATATATGTTTTTGCTAAACTTCGACTGAGCCATTCTTCTTCCCATTTTCTCAATTTTCGAAGAAAGATCCTGTTTCCACGACAATCTCAGAAACTTCGAAACGTTCCAGCGTCTGGCATCTCCAATGTATTTGCCACGGTTAGCTGAAAACGAAGCGGCCCTCGAATCGGTCATCAAAGAACGACTTTTGGCCCACGACTACGAACTTCAAAAAGACAAGCATAATAGCGCCTTGAGGGTGTCCATCTTCTTATTTCTCCTCTTCGAAAGCATCCTTTTCAGGTCGTCCGAAACTTCCTCAGAACGAACAGCGAATGGGTAGATGAGCGCCTTAAAATGGGACCACCGTTGAAAATTCCCGTCTCCAGGGCGAATCTTGGGTTTTTCTTTCATTTTTTTTCAGAGAAAAACGAGATTTTCTTTTGAAGGGAGTGGCTGAAGGAACGGAAACACAGATTGTTCAAGAGCGGTCTTCACGACATTTTCAACGAGTTCAACATGATGTCGCCGCATTTCGCCTATTCTGTCCATTTCTGCCGGGCCTTGCAGCCGTTCAAGTTTGTCGTCTGTGGCGATGGAGTCCTCCGGAGAGTCGGTTTCGAATATATATAGTAGTCTAATCAGGGCCGACTTAGTGACGAACACGCATCTGAATCCCAACAATAAATACGCTGTTTTCTCCGTCCAGTTCTCACGCCCTTAAAATATTGTCTTTAGATAGAAATAAATATGGAGCAAAGTTCTTTTTTCGAATTTTCAGAGAAAAAACTTTTTTTTTGTAACTTTAATACATGGTCAAGTTAGATTTTGTGGGTCCAAAGCAATGTTTTTTTATCTGATCGATCAAGAGGTCAGACAGAATAAAGCGGATTTTTTCAGAAAGACGGTAGTTCTACCTTTCCACTGACAGTGAGACCTTCTCGGTACCACAACCGGCCTGTTCTGGGGTTCGTGCAGAACAACGACGACCCTCAGATGGAGGAGCCACTTAAGGCGTCCATCATGCACAAAACAACTAGCGCGCCTTCTTTCGAGTCTATAAGTGGCTACTCTAGTGACAGCGCCGCTTCCACCGCTACTATGGTGAGATTTCAAATTAGAGACGACAATGGCTCGTTACTTTATGATGAATTTTATCTTGAAGATTTTCTTGGCAATTGCCTCTGAAGATAGGTAAGGCCAACTAATAAGAAGTTGAAAGTGATTTTTTTAGCCGTTCAAATCCAGATATTGTTTTTGAAGTCAGATCATATTTCCGCTGAGTTTCCCACACGAATAACCTCGAACTTTAGACTCCTGGCGACTGGAAACACAACTGGAAGTTGCAAGAACGACACATCGAGTACGAACATCGCTACATGAAGAATGGCTATCCAGTTCGAATTTTTTCTACAATTCCATTTCAACCTTTTTTCAAATTTAAAAATGAAAAGAAATTGTACATCTTCTGCAGAACATGAAAGAAACGAAAAAGCTGGCCGAAAAGGAATTCAATGCTCGGATCACTCGCGAAATTATTTCGAGAAGACTGGCTATGGAGTTTTTCCTCTCCTTTTTCCTCATATATCATATAAATTCCAGAAAAGCGAACAAGTTTTGTGGCGTCTTTGAAAAAAACTTCCTTCGATCGAAAAATGTGAACATTCAAATTGAAAAAACTTTAATAATTCTAAACTTTGAGGGCCAACTTTGGCGCCCTCGCGAGGGTCTGGAAAACTCGAGAAGGCGAATCAAATTCTTGTTGAGAAGGTTGAAAAAAAAACCAAGTCGTAAGGAAGCTTTGGTTACCGGCGAAATAATTATAACTTGAAATACTTTTTTTGCAGATAATGAGGAGACAAGTACGCCGCCTGAGAAACAGCTTTGCTCAGACCAAAAAGGATCTGAATTTGAGGAGGTTCGAAAAGAAAATGAAGACTTAAAAAAAGAAGTATATGCTGTTCTGTCTCACAAAGCATGACTCAAAGCGACGCGGTTTATTTTAAGCCTGAAAACTAATTGCGCGCGGCGCATTCTACAGTACAAGAGGGAAGTCGCTAGGGGTCGGGTGCATATTCGCCTAAATCGGAACTTTCTTTCATTTGTCAAACAGCAGACTTTCTTTTAACTTCCGAATATATTCTGTTCAGATTTTGAATGTCAAGTCGTCGCTCAAGCTCCGCCCATAATGGTGCAATAAACCAATCAGAGAGCGAGCCATCCACAGAGTGTTTTTGAATGACGTCATTGCACTTGACATTAAAAATCTGAACAGACTATAGCCGCGCTAGAAATTTGGAGCCATACCAATTGCTCTCAAATCTGGAATAGTAGAGTAAAAACGTTTTGGACTTTGAATTACGTATTTTCTTTCTTCAAAAAAATAAAGTTTTCAAAAACACTATTTTCAGAATGGGAATAACAAAGCAATGGAAAAGATGGACCGTGAAGCTTCCTCGAAAATGTCTTTCGAACATGGCTTTTTTGGTGATTCAATGAGAATTCTCCAGTTCTGAAAATTGTGTCTCGTCTTAAGATCAGCACTCGCGATAATTGGTGTTCTACCAGCGCGATGTCTGGCTCCAACACAATCAGGAGATGCGACAGACTAATCGTTGGTTTTTTTGTGATTCTTCGAATCTCTCTTCCTTGCAGACGACTTCAGAATCGGATCAAAGAAGGGCATCTCGGAAGTATATTCTGTGGCTGGTTATCTTCGCCATCACGGCCAACATCGGCGTTTTCGCCATCATCAGCGGCTCTTTGATGTCTTTGTGAAAAATATCAATAAATCGAATCAAGTTTTATCTTCGTAGGATTAGTTGCAGTTTTTGGTGACTTCATAGTAGATTTCCGATTTGAAGGTGTCTATCCGACGATTGATCGGCTGTTGGACATGGACGACCCACGTGTCCGAGTCGTTCATGCTCCTCGCCACGTTTTCCAGGTTTCCGTTGTCGATTTGCTTCAATTTCAAGGGTTAGTCTAGTGGGACTGAATTTTTAAAGATTGACGGTTTTGTCTAGAATTTTTATTCTTTAGGAATTTGGGTTGAAGATCAGAATATTTACTGCTTCCGTCTCCAATTTTTTTGAAGTCAAAAAAAACTTTAAATGAACTTTTGTTTTAATTGGAATAATAATAGAAAACCAAGAAATTTTTTTAATATGTAAGAGGTTCTTGTTCAATTCCCTTATGAGACTTTGAAAAACGGCATCATTTTTTCATTTTCAAAAATGTAGTTTTTTGCAGTTTTAAGAAAAATAACCTACCGAATAGCACTTGAGAACGGATAATGTATTGATGAATCCTCTCTGAAAATATTCAGTTTTCTCATTTTTTTTTTCTTTTTTTCTTTATGGTCTGTTGAAAAATCTTCTCTACAAACTTCATTGAATTAAATATTATTTTTCATAAAAAGTATCAAGGCGAAAAATTCATTTCATTTTTTTATTATTTTATTTTTTTCATGTTTTTTTCCTATCTTTGAAGTACCACTGCAAGTAAATTCGAACGGATTCGAACGGATTAACGGTTTTTAATTTTTCAAGAAAATAATCTTCATTTTCTCAATCAAACTTCATGAAAACCTGCTGTTTGAAGTCTCTCGTGTCTTTGACTTCATAGGAATCGACAAATGAGCGAACTGTTGAATTCCTTCCACTTTTCTGGAAGTTTGCATAGAAAATAACATGCAAGCCTTCTAAAATACTCACCTTCTGATTCACGTTGAAGTTTTTGAGCTCTGAACCATAGGATTTTTGGCCGTCGGAGGTTTTGGGATAGATTAGTTCCCACTGAAAAAATGATCCATTTTTCACATTTATTAATTCAAACTCACCGTGCTTCTGTAATCAGGAATCTCGATTTTCTGCGGTCGTCGAATAGGACTTTACCATGGTCTTGTCGTCTGGTGAGAGTTAAAAAAATAACTGAATTCTGAAAAAAAGAAATAATTTTCACAAATTTTTCAGAAGGAACCTTTCTGAAAAAAACGTAATTAATAAAAAAAGGCCTTTTGAAAGAAGCAGCATCTTTTCGAAAAGAAATTTCTCAAAGAGATGCTTCGACGGCAAAAGAAGGCGCTTACTCACCAACGTACAGCTTTTTTTCTTTCTTCTGTACAGAAAAAAAGAAAGAGAAAAAACTTCAGAAACATTTTTTTAAAAAAACTTAAAAAAACAAAAAAATGCAACAAAAAAAGAATTCTTCAAGTTTCCTCAAACTATTAACTTTGTACTGAAAAGTTATCCAACTTTCAAAAATATTCCCAATCCAAAACGACGACTTATTTACAGATATTTATTTTTCAATCTTTTTATCGGATAGTTCAGCTCACACCGACGGTTTGAGAGGTCATCTATTCCAGCGACGAACTGACGCTCTCGCTTACGACCACATCACGTTGAAAACACGCCATCCCGTCCGATCTGGCAAGTTAAGCAACGTTGAGAGCCGGTAGTACTTGGATCGGAGACGGCTTGGGAATTCGGCTTGCCGTAAGCTTTTTTTCATGTTTCTCCCTATTTCTAAGAATTTTTTGCAGTAAAAAAATTGAGAAATAGGACTTGGACTACTCCATATTTCTATATAGCATTATTTTCATTGCGTTTGTCCTTGTAGTTTTTAGTCGAAATAAACAAACAAAAACATTCATTCAACAAGGCGTTTTTTTCATATCATCACCATTGAATTGACGGTAGTAAAGCAGTTATGAGGGTAAACGAGATCTTTGAAAGCGTAGAAAAAACTCTACATACAGGGAACAATCGAAGAAACACTAAGAGTTCTTTGAAAAAGATCTAAAGAGTTGAAAAATCAAGTCAGCCCCAAATCGGTCCAAGTCGTTCCCATTCGTTGGCATGTCGCTTGACGCTTATTCGGCTGGCTCTGTTCTCGACAAACGGAATTGCTCGGGCCCCTGTTCGGTCCAGTCCCAACTCTTCCAGGTGCTTGTCCATGAATCTGCAAGTAAATGATGTTAGAAAAGTTGCGTTGAATTTTAGATTAAAAAAAGAACTACGTATCTAGAAATTTTTTCTTTTCAAACTTAAGGATCGCACTTTGCGGACTACCATTTAAAAAGATTTTTAAGAATGATTAGATTAGGAAAATTGAAATTTATTACCAACTTTGGGAAAAATCTGCCGAGATCAGAATTTTCGAAAAATTTCAATCTGAATCTGAACTGATTCAAACAGAACTTCTCGAGGCTATTCTTATCAGTTTTATTCAAAAAAGCTGAAAAATGCAATTTTGAACAAACCTTGAGAAAGTGTCAAAGTCGACGACTTCAAATGTGAAGCTGAGGAGTAGACAGGACGCGAGGACCAAGAAGAACAAGAATTGTTGAGCCATCTCTTATTTTATTTTTTGTTACCTGAAACTTGAACGTCATTTAGAGCTTCAGAAAACTGATGGAATTGGGTAAAAGACGACAAAGAGATGCGAAATGGCTGAGGCCGGAAATGGAGTCACGATGGGCCAAGATAACTACGATTTTTGAGCCGCAAAAAACGGCCGCGGTAATTGGGTCGGCTACAACTGAAAGTTGTTTTTTTTACGAAAAGTGCAGTTGTTTTTTTAAGAGGGTACAATATGCAGACAAAATAGGAAAAAGGTGAGAAAATATAAGATATGTCTAGCTTTTAGGTGTTTTTCGTTTCGAACTGACGCAGGGCCACCGAAATCGTGACATCGTCTTGCGCTAGAACACGAGTTTGAATTTTCATGTACCGTGTGAAAGTCTCGATGTTCGAGGAAATCTTGGAAGTAAATAGAAACCGTCATAATTCCGAAACCTTTTGGAGAGGGATCTGGTTAGAAAGCAGAAAATTCTCAGAAATCACTATTCATTTTCTTTCCATCATATCATCACCACTGATAGAGAGAGTTAGTAGAAGATGACTTTAAATTTGAAAAAATAGGTTTCCAAAAATGGGCTCACATTCAAGAGACCATTCCTATTATAGATTTTCCGATCTCTTTATTTCTTTTCAAATCTAAATAATGAAGACTTTTATCTTTTTTAGTTTAAAAAGAGGGCATAAAAATTGATAATAAGTAAAAATTATGATTAAAATTTCTAGTTGAAACCTCATTGTGAAGCTCAGGATTCTTTCAGCGCATAACAAAACGATCTGACCTTCAAGAAAAAGGTTAAACAAAAAGTTTTTGTTTGAAATCTTTCTTCCGCTTTAAAATACTTTCTTGTGATTTTTCAAAGGATTCTTTCATTTGTTTGAATGTTTGGCCAGACTTGAGCGGATGTTTGATAATTGCAAACAGAAAATGGAGGATGTTATTCTTAGCACTTTTCCAGGACTTCTTTTAGTTTTTGAAACTTGAATTTTAGTTCTTTCTTGTCTCAAAAGAGCAATTGATGAAAGTGAAAATTAATGTCAAAAAAAGACCTCGAAAAAATTATTTGATCTTTTCGAAGCTTTTCTCACACCAACATTAATGAGTCAAAGTATGAATTTTGTCTTGTTCATATGTTTAGAGTTTGGTTCAACTGGGAACTTGTTACTTAAGAGAAAACCCAATTAAAGAAAGCAGGATTTAAGAAAAAAAGATGAGACCCTTTTGGGAGACGGGGAAATGAGAATTGAGCCAAAAGGTTTTGCCTTCTTTTTTTTTCACAAAGTGTTAGAAATCCCACCCATCTTCCTGTATTTACTGTTTGTAAACGTCACTAGAACTTAATGGAAGCTTTTAAATTCTCCTACGCTTTTTCCTCACGTGCCCCAACACTTTTTCTTTTTGGTCCCTCGTCAATTTCCGGTATCTTCGAACGCCTCCAAGAGGTTGAAACATTCCTAAACATTCCAAAATGACATCGTCTAGCCTTCTCTTCATTAGTTTCGGAAATTGATTCAACTTTCTAAAATGAAGAAACTCTGAAGAAAAAGTTTGGGGAAAAAATTTAAAATATTTTATGTTGTAGAAAGTTGAAATGATTGTGAAAACTTTTTTGTACTGAAAAATCTATCCTCAATATGGAATTTTTACATAATCGAATGGTCTCAAATTCAAAAAATGAAGTTTGGTTCAGACCACGGTTGGTTCAAAACGAATCGTTGGTGTTTGAAGCTGCGCGAAATAGGAAACCCGACATTTTATAGCTCAGAACAAGTCAACAGCTAACAATGTAACACTATTAGGCTGACAAAACGGGTCATTTTGAAGTGCCGTTCAAATATATTTTCAGGTGAAGATCAAAGGAATCAGTTTGGAAAACCATTTGATCACTTTCTGGTTTTGATATCGAACCCCATAATTGAAAGAGAGAAAGCTTCAACATCTGGTAGCATCTGATTGCAAATAGAGCCAGAATCCAAAAAAAAAATTTGAACAATCTGAGAGCCAGATTAAAAAGGCGTCAGAAGTTTCCTTCAATCTCACACAGTTAATAGGGATTTATTCGAATTTAAAAACTGGGTTTTTCAATAAGACTGACAGTTTTTCATGGCACTAGCTTTGGATCTGAAAAGATGAATCTGTAAAAATATAGAAGCTCAAAGTGCGCGAAACTGTAGTTAAATAGACTCTAGTTTTGAATCATGCCAACTCATTTTTAAAAATCGGAAGAATAGAGCTACTGTTTTTGAGAAAATAACTCATTTCAAAAGTTTTTCAAAAAAACGGTTCAAAAAAAGTTTACAGAGCAGAAAGCAGGTTGACCGGAAGGAACGAGAGCGACGTCACCGACAGAAGATCGGTCGGCTGTTTCAAATGTTTCACCGGAAGCAATAACCTCGAAAACAAGGCAAAAAAACTTAACGATATACAAATAACGTAGCCCGGTTCGCGTGGAGTTTGTCCAAGGCCTGAGGGCTTGCGGGGGTGGCATTTTGCAGCTTTTCCTTCCATTTCTCGTCGGTAAACGCCAAATAACAAGTTGTTGATCAGGGAAAACGGGCTGAGGACAATGAAAAATGGTCCTATTTTTTTAATTGAAAGAAATTTCAGCTGAAAAAAACATGCGGAGGTCCATAAATTAAACAAAAAAAAATATTCATTTATGTTGATAGTTTTCTCAACAAGCTTCAGAAATTGAGTTAGATCAAAAAATTTTTCGATTATTGACTGTATCTGAACAGTTCCTCATTTTTTTTTCTTATTAGTTTCTGAGAAGCAGATTGAGTTCTTTTCTGAAAAGCCGCTGACCTTTCAAACAAACTCAATCTGCGCATAATCTACATTCAAAGCTAAAAAAAGGCCGCTTTTTTTCTTCAATGAACCAAAGTTTATTTTAAATAGAATAAGCGCTTTTTTTGCTCTGAAGAGAACTCTCCGAAGAAAAACGTTTTTTCGTGACTACGACACCCAATGAATGAATAAAATGGAAGAGGAAGCTCACGAGCTTTTTGAGCCCATCCGATCGTGAAATAAGAAAATTACTGTGAAAAAGAATAAATTAAAATTCCTTAACGATCGTATGACTTCTTGATTTTTTTTTTTGAAGGAGTCTGAACCAAGTTTCATTTTTAATTACCTCGAGAAACCACAGTACAGCACAAAGAGTGGCGCAAAAAAAAGAGGTGATAAAAGGAATCACCGATTTCAAAACTACCCTCACAAAATAATCTCAGAATGACCAGCATTCAACGATCAAGAAAAAAAAAGAAGATTTTCGTTGAAGAAGACGAATTTCGTCGAAAAAAAGAGGTGGAATCTGTGATTTGAACCTTCAGCCAGCGGTAATTGCTACTTGTAAATGTGGAGAGTGAAGGCGTTACGGAAGACATCACAGAATTCTCAACAACAATTTTCTGATCAATGCTTTTGATAAGGCCCATGATTACCCAAAACAGCTTCAAAGTAAGTGACGAGTGGGAAAGAATTTTCAGGAAAATCGTAGAAATGACGTCTTTCAGAAACATCAACATCTGTCGAACCTTCCTTATGAACTGCAAAAAAAACCATTCTGTGAACCCGCCCACAAATCTATTCCTGGAATTAGATTCAGCTATAAATAACCGTAGAGGCCCAAAAAAGAGCTGGGAAATCAAGAATTCTTTTGAATAAAGAACAAGAGTCGAGATATCTGCAGAGGTTCTCACAGATACAAATAATAAATCTGAGAAAATGCACCGGCGGCCGAACAAACTTTGGTCGAAAAAATTAGGAAAAGTTATGAAATCGGAGTTTTTCGAAAATATGCTTCGAGTAGTTTCGAAGTAAAAAGAATTACTTTGCAAAATTTCGAAATTCTTTCAACTCAATTGGTCGGGCCGAAAAGTTTCACAACAAAACTGACTTTTAAAAAGAGTGTTTCTGATGCACTTCAAATATATTTGGAAAAATTCAGGCCGAGGAAAAAATCAAAAAATTTTTGCGGTCACTGCTAGTAGGACGCCTAGACTATAGTTATATATAAAAGTTTTAGTTTTCAAGAAAGATCATGGAGTTCGTTTTAGAAAATATTGGCAACTCATACAAAGCGATTTTAGAAAAAGATAGGAAATTATGATAACTATACGACCTATATACCAGGTAGAATTTTGAAGATGATTCTTTTTTGGAAGCTTTTTGATTTGATCTAGCTTCAAGCTTCAGAAATCGGGCTTTTTGAAAGAAACCAAGAGGGAACAGTCTTGAATCGAAAAAAGCGTGGCAAAGAAAGATTTGAGCCGTTTTGTCATGAAAGAAACGGTGTGTCGGATGGAATGTAGTGCACACAAGATGAGTGATGTGGTAACCGGATACATGGGCCGCATTTTGTGCCCCAAAAATGTAGACGTTTCAAATTCGGACCCCGATTTCAAGTGCCTTTTTTTGAAATGGTGTCAAACGCCGTTCTTTGGTTTAATTGAGGTCTTGGCAAGATTCGAGCCCTTTTATGAAAAGAAACAAAAATTCGATAATAAATTTACATTTTTTTCTGTTTCAAGCCGTCTCATTTTCGGAAAAATTGATGAAAATCGAAAAGTCAATGGGGAAAAATGGATACGGCGCCATAAATTAAATTTTTTCAACTTCAATCGTTAAGAAAATACTTCTTTTTCGTCGAAAAAGTGTCATTAGAATATCGGTGCCTCACCATTTACAGAAGGATTTAACTAAATTCTTTCTGGAATTTCAATCCAGCCAGATCAAAGGTCCGAAAAAAAAACGCTTTCAAAACGATTATCCCGATTCTGGACGAAACTACTGTCAGACGCCGTTTCCAGATCAAAAATAAGAGATGTGACGAATTTGTTCAGACATTTTTTCTACGTTCTCCGCCCCCATTGGCCATGCTGAAAAAGACGGGAAATGCATTATTCGATTCTCAAAAATTGGATTAAAAGGGCTAAATTTTCACTGGGAGAAGCCTCTATCGCCTCGTGTCCAAGGACTATACAGATCCGCTATTTTTCTTTGCCGAAAAAAAAAAACTTACAAAGCGATTATAACGCTTGAGAAAAACCTGAAATTATAACAAAATCGTTGGACGAAAACAATGGAAATTGCAGTTTTTCGTGGCTCTTTTCTGGCTGTGAAAGCCCAAAAATACCACACGAATAATGTGGAAGCTTCTATTGTCAAAACAGAAATTTTAATGAAAGCCGTTTTGATGTATAATTTTAGGTTTGATCTTCCCTTTTTTCTTTTGAATGATAGCTTCCAGGCGTTTTTATCGGAATCTGAATGAAGCCTGATGAACTGGAATTAGAAAGACGAGTAAAAATAGAATATGTTGCCACAGAAGCTATGAATTTTTTTAGTGAAAAGAGAAGGATGTTACGAAAAAACGACCTATCCAAAGTAAGAGTAAAGACCGATTGAGCTCAGAAGAAATTTTCACTGGGGTATGAATGAAAAACTCAAAAACCAATTTTTTTTTTTTGGAAAAGCTCTTGCGTTGAGATCAAGTAAAAAGCTGAAAAAAGGTCTTACGGTGAAACCTATGTGAGAACCTTTTGTTTAGGTTATAAAGATAATTTGTTTATCGCGGAAAGACAAGAAAAAAATTTCAACATTATTTCCTTGAAAAAAATTTAAAAATGTCTTGTGTTAAAGCTAACGTGTACCTCGTCCAAAACTTCTCCTGTGGTTTTTTGAAGAATTATTCCTGCTTCTACAAAAAAAAATTCGAAAAAAACGCTATTTTTGTGTAATTTTGAGCAAAGTAAGGCTTTGGCGCCATCCCAGCCAGAAAATTTTCAAAAACTTCAACTTTACTTCGAAAGGAAATCAGAAATTAAAGCGGCAAACAACGCTTCTTCTTCTGATAAAAAATGATTGTCTTCGAAAACTGGTTCGATTTTTCGGTCCCCTCAACCTACACACAGTTCCAAGAATCCTGGAATTTGCTTGCAGCCAGAAGCGGCCGCGCCGAATTAACAAGTAATTGGAGCGCGGGAAACGAGGCACGGTGATAAGCGGCCAACAAGTGATACGCAACTGGTTGGGAGGCGAAAGTAGACGCGGGTTAGTGGGTCTCCTCGTATTTCATCGCTTTGAGACCCTTTGATGGCGATTTAAGCAGAAGCAACTGAGTTGTGGCTGACAGATGCGATCGGTTCAGACGGAGAAAGGTGTGAAATCGAGGAAAAGATTTAAAATCAACGAAACTATTTTAAAGAAAAAGGCTAGAAAAGTATTTTTTTAGGAAAATTGTTCTTCTCTTTATTTGAAATTAAAGCCTCTTTTTCAAAAAAACTTTGAAAGAAAAAAACGAAAAAAATCGTCTTTAGAAGCTTGGTTCGTAGAACGCATTCAAGATTCCTTTGTTTGCTTGTTTTTTTGGAGTCTAATTTAGCATTCAAAAGCCCTTTCATTTCAAAAAAAGAGGTTTTTTTGAAGCCTCGAAATAATAAAAAAATATGAGTGAAATTATTCTGAACGAAGAATAAAGAATGATATAATTCACGAGTAGTCATTTTGTGTTGTAAAAAAATTTAAAAAGAATTTTTCTGTGATTTTCGAATTTTTTTCATTCCGACGCCTCCTGAAAAAAAGGCCACAATCACTTCATTTCAAAAAAATTCAGAATATTTTCGAAAAAGTATTATTTTTCGAAAGTTTTGAAAATAATTTGCCGAAAAAAACGAGTTTCACGGAAAAATGCAAACAAAAATTAGTTTGAATAAAAAAATAACTAAAACTATTTTGAGACACCCAAAACAATAGTTCAGTTCCGAGAAGGTAGCTTATTTGAATGAATAACGGAACTTCTTAGCATCTCATGAGAAAAATGACGTTTTTTTAGAATTGCAACTTCTAAAGTGCAAAAAATAATCGAATCGAATAACTTAAAATAAGGAAGTCCGATGAGAAAAAAGGGCACCTGGAAATATTTCATGACTTTTATAGTGGAAAAGTTCAGAAAACTGAAATTAATTTAGCAAAATTCAGTGAGTTAACTTGTGTATGTACGTCAGTAAAGTTTCTGCAAAGGATATTAACTTTGAAAAAATGAGAATTTTGTCATAAAAGTTTCAAAAAACTTAACCCATAAACTAGAAATTCTCTTACTATAAGTTGATCTGAGATTTGTTAACAAGGTTCCAGAGCGTGAGGTTAAGTTTATATATACTAGATTGAATCAGCAAAAAAAGGAAATCAAATTCACGACGTAAAAATTATAGAGAAGTGCCAAGCGCGTGAAAAAAAAAGATGGAAAGAGGTAAAAGTTATAAAACTTTTTGTAAAAATGATTAATCTTTAAAAAGCAGTGTGACCGAGAATTCAAGTGGGAAATTGGTTGAAAAAGATTAAAAATATAAAAAGAAACAAAAAGAAAGAAAGAACAGGCGGAATGAAGTCGAAACTTTGTAAGCGTTACGGTAGCACTGAATTCTGTGCACACTCTGACGTAATCACTGTAACTATTATTTCTCAAATTCATTTACGGGAAAAAAATTCTTCATTTTTTTCATTTTACTTTTTGGGTTTTATATGGGAGTATTTTTTTATTCATTTTCTTAAAATTCCTTGCCACTCGTAATTAATATGTTTCGTATAGCTTTCTAATATTTCAACTACTTTACAAAAAAATAAATACCTACAGAGTTTCAAACTTTTTATACTGCATTTTTGGGCTTTGGGTAAACTAAACCTTTCTTATTGTTTTTCTTTTTTTTTCAAACACTAACGAGAGGATATTGATTGATTGACTTACTTGAAGCTTCTGTACAAACAAGTAGAGATATGATAATCACCTCAATCGGATGAACCCCGATCAATCATCGGACGACAGTAGGCGCTCTACAAGTTCCGCGTCGCGCGGCCCCCCTTACTCTCGACCGCCTATAAAAGCGACGGACCGACGACGTCTCCACACAGTCGTTGAATCGCCAGCGATGGAGTCGAGCGACTCTCGGACCAAGGCGTACAAGTTCGTCGCCTACGCGGCCGTCTCCTTCTCGGTGGTCGCCGTCCTTTCGGTCGTGCTCACTCTGCCCATGGTCTACAACTTTGTCAACCATGTTCGACTTCAGATGGACCACGAACTCTCCTTCTGCAAGGTTTTTCTTTCGCCATTCGTTTTTTACATACCTTTTTTATAAAACTCGAAGCAGTAGGTCCTACTCACAACCTCTTTTTTGATTTTTTGGGAATGAGTTGAGCTTGACTTCAAAGCTATTCGCTATCAGACCTCAACTGAGTTGGTTCAAGTAATGAGAAAGTTGAGAAAGATCGAAATACGCTCATATTATTCACTCCTAAAAACCCATGATTCCAATTTTAAATTCCAACTATTCTGTAGTTTGCCTATCGCCTAACGGAAGCCTTTTTAAGAATTTTTCGACCGAACCTTAGAAATCACATTTTTTTTTTCCAATCTTGCACTTGTGTCCAATACGACGATGTTTGAAACTTCAGAAAGTTGAAGCTCACACCGGAAGAGCGAATCATTCTCAATGATTCGTTAGTTAGTTGCGTAGGTGACATATGATTAAAGATCACTTTTTTTTCCTTCGTTCACATGGAAATGTTCACGGAAAGACTAGAAAACAAACCTGATTGATATATTCCAGGGCTCCGCAAAAGACATCTTCACCGAGGTGAACTTCATGAAGACGAACGCCGGTCCAGCTGCTCCACACAATCGCACGGCTCGTCAGTCTGGCTACGGAGGACCTGAAGTCAACGCCGGACCAAACCTTCAGTGCGAAGGCTGCTGTCTGCCCGGACCACCAGGACCGGCCGGAGCCCCAGGAAAGCCTGGAAAGCCAGGAAGACCGGGAGCGCCAGGAGCGCCAGGATCTCCAGGAAAGCCGCCTCAGGCGCCATGTGATCCAGCCACGCCACCACCATGCAAGCCTTGTCCTCAAGGACCACCCGGACCTCCAGGACCACCAGGAGCTCCAGGAGACCCAGGAGAGGCTGGAACCCCAGGACGCCCAGGAACCGACGCTTCTTCCGGACTTCCAGGACCTCGTGGACCAGCAGGACCACCCGGAGAGCCAGGACAGCCAGGACCTCAAGGAGACCCAGGAGTTCCAGCTCAGAGCGAGCCACTCACGCCAGGAGCTCCAGGAGACGTTGGAGACGCAGGTAACGTTTTTTTTGGGCCTACGTTGCTTCAAAATTGGCGACCATTCAGTTAAATTTGTTTCCAGTGCTTTTATTGAGAAAATATTGAACCAAACGAATGATTTTGCAGGACCGCCCGGACCACCAGGACCCCCTGGAGCGCCAGGAAACGACGGCCCGCCAGGACCAGAAGGACCAAAGGGAGCTCCAGGACCAGACGGCCCACCGGGAGTCAACGGACAGGCTGGACCACCAGGACCTCCAGGACCGGCCGGTACTGCCGGAGAGAAGGGAATCTGTCCCAAGTACTGCGCCCTCGACGGCGGCGTCTTCTTCGAAGATGGAACTCGGCGCTGATTCAGCGACCGTTTTCAACCTTTTGTTTTATTTCGGCGGTTGCTCGTGCAATTTCTCTTGTTTTCTTGATCTGCTCTTTTTCTTGCGAAAGAAAATAAAGCTTAATTTTCTAATCTTTTTTCTAAACTCAAAATCACTACAAGAAAAAGGCTTTATATATGGCAGTAGAAAATGTTCAGTGTATACAACTTTTTTTCAAACAAAAATTATTAACTAAACGCTCTAAAAACAAAGAAAGTGGAACAATAAGTGACAATATTCAATCAAGTTCGTTGAGGATTTCATTTTTTGTTAGTCAACTGTCATTTTTCATCGCAAACTGTAACAGATATTTGGAAGTAGAATGATGGCGATTAAGTTATTTTGATCGTTTTGATATGTGTCCGTTGATAAAAATGCTTAACAATGGATTGCGTTTGGAGTTATTCCTCGGCGAAGTCGTCGTCGAGGATTCCGGATCGAGAGCCGCCTCTCCGCATGTTGATGCCCGTCGTCGACATCTTATTTTGAGCAATTAATATTTGTAATCCTTGTTTTCGAAATCCATTAGAATGTTGAAAGATCGATTAGGGATTGCTTTTTCAAAAAATTTTAAACATCCAAGACCTTTAAAGCCGAGGTTTTCAGGAAGGGTCTACAAAAAACCTTATATGACTTGTGAGAAAACAAGACTTGATTTTTCTCAACTTCAAAACTTTTCGAAACAATATTCAAAAACCATATTTCCCTGTTTGAAATTTTCGAAGCGATTAAAATTAATCTATACTTTGCTGCCCTCGTGAAGGAAAACTTGATGATTCTCAGAAATTTTCAATTATACTTTTTTGGGAAGTCTCATTTTTCAAAAGGACTCATGTTTCTAAAAGCGAGAGCGCTCACCGAATGGGCCAGGCCGCGAGGACCGAAGACGGCGCTGCCGCTGCGGCCCTTCAGCCGCATCTTCTGGAGAGCGTTTTCGGCGGCGTCGGCACGTTCCTCGGCGTCTTCGAGGGCGTGCTGCAGCTGTCGGTACTTGGCGAGGTTGGCCGAGGCGAGGCCTTCCGCGTCGTCGACCTGCCTCTTGTAGGTCTTGATCTTCTGCTGCAGCTTCTCGATCAGATCGTACATCCTCTCAGTGGCCTTCTTGTCTTCGTCAACCTCAAGCAGATCCCATTCGTAGTTGCTCTGGTTTGTTTTGAAACCTGGAACTGCAGCTCTCGTGCTCGGCGATCTTTGTTGCGGAGGTTCTTGGCGGTTTCGGCATGTCTGCGAGATTCGCTGTCCAGCTCGGCTTCGAGCTCACGAATTCTGAAATCATGAATGCGATGTAAAATATTGAATTTTTTTTTGGAAGTCTACAAAAGTTGGATTGAAGAAAAGGATGAAAAATACTAGGAGGTTATATACCCTCAGGATGCAATTAGGAGGCTTCAAACAATTTTTCTCGGAAATGTGCGTTCTTTAAAAAGAGTTTTTCAGAAGCAGAAAAGAAATAGGAAAAGAAAACTTCTGATTTTATTTCCTGGTCTTGTTTTCTTTTTGTTTCTCATATCAGTCCGAAGTCAGAAGTAAAAACGGACCTGGTGTCAAGCTTAGCGATCTGTCGTTTGCCGCCCTTGACTCCGGCAGCCTCGGCTTCGTCGAGTCGTGCCTGGAGGTCCTTGAGCTGGCTCTCGTAGGCGCGTTTGCTGCGGTCGAGGTTCTGGGCGTGTTCTTGCTCGGCGCGGAGCTCGTCGGAGAGTCGCGTCGCGTCCATCGTCGCCTTCTTGGCGCGGTCGTCGGCGCTCTTCATCTCGCTCATCGCTTCTTCGACCTCGCCGTGCAGCTGCTGAAACTCTTTCAGTTGATCGGGGCTGAGAAGAAATTGAATTTGAAGATTGAAAATGAGCGAAGGAGTGTGAGATTATTTTGAACGAAGGTCTTAAACGTGTTCATTCTACACAGCTTATTTTTAAGAGGGCTCAAAGTCTATAAATGGCATATTTCAACAATATGGGTGCAAAAATGAGAACATGGACTACCAGGTTACCTATTTTTAACATTTTTCAAAGTAATTCCGACCTGAAGTTCTCCCTCGAGCTTCCGCTTGTGGGCGAGAAGAGCGGCGTTGGTGTTGGCGTAGGAGTTGGCCGATTCCTTGTGTTCAACACATTCGAGTTCGGCTTGGCGACGGGATCGTTCAGCCTGAATTTCTCGAAAGCTCATTTTTGAGATATGTGAAAGTTACCTGTTCGTAGACGACGGCGAGGTCTTCCTTCTCCTGTTGCAGAACCTGAGATCGGCGCTCGGCCAAGCTCGCCTGGTCACGGGCCTCAGCGATGTTACGTTGTTCCTCGTCCACTTGAGCCTGAAACAATTGAGTTGAAAAAACAAATGATCAGATTCCCTCTCAAAATGCATACCAAAAATATCCACATCTTTTTCTTTTTTCAAAAAGCTTGTCCGAGAAAACAGGAAAAAATTCGAGAGCCAGATTTATGGTAAAAAAAAAAGTCTCATTTGTCACAAACTTTTCTCGAATTATGATTCTAGACGCGATATTTCAACAGCTGGAACGGCATGAAAATCTCTCTCCGCCAAAAAAAAAAACCCCTAAAAATAGACCTGAAGGTCGCGGACGTTGTCCTGGTAACGCTTGAGAGTCTTCTGGGCGTCGACGTTTGCCTTGTTGGAGTGGTCCAAGGCGATTTCGAGTTCCTGAACATTCTATTCGACATGGTCCTCTTTGAAGAACACCCACGTTGATGTCGGCCTCGAGCTTCTTCTTTAACCTGAGCAATTCGGCGCGGCCACGGCTTTCCGTCTCCAGGGACGCTTGCATGCTTTCCAGGGCGCGGGCGTGGTTTTTGCGAGTGTTTTCGAATTCTTCTTCCTGAGTTCAACTGGTGAACTTTTTGAGTATTTTTCACTGAAGCACCTTCTCCTGGAGTCGTTTCTCGATCTCAGACCGGATCTGGCTGACTTCAACTTGAGCCCTCATCACCTTAGCTTCCTCTCCTTCCAAAGCACCTTCGGCGTCGTCCAAGGCTTGCTACAATTTTCAAATAGGAATAAAACAGCTGTAAATGTGGGACCATGACATTTTTGAACTTAAAGAACTCTAAAAATTATGACGAGTGAATAAATTAGATGAAACTAAGATAAATAGCTAAATTTTGATCGAAAAATGGCCACAAGTTCTAATTCATTTCTGAGTACCTGAAGTTCTTCCTTCTCCAGTTCGAGTCTTCGGCGGATCTTCTGCAGGTCATGGACGGACTTTCCGCCTTCTCCCAGTTGATCCGTGATATCCTTGAGTTCTTGAGCGAGGGCTTTGTTCTCCCTGCGAACGCCTTCCACCTGAAGACCCTCTATTGAAAATCTTATAACTCAACTCATGAAAGTTTCCACCAAACTTCACTAAAACCATTTTTAGAAATTATTTCATAACCCAGGTTTTATTCGAAAATTTTTGGAAACTCAGAAAGCTTCACTACTTTTGAAAGAATTATGACTTTTATTCGCGGCTTCGATTATCTTTGAACAGTATTCGAAGGGTTCAGGTATCCTTTCTCACCTGTTCTCCAGCTTCTTCCAATTGATTCCGAAGTCGGAAGGTTTCTGTGGCGGCGGCGCGAGTTTCCCGTTGGCTCTGTTCGACTTCGGCCACCAGAGCCTCACATTTTCTCTTCCATTCATCGATAACCTAAAGATGTCGTTATAAAGAGAAAAGTTAATATAGTTGCACCTTATCGAAGCCCTTTTGTTTCTTCTCCAAAGAGCTGGCAATGGAATTGGCTCGGTCAGCATCAACCTATAATTTACAGCTGAAATAATTTTCCTGATCCCATTTTACCTGAGCATCTTCGAGCTCATGGGCAAGTCTTTGACGTGTCTTTTCCAAGGATCCAATCTTCTGGTTGGCATTTTCGAGCTGCTCTTGCATCTCTTGGACCTGAAGAAGAAGCTCATTTTCTCCGCCTAGTTGACTACATCTATTACTAAAACAAAAAAAATATTAATTGATTGATTGATAAAAAAAAAAACTCGGATACCTTGTGGGTGAGTTTGCGACGAGCCTCCTCGAGCTCCTCGGCCCGGTTGACGCCTTCGCCTTCGAAACGCGCCCGCCATTGCTGAGCCTCGGCGTTGGCCTTGCTGATGAGCCGCTGGAGCTCGGTCTTGGCGTCCTGCTCCTCCTCGAGTTGCTCGCGGAGCTGCTCACACTCCAAGGAGTAGTTGGCGGCCTGGGCGTGGAGCGACTGTCTTTCGCGCGACTCCTGCTCCAGCGACCTCTTCAGCTCGTCCATCTGGGCGTTCTGCTGCTGCTTGATGCGATTCAAGGCGGCCAGTTGCGATTCGGCGTCTTCCAGTTGACTGACACAATTTTTTTTATTATTTGCTTTGACTCCCGAGTTTGAGATCAATTTTTCTGGGCAATCTACTGAACCTCAGAAGAAGCAAAAATGAGAAAGGTGAAACAAAAATACTGAATTTTAGCTACTCAAATTTGAGCCTGAATTCATATTTCAATTCTTTTTTAAACCAACCGATTCAGGTCGTTGTTCTCCGAGGAAGTCTTGTTCTTAGCCATGATGAGTTCTTGGATCAGACGGGCTTGTTCGTCGCTCTTGAGGGTCATGTCGGTGAGCTGAGCCTCCAGCTGCTTCGACATACGCTCGCTGTTCTGAAAACAGTGACGTCTTCATCACTGATACACCTTTCGAGGCACCTGTCTTTGCTTGGCCTCGACGTCGGCAGCCTGCTGCAGTTCATCAATCTCGCGCTGTTGCTGCGCCTTCTCCTTCTCCAGCTTGGCTCTCATCTTCTGGATCATGTCGAGCTGATCGCTGAGTTCAGCGACGGCGTCGTTGTGCTTCTTGCGGAGGGCAGCCATCGCCGTCTCGGAGTTGATCGCCGAGTCTTCCAAGTCCCTTCTGAGTTTGGCCAGTTCGGCTTCGCGCTTCTTGTTCAGCTCCATCTGTGCCTGAGTGGCGCCTCCAGCCTCGTCCAATCGATCTCCCAACTCCTCCAACTCCAGCTGCATCTCATTGCGGGCCTTCTCCGCTTTGGAGCGGCTTTGTCTCTCGGATTCGAGTTCCTCCTCTAGTTCTTGGATCTTGGCGAGGAGCTCCTTGATCTGCCGCTGCAACTTGGCGACCAAAGACTGTTCGTCCTCCAGTCGCGCTTGCAGGGAGTGGAGTTCGGCGTCCTTCTTCTTGATCACCTGGTCTTGCTCATGTTTGTGACGGTTGAGCTCTTCGATGCTCTCCTGGGCCAACTTGAGTTCGCCCTCGATCTTGCGCTTCTGCTTTTCGACGTCCTGTCGGCCACGTTTCTCACGCTCCAACATGTCTTCGACCTCGTCGAGAGTTGATTCCAGCTTGGACTTGAGTTTGTTGAGATGATTGACCTTGTCTTCTTCGGCCTGGATGTCCTCGAGGAGCTTGCGGTTGACCTCTTCCTGGTGTTTCTTCTCCTTGTTCAGCTTGGAGATGACCTCGTCCTGCGAGGCGATCTCGTCTTGGAGACTGCGGATCTGGTGATCTTTGGCCTGTTTCTCGCTCTCCTGCTTCTTGATCGTCGTCTCCAGGTCTCCGACCGTCTTTTTCAACGACTCGTTGTCCTGCTCGACCTTTTTCTTCGCCTTGGTCAGCGCCGCGTTCTTGTCTTCCTGGTCGGCGAGTTGGTCGTTCAAATCGCTCATCTGGAAAATTCTCTCAATTTTGGGACCATTCTGCTCCGAACCTGCTTCTCAATATCAGCTTTCTGAGCGAGCAACTTGGCGGATCTCTCCTCGCCCTCGGCGTTAGAATCGCGCTCTTGTTCGAGCTGGATGAGCATAGCCTGCTTCTCAGCCTTCAAATAACTTTTTTAGATTATTGTTTCCCCTGAAATGACACCTGCAGACGGGCGTTTTCGGCTTCGGTGTCCTTTCTCTTGGCTTCTTCCTTCTTTTTCTCTTCCTCCAGGAGTTTGTATCTACAAGTAAAATGATTAAAATAGGTATTCAATTTTAAAACACAAATCTTAAGCTCAAAACTCTACTAAAAAACTATAATAAGTATTATTGGAAAATATCAAAGTTTATTTTAGAAGACACTAACGCTGGAATACCTACATTCACTGTGTATACTTTTAGATCTCGTTTTTTCAAGGTTGGAAAATCGACTGACTTCTTCTCGAGGGCTTCGAACTCTTCGTCCTTCTTGTTGCCCTTGATGAGCGGCTTGACGCGGCCGAAGAGTTTGAACCAGCTCCAGGTGCGGAGGGTGCACCAGGCGCGTACGTTTCTCTGCAGGATGAGCAGACCAACCCTGGAAACTGTCTTTTTCTCGGAATAAAGGGAAGGGGACGAACTTCTGGTCGAGCTTGCGTTTGTACTCGCACTGGGCGAGGTAATGACGGCAGGCGCATTGGAACTTGGTCATGATCTTGCCGAGAGCCTCGTCGCGAAGTTCTTCCAGGTGGGCCAGAACTCCGGCTTTGAAGAAAACCTGAAGTTCAGATTGAAAATAAGTTTTTCCAAAATTTCGACTAGGATCAGTTTCAACTTAGAGAATGGGTGAGGGAAGACGCAACAGATGGAAGAGCAAAAACGTGAGAAAATAATTAGAACCAGTTGAAACTCTTTATTGAATAAATTCACTATTGCTTTGCTTTTTGAACTTTGCATGTGAAGGTAAGGTCAAGGAATGAGTAAAATAATTCTTTCCCAATTTAAAAGCCATCTACACCAAAGGCAAAAAGGAACCTTTGTGAGACCGCACTGGAACTCCTCGGGCTTGAGGGAGCCGTCCTTGATCAGCTGGGCGGCGATCTTTTCTCCGGATTCCTTGTCGTCCTTTCCAGACTTGGCCGCGTCCGCCGCCAGGACCGCGTACCCAAAATTGGAAGAAACCAAGGGAAAGCAACAAAATTGGCAAGGTGAAGTGAACACTGGCGCATTCTCAACTAATCAGAAGCTTCGAGAAACTCAGAAGACGTGCAGATGACGTCACCTTGGTCATACCGAGGCGATGATCTTCGTTCCGCAAAGCGTTTCTCTTCACCAACTCCCCCATCATTTTTTCGCCCGCCTTTTTCGCATCCTTGATGGAAGCTTCTTCCGGCGTCAAGGGGCCGTACCTTTTCGAGAGTTGTTGCATATTTGATTCAAATAAAATGATTTTTAAAAAATTTGCTTTGATTCACTTAGAACTTCAGTCAGGTATCTACGGTGTTTGAGAAGGTCTTATTCTTTTTCTCACATCAGTATAAATCGCTACGAGCAGTAGATGACACCAATATCCATATTACTTTCCAATCTTTGAAAAAAGGTGACTGAAACGTATGATAAGCGGTAGTGCTATAGAAAATGAAAATAATTATCTCACGTCAATCATTTTTTATTATTTTTGCAGTTTTACAAATTTACTTTGCAAAAAACCTATTAAATCCATATTTCGAAAGGAATTTTTGAAAGAAATCCCTTTTGCCGCTCTTAAAAAATTGATCTAGATTGAAAAAAAACTCGATTCCGATTTCAAAAAAGGTTTCAAAGGTAATTTTTTTTTTTTGGATGCCTATACCACTGTCTCTGAGGTTACCTCTGCTTGAAGTCGTTGTAGGGCATTCTGTTGGGGAATCCCTTGCGGCAAATACGGATTCCTTCCAAGACACCGTTGCAGGTGAGTTGGTTCAGCACCAGACTGGCTTCGATCATGCCTGAAAAGGGAGATTTTTTCGAGGTTCGGGGAACGGTAGACGCACCAGACTTCTTCTGTTCGTTGGGGATGATACAACGGATGAAGTGAGGGTGGGTCTGATGCAACATGTGCATCAGGTTGTTCAGAGACTCGCGGTACATCATCGACACCGTCATGAACGACGCCGACTTGCCCTGAATCCACAAGTATTCTACTTGGCTTAGAAAAGTCATTTCAAATTCACTCACTAACAGGTTTCAGTGTGTTTCTACTATAAAAAGTCAAGTCAACGCTGATACTCTTCACTTGATTCCTTTTCCCATCGATAACCTTTTTCTTTCCGGCGCTCTTCTTGCCGTCCTTGGCCATGGCGGCGACGTCTTCCTGAGTGTTGTAGTCGGCCCAGATGTCGCACATCAGCTGGTTCGTCTTGTTGGCCTTGAGGACGGTGACGGCCGTGTCGTTCAGAGGGTCCTTGTTCTTCTCCAGCCACGCCTTCACGTTGTAGCGGACTGTTCCGGCGTAGTGGACAATGGCCAAATGGGCTTCCGCCTTCAGATTCTCGTTCTTTTGACGCCTTTTTTCTGGTCGACTACCTGCTTTCCCTTTGGCGGCTTGGGCTTCTGGAAGTTGGGATGTTTGCCCAAGTGCTGGTCGTTGAGCTTCGAAGCCAAGGTCATGTCCGTGGCCTTGGGAACGATGCATTCTTCGTCGAGCATCGAAACGATACCCAGGGGCTGTAAAGTTTCCATTCGAACAAGGAGAAAAAATTAAAGCAGAAAAACAGATCTTGATTATAAAACTCGGAAAAAACCTCATATTAGGTATTTTTTCGTAATTTTCAATTACAAGTCTGAAATGAATTAAAAACTTTCGTTCCACAAAAGCTTGTTATGACGTGAGAAACTTATAAAAGAAACAAAAAAAAATAATCTGTTAAGTGTTACTTGAGACCTCTTCCAAATTTTGTGTTTTCAAAGAGCTCAACTATATTCGAACGATCAAGAAAGAAAGTTAGTCTAACAAGTATGGATTTTAAAAGGTTCTTTCTCTTTTTTGGAACAAAAAGTGCTTCAAGATTTTTTTAATCCTACAAAAATAGGAGGAATCTGGTACCATACTTATCACAAAATAAAGCTACCAACTCCTAGAAGAAAAATTCAAAAACCATCAGGTAAATTGCCTTCATCACTTAGAACCCTACAACTTGACACCACGCAAAAGCTGGAAATTTCCAACAATTTGAACAAAATTCAAGCCTTTTCTACAGCTTTCAAACCTTCTCAATGAGCTCGATGCAGGCCTGAAGATCGAGACCGAAGTCGATGAACTCCCACTGGATGCCCTCCCGTTTGTATTCTTCCTGCTCCAGGACGAACATGTGGTGGTTGAAGAACTGTTGCAACTTCTCGTTGACGAAGTTGATCCACAACTGTTCGAAAGAGTTCAGCTGGAACCTCGGTATTTTTTTTTCTTTTTTTTTTGAGCTTCCATTTACGTCGAAGATTTCGAAACCGGCGATATCGAGGACGCCGATGAAGAAATCGCGCGACAAGTCCTGAGCGTCCAGAGTTTTGTTACATCTGAAGTTTTGAATTCTCTCCATTTTGTCTTCTGCTTAGTTAAAAAAGAACCTCTTGATGAGCCAGGTGAAGAGTCGGGCGAAGAGAGCCTTGGCCAGAGCGCCGATCGCCCAGTTGACCTGCAAAATTAAACTGAAAACGATAGAAAAATTAAAATTCAAAACATTTCAGAAAAGTTAGAAAAGTAAAGGTAATATTAAAAAAATCTTTTTAAATTGAAAAATTTATCCTTATAAATTGCTTTTTTTCTGCAGATAGCAAAACAGATGAATCACCAAGATTTTCCGTTTAGTTCAAAAATACGATCCAAGAAACAGAGAAATAGGAATATTACATAACGGTCAATTCGCGGATAATTAGAAATACTTCAATTCTCAAGAATTGCTACTTCAAATCCATCTTATTTCGCTAAAAACAACTTTGAAAAGTAAATAACGAGAAAAAAAAATTGAAGGCAAGCTCTTTAAAAAAAATCTCAAAACCTCGTGAAATTCAGAGAAAATGGTCTCGAAGCGAATACCTAAACACTGAAAAAAAATCAATGGAGAAAATTTCTACAAAACTATCTAAAAATACAGAACTTTTAAAAAGCCATATTAGAAACAAAGTCCAGGACACACATAAAATCCCTTTGAAAACGGACCTGCTCGAGGTTCTGTCCCTTGTTGACCCATTCGGTTCCGACTTTTACGCGGGGTTTCAACATGGCGTTGATGAACTTCTCCGTGTCGACGCCATAGAGTTTGCAGGCAAGTTCACCTTCTGAAGTTTTTCCTTTGAGTAAAAATAAAATGAATGGAAAAAGACCTTTGCCGTCTTCCAATTCGGCTTGTTCTTCACGGGGTCTCTGCTTGAACTTGAGCTCTCCCATGTGCATAATTCCTTCAAAAGCCCGATTATTAAATTTTTTTTTGTAAAAAGATTGCTCCAACGGCTATAACAACCACTGATTTTACGGACAAATCTCCTCAGTGGTTTTTGAAAAAAAAAAAGGACAACTTTTTTAACTAAACTTCAACTGAAATCGACTGATTTTTGTTTCATTCAAAAGTGTCTATATAAGTGGATACCGCTTCCTAGTCAGTAAAAACGATTTTCCTACCGGCAGTGATGGAGAAAAGCTCTTCCTTCTCCTTGGCCGTGAACTTCATGATGTCGAAAGCTTCCTAAACTTCTCTATAATCTCACAAAGACAAAAAAGGTCAACATCAGTGATGAGCATTTCTTCCTTGTCGTCGACGCCGTCGATCGTGACTTCAGCCTGGGCGACAAAGTGATAATCCTTGATCGGACGGTTCAGGAACAATTTTTCTGGAAAAAACTCATCTTTAGATTCCACAAAAACTGGCAAAAACCTTTTAATCCGGGAACTGCTCCGGAGTAAATTTGGTAGAAAATGTGGTAGCATCGTTCTCCGGGCGCTTGTTTGATCACACGAGATTTCTCCAAAAGATCTGAAAATTGAAAAAAATTGAATAAAAAAGAAAATTCTAAAGAAAAAAAAAACATACAATGCTCAATATCGGCACCGGCGACTTTTCCAGCGTGGTTGAAATGAATTCGGATGAACTTTCCGAAACGCGAAGAGTTGTTGTTTCTCACAGTCTTTGCGTTACCTTAAAAATAAATAATTTGACTGAAAAATTAAGAATAAAAAAAACTGTCGAGTTCAAAATTATTTCGGCGAAATAAAAATGATTTATAGAAATTACTCTTAACGCGATAAAAAAATTGGACGAAAAAAATGATTTTTTTGCTAGTCAGAGAAGATGTAAACTGTGTGTTCACACTTTCAGAACCACACAACCTACAGTTACTCATAAAAATTAATTTTGTGGTTTTTTTTCTATTTTCTTTCTCTTCTCTAATAATCAAATCTCCATGAACCCCTCGTCTATTCTGAAAATTGGCAAAGGACTCCGAGAGTCCTATCTTATCAATTCCCGAGGAAAAAGCTTGAAGATCCGGTCAAGCGCGCCGCTGAGAGCCGCCACTCTGGCTGGCCCTTCAGGCGTGTACGTTTTTGCGCTCAAAGGCTGGTTGCCACGAAAATGGGAGACTTTTACAATATTATAGATTCATAAAGAACAACTTCAAAATGATACCGAAAGCTTCCAAAACAGGGTTGGTCTGCACGATTTGGTCCTCCAATGAGACCTTGTTCTTGTCTTTCTTCTTCTGAGCGCTGAAAAAATAAATTGAGAGACAATGAGATTAGATTTTCCAGATACCCAGACTGTTGCGAGGCTCCAACCATGGCAAAGTAGGAGATGACTTTTTTCGTGTTTTCCGTTTTTCCGGCTCCGGATTCTCCGGTGATCAGCATCGACTGGTTCTCCCGGTCTGAACAATTTGGTATTCTCAGTGATACGAATAATTGCTGATACGATGAGAGAGAATTTCCTTTGTTATCGAATGGAAATGAAAAGTTCAATTTGAGGAAAATAAATGCAAATCTGGTAAAGTCAAACTATTGAGTTCTGATGTCTTGATTCTTTTGAAAATCCAAAAATTTTGGCTGACGAAACTTTTAAAGATATTTTTCGAATGTTAGACCAAAAGGATGGTAAGGCACGATCTTTTTAACCTATTCCAAAACGTTCAATCAAGTATTTCGAAGCAAGAGGCTTCCTTATTTTATGAAAATTCAAAAAATGATTGGACTTCTGGTTATGAGGTTTTTATATTGTCTTAAAGCAATTCAGTTCAAAATCAGTTCAGTTCAAAATCAGACCGTTGATCATGTTTCTGTAGGCCTCGTCGGACACGGCGAACAAGTGGGGCGGCATTTCGTTCCTTCGCTTGCCGAGGTACATCTGACAGACGGCTTCCGAGTAAATCGGCAGCCTTTTGTAGGGGTTGATCACCACGCAGAAAAGGCCCGAGTAGGTCTGAAAAGTCGGTTGGAATTGGAGCAGGACAAGGTTCTAACATAGATCATCATGGAATAGTAGCGTTGCCGCAAGTTGTGAAGGACGGAGGCGTCGTTGAGGAACGTCAAGTTGGCCATGTCCTCGGTCTTCTCGTACTTCGGAGGGTTCATCTGTTGAGCGTCGTCCTTTTTCAGCGACTTCTGAAAAAATGAAGTTTTAAAAAAGTAAAGTCTTATGACACAAAATTTGAGTAGTTGAATAATCTTCTCTCTTTTGTTCAGAACAAAAGGAAAAGATCTTATCGTGTACTTTTCAATTTTTCTTAAAACTCTTCTTTCAATTCGGGATTTCAACCTTTTTTCCAGACTTCCATGAAAATTTAAGGGTTCAAAAAAAAAAATGTTTCAACAGGATAATTCTAGCAATCAAGTGGTAAAAAAATGTTGAAATTTTTTTTGAATTTTTTTCCGTTTCGGGATAAAAAAAGCTAATGGAGCGATTACAACTGAAATCGACAGATTTAAAATTATTTTCATTATCTTGAAAGAAATTTTTTTCACATAACCCATTAGGCTAAAAATATAAATGTGGTACAAAAAAATATAAATTTGTACAATTTCATACCATTCAATCAGTTTTCTTCTCGAAAGAAAGAAAATTGAAGAAAGTCACTGCGAATAGACTTTGAAACTATTTTTTTTAGAAATGTATAGGAATTTTCTTCTGGATCTTTGCAAAGGATGCTACGAAAAAGTTCCTGGACCTCGGTGCCCTTGGACGTGACGACGGTGATGGTGTCGCCCTTGGTGGACTTGATCTCGGCGGCGATGAAGCCTTCCTCCGGGTCGACGATCCACACATTCTTCTTCGAGTCGAATTTTTTCGTCGTCGCAGCGAGCAACTGAAACTTTTCCTCTTTTCCGTTTCTGGTATTTATATCAATATCATTCCTCTGTTTCAACTTTCAATCTTCAAAAATCATGAAAAATTCAACTTCTGTTAATTGAAAAAAAAAGTATCAAAAAAAAAATGGAAGTTTTCATCTTCATCATCAGAAGTTATGATGATTTCTCCACCCAGTTTAATCAGAAAATAATTGTCGAATCAGATTGAATATACTCAAGAAGACCTCGTTTTAATAGAAAGAAAAGATAACCTGCTCCTGGGACTGGCGCAAGAACTGCCAGCCAGGATCCGACTCGTGAGACATTGTCGTCACGTCTGAAATTTTCCTTTTTTTTAATAATTTCTCACATAATTGAACATATTCTTCAAAATGATAGAAAAAAAATCAGCGTTGAAGAAGTGCCTAAAATTTTTAGAAAGTACTCAAGCAACACTTCACGTGATAGATTGAAAAGTTAAAAATTACAGTATCGAACAAGATTTTAGAGAAATCGACACCTCGTTTAGGGGATCAGTCTTGAAAAATTACAATTCCTCGATTAAAAAAGATGTTTCATTCGAATATTTTCAAAGAGCTTGAAAGTACATGTAATCAGTTTTGTAGTGAAATTGGAGTTAAAACTTCTTTCAGCCTTAAACGAAGATGAAAAATATTTCGATCATTGGATAAAGGATTCGGAAAACTTGAGGACAAAAACTTCATCTGGAATAAAAACATCAAGCAGAAAAGAGTCAAACTACATCATGGAATTTCGCCAGAGCACAAGTTGTTTCAAAAATCAAAGTTCTATGAAAAAAATACATGCGCAAATTCTTTTTTTGAAAAATATCCGTCTATAGCTGATTTTCAAGGACGAAGTTTTGAAACTAAATTTATAAAGTAAAAAAGGAAAAAAAAAGAAAGAATGAAAAATGATTTTAAAAAAACAGTTGTTAAAGTTTAGGCGAAAGAATGCCAAAGTGGATCAGAATTTCGAAAAATAAAAAGAAACCGAAAAATGAAGCAGATGATGAAATTGATTGCAGTCGAAATACAGTGAGTTTGAAATAAAATTATGAAATTGATGCAAAACAAAAACGAAACTTTCCTAAGTGTTCACGCATTAACAAGGTTATATACTTTTCTTGCTCAAAATCTTGTTTTCTTTTTCTGGTTCATAATTCGAAGACTGAACCAAAAAAAACTGAAAAGAAAAGCCGTTATCAGCTTTGAACATGATGATCATTAGGAAGCGCAATCGAAAGTAAAAAAAATTAATTGATATTCGTAGAGGTCTTAATTATCGTATGAAAGGGATCATGAAAACTTTTAAGGACGTTATGTCTTCAATGAAAATAGCAGGATGTTTCATATAGCCATTCTATGTATCTCTTGAACTCAAAACGATTCTAAAAAATTCAAAATGAGCTGCAACTTTATTTGAAGACTTTTTCCGAAATTAAAGTTCATCCTCGGTGACAGGGTTGAAAAAAAAAACACGAAGGATTGGAAAAAGCTTTTTATGTTGATAGCCCAAGCTCCCGACAATATCAAAATAAGACTTGCAACTTTGGACAAAGGCTTTATGATAGAGAAACATGAATAAATTAGATTAGAATGAGATGAAAGATGGAATCGAATCTATGAAAGATATTTGAAAACAAATTATTTAGGATAGAGCAAATTTTGGAAAGCATCCGATTCAAGTGCGACATACAGATAACGCTAAGTGATAGATCCCTGCAAAATTATTCAACTTCAAGTGGGTGAATGATGACTATTCGGAGAGTGTCAAAAAAACATATTAATAACTAGAATGAAACAAGAATAAAGCAGTTTTGTAGGAGTAAAGCAGGTAAGAAAGGTTGGAAGGAGGCCGAGCCGAGACGGATGGCTGGATGGATGTGGATGGGGGATTGTTTGCCCCACGGGTGCTCCATCCGCCGCCTCGGCTGCCTACAGTTTCAGGTCCGTCTTTCCTTCTTCCCAACAAACACACAGTGCCACACTTTTTGTAATGTTTCCTCGACATTGCGTGAATGAGTGGGTGGGCGCGCACTTTTGCAGGATTTTGAAGATTGCCGTGCCAATAGAGAGAAGCTGATGGTCATAATGGTCAAAGAATGAGAGAAATGGGATAGAAAATTGCAACTTTATTCAATTCAATTCCAGGAAAAATCTTATCGCGGATTTTAGAGATTGCCCCTTATCTTTCGCAAGGTCGCTGGTTCGAGTCCTACTGAGGATGACGAAACTTCTCATCCCTCACAAAGTCTCGGTTTTTGATCACAGAAACTCTGCTCTAGCAAGTTTTTCTATTCTTGGATCAGCTTTTAAAGTTTTTATTACGGTTTAACACAAGTTAATTCCACATTTTATGGCGAATTATAAACATGTAGTCTGAGTGTCAAGCCTTGAAGTTTCAACAAACGACCTTCCCCTGTTCTGCTGCGTGCGGTCGCGAAGCGTGTTTGCTTTTGGGAATCTCGGTCGCGTTTTCAATTAGTTATGATTACTGGTCGATAGACTGTTTTATTGGGAGGATGTGAAAGTCAAAAGACGTGAAATTCTAGTACTGGAATAAAAAAAATTGGAAGCGAGACCGAAATTCGCAAAGGCAGAGACGCTTCGCGACCGCACGCACCGGAACAGCGGAATGTCGTGCGGTGAAATTTCAAGCGTAGCACACAGATTATAGCAAAAGAAATCTTCCAACTCTTCAGGTAGGGACCGCAAGCCATTTCTTCCGAACGATTCAAAAAATATGTTTTTCACATTGTTCGATAGAGGAGACTGTCCATTTTCATAATCCGTTTGGTGTTTAAAAAAAGCTCCACTAAGAAAAAAAGTTATGGCCAAAAAACGAGCGCGCGCGGCGTACAACTGGAGGCAAAATCTCACGGTTTACCCGCTGCCGCACGCTTTCTTTTTAAATGTTTTTGCGCGTTTCTGGACCGTTTTTAAATCGGTTTTCTGTTCTGAGAGGTTGTCCGAACTGAGCCTCATGTTTTGGTATGAATCTTTTGTACAATCCTCATAAGAATTTTTTTGATAAAAATATCAAAAAAACTACCTAGAAAAAAAGGTTAAAGGGATTTTTTTCAGCTTATTTTTTTCTTTTTTTCTACTCATAAAAAAATTATTATCATTCGATTTGGAAAAAAAGAAAAAAATGAAAAAAATAATGTCATTTCGAAATAAAACAGGAAAAAGTGCCATTTGACTCCGAAAAAAACGGCTCCTGCGACATTTAAAAGGACGCATCGGTGTGTTTGACGCAAACACTGCTACGGACACTTGCACAAAATCTTCCAAAATTTCAAAAAAAATTGCCATTTTTTCGAGGTTTTCAAAGCCGTTATTTTTTTCGCGTCGATCGATTTTTTTCATAATTTTTTCATTGATAGAGTTTTGAACGCTTAATAACCTGATCAAAAATATAGACGCGATCCTATTCTCTCATGCGTCAACGAGGCAGACGAAAAAAGGAGGTTTTGGTAAAACTCAAATATAATTTAATTCGCTGTCCCAATAATTATTTTCATTCTGAATTTTTATTTTTGGACACACTGTTAGTTTTCAAATCAAATAAAAAGTATACCATGTCGCTGAAATTTTTTCGCATTTCAGCTTCAAAGTTTGGTGTCACTTTACAAGCTTTAATATTTTTTTCGCGTCGGTAGATTTTTATTTTCACTCAAAAAAATAAAGAAAGTGTTAATGTATAACATACTTAACATTTAGAAGCGTTCCTCACTTGGTTTTCTGAAACGCGACGATTTTGTGAAACTTGTCAGTTTTTTTCGTGTTAAATCTTACTTTTTTTCGCATATTTTTTTGAAAAAAACATAGTTTTTAAAAATATTCAGTCTTGTAGAGCGTTGTCGATTACATAGATTAACAGAAGCAGTTCATTTTTAAAGTGGGACTTTAGCTAGTATAAACGCCTCAAAACCGTTTTTGCAACAAAAAAATCGTCATTTTGGTGGCGTGAAGGGGCGGGGCTTTGCGCCCCCTATTTTCAGGTGTTACTGCTCAACTCGATTACTCCTCGATGACTTGGAGATTGAAAGCAGAAAAAAAATTGGAAGTCCTCTTCGCTGAAGAAATCCAAACAAAGATTAGAGGCTGAAAATTCCTTAACTCAGTTAAAAGCCAGTGTCTTGTAAACTTTGACCCTCAGAGACGTTCAGAGTACTCATTTACCACTTGAAAATGACGTCTTTTTCCTATTGTTTGTAAATCACCGTTTGCGCATTCGGAAAAAGCCGAAAATCGCGTGGGCTCAGGCAAAAATGATTAATTTCGAGTGCTTGACCTATTTTCTGAAAACGAAACTTAAACAAACGGACGGTAAACTGTACTGAGAAGTTGCGAGAGGAAAAAAAATGAAGTTTCATAACCTTTATCAGAAGACCTCCGTCTTCTTCAATTGGCCAAGGTCATTTTTGTGAAACAAAAAAGCATGGGGAAACCCTACATGTCAAGACAACAAAGATGAAGTAAGGAAGAGGTCCGAAGGGATTTCTGGAAGCGGCGGTGGTTAACAGTTGCTCCAAGGGACCCGAAAGGCAAATACAAGGCGATGATCAAACAAATCCGTGAGCGGCGATCGGCAACTTAGAGCTTTCATGTTACGACGCGTTGGCGCGGCTCTTGGAAGATGAGAGGGGGCGATTTCTGTCCATGAATCACATTCTTTAAAAAAATTCGTGTTGAAAGAAAGTGATTCTAATGGGTTTGAGAGGGTTTTGAAACTTGAAGAAAGCTTTTACAGAGATTCTGAAACAAAAGTAAAAGTTTTTGGCGTTTCGGATGCATCAAATATATTGAACTTGATAAAAAAAAATTACAGAGAAAAAAAAAATCGCAGTCGGGTTGGCTGAAGGTAAATTTTCAACCGCAACGCGTCCGCGACGCTTCAAGTCAATACTTTTTTAGTAGTAAGATCCTTTTTCAGCGTTCAGATCAAAAGCGCTTCTTGTTTCTAGCAAAATTAAAAAAAATAAATCATTTATTTGTTTTGTTCGAGTCATAGGTGAAATCTACTAGGCGGTGAACAAAAACTTTTGAAGCTATGAAGAACAACCGCCTTTTGGCAAACTAGAAGTCTAAACGTGTTGTTGATCAAGTTGAAAGCATGGTCTAACGGTTCTTCTGAACGAGGCCCGAAGATCGTGCTCATATTGGAAGTTTCAGAATGATAGCGACAACTTCGAGGGAAGATTTTACAAGGAACTAAAACAGTAAAGCTAACTTCCGACAGCCTAGCGTGCTTCTCGTTATCTCAGATTTCTTCAAACTCCTATCTCGGAAAATTCCTTTGGTGAAGCCAACTTTCTGAAAAGGACCTTGCCGTCAATCGTTATCACCGGCGGCACGAAACAACACAAAAGCCGATGTTGGAGTGGGCTCGAAATTAACCGAGCAAAGGCCTCGGCACGTCTTGTCGTTTCGCAAACATAACTCGACATGGATTTTTTCGGCGGCTCACACGAGGATTCGGCGCCTCGAGAGAAGCGCCTGTATGTGCTTGTGTACTTGAACTCGAGAGTTTTTTTTTAGAGTAATATCTGCTTGTGGGAGCTTTCGCAAGGTTTCGTTGTAGGTTACGTGAAGTCTTGAAGTCACGTGTAACGAGGGGTTCAGAGGTCAAGCATCGGGGTGCCGGGAGGCGAGAACAGGCTCGATTGTGAGAGAGTGGCTCACAAGGAAGGTAACTTCAATTTGTACTCTGGACTCTGGAATTTTATGAAACCTAATCCAGCTTCTGACGTATAGAACAAAGTTTCTAAGAATATCAATACCAGATTTCTAGTTTCCGAAAAATGACACCTCAACGTCGAAGAAAACTATCAAAACCTGTTCAAACGGGCTATTTTGGGCCTTTGAGCCCTCATTTCTCGAAAAATAGAAAAATATACAGGTTGAGACTTTCAGAAACTTGCTTAGTTTCCTAGAAAACACTTTCGAAAATTCCTTTAAAAAAAATCACCAAAAGCCGAATGGATCAGCCCCGTGTGTGAATTGAGCTCTTTTTCATCAAAAAAATAAAAAGTTTCACAAGTTGAAACTCTCTGGATTTTCATTTATTAAATCAATATGTACTATCATCAACTTTCAAGGAATTACAGAGTGAAGAAGTAAAATTAATTTTCTTTTCAGTTTGTGAGACAAAAAAAAAAGCTCGAGTCTGAGTAGGCGTTTGAATGGTAATAAACGGATCAGAGTGGAATTTTTTTTATTTCTAATGCGAGAGGAAAAAGCCGCTTCTTTAGAAAAAAAAAACCAAGAATAAATTTTTTTCCAATATTTTTCAAACTTTTTGTCATCAGCTTATTTAGGTTTAAAATGAATATCTACTCGTGTTACGTAATTTTTCGATACTAAAAATCAACTAACTTTTGACCGGTCAAATCAGGAATATTCGTCATCTGCATCATCGTCTGGAGCAAAGAAACGCTTCTGAAATTCAAGACGGATGAATATTCAAGTTTCCTTCCCAAACAATTTCCTGCATTTTTTGCTTCCAGAATGTTTCGAAAAGCTTTATTGAATGATCGTTCATATTAAAATGAAGTAAAACGTTACAAAAAAAAAACGGAGTTTTCCAGAAAGGGATCACTTGAAAAATGACCAAAGTAATTGTGGAAATCCCAAAGCGAGGCCGTTCGACTTCCTGATGCGTCTTTGGCACATCCATTTCTTCTTTTCCAAGTTTCTGGTTTCATTTTATCCACTTCTCTTCGAACTTGCTGAGTTTTTAAAGTGTACAGAATGAAAATAAATATTCCCTTTGAATTAAAAATGTTTTTTTACTAGATGAAACCACTCCTATAAAAAAAAATTCAGCTCATTTGAGTTAGTGCTTGAGCTTTACTTTAAGCAATTGACTTCATGATTTGCATTTTTCTCCAATCTTTTCTCATGACTCCCTTCTCAATGTTTCTTTTTCTAAAATAAAGCTTTTTTTTAAAAATTAATACGTTTCTTTTTTAGAAATCTGCGTTTTGTAAAAAAAAATGTACAAAA